CTGGGTTGGTCTGGGCTTGGCTGGACGGTGCCACCTCCCCTCGAAACTTGAGGCAACGGGGTAAAGTAGGTACGGATATGGATACGTTTGCTTCCGCCTGGACCAAGGATCCATGGATGGCACTTGTCCGGTACAGTACAGTTTTATCACTCACGTTGCTTCTGACTTGCAAATCTGACATCCACTGCGCCGTCCCATGATCGATCCATTCGTTCACCCCTTCAAAGAAGCTCTGATCGAAGTCCATCATCCCTGCAGAACAGATCCTCCGCTCAAGATGAGGAAATGGCCTTTCCGCTCATCAGCTTCGGGAGCACAAGAGACACTTTCCTTGCCTAGGCTGCTTCTTGGCCCCAACTTGCCGTCAAGGGCAATCTCTAAGGCAAGGGTAATCTCCAGGTTCCCTGTCGTTGGCGCCTTGATATGGTTGGCTGTCTGGTTGACACTGCTCGGAAATCCAGTGCGCCGTTTTGCACTGATTCGCCCAGTTCAAAGATTATCAGAGTGGTCATCAATGCATCCACCTCGTCGCGTTGCATATCGTCGAGCTTTGATCTCCATACTTGCGCCAAACAATCCACATACGAGAAAAGCAGGCTGCGGCGGCATGGTTTACGAGGTGACCACCAGGCACGGGATGAGCGGGACGGACAACCAACTTCTGTACGAAGCATGATGGGGCTCTTTGACGTATTCGATTTCGCCGCCCGAGATGCGATCTGGAGTCGTCAAAGAACAAGACCCCAGGAAAAGAAAGCAAAACGAGACAAGTCATTTCCTAGCGGTGGACTGTAGCCTCAAGACATTGGCGGGGAGTGAGTGCATGGAAAGTTTCTGTTTCTTACTGCGAGTAAGTGGCCTGAACATACGCCTGAAAACTCACCTTTGACCAGCCCGAGCCGGTGCCCCCATGTCCGAGAATACGCCTCCCTACCTGTGTCCTCCGTCCTGAATCCAACGCCGGCATGGCGTTGACGGGTGGGATTGCGTCTTTGACCAGAGATGGGCTCCGTAATGCGGGCGAAAATACATCAAAAATCCCTTCGGCACAGGCGATACGTGCATGCCTGGGCGCTCGGGCAGAGTTTGGCAGGAGGACGGGCATCAGCAGCCATTTGAGAAATCTCAAACAGAAACACAAAGAAACGCACACCTACGGAAACAGGATGCGGGCCCGAGCAAAGCTGGCTGGCTGGCTGGCTGCGTGAAATGTCTTTCCTGAGTCCGCAGATTGGAAACGCCGAATATTGCTCTTTCAAACAACAGCCCAGCTGTCGTCCGTGTCTTGTTGGTGACAGTCTCGGTGCATCCCTCATTCGCTTCGCCAAGCAGGGTCACGGGCGACGGAATGCAGTGACGGGTACACTGGCCGTGTTCTAACGGGCAACAAGCCTCTCTCTGCCCATCCAAGGCCGTCGGGCTGCCCCATCGAAGCGCCCGCCAGCCCTGGAAAGTTGCCTTGGTGGCTTTCACTGGCACAACACCGAGAGGTCTCGGCGAAACCAGGCGCTCACACCAGAACGACAGACACAGACAGATAGATAGACAGACATGCTTGCACGCAGGTGACAAGGGCTTGTAAGGGTGCTCTCCAAGACGACAAGGACCATGTGTCGATTCGCAAGTGTTACAAGTTGAGGCTTGACGACCTGGCGCGGATGGATTGTGCTGGCTGACACAGCTGGAGCTCTGCGAGACGCCGACCTGTCGCTTGCAACTGGCCGGGCCCGGGTTGCCCTGGCCGGCCTTCTGGATCATCATCTCTCTAGCCTCTCTGTCGGAGGAGCGTGATGACGGCCTGGACTCTGAATATGGCGCTGTACGAGGGGAAGATGCAGCCGCAGGGATGTCCACGTCCAGCGCCAGGTTGTCGGATGGGGCCAGGCGGTGGCTTTGATTGAATGGACGATAAGGCGGGTTACCTTGGGGCACCCAGTCCCGCTGTGGGAGACTACTGAATCCAACACTGTGGGATGGACTCGACCGTCTGGCAGGGAATCAAGGAGAGGCGTCTATTTTGGCGACAAAACTTTTTTTCGTGACTCGGGCTCACTCAGCATCCCAGCCGAAGCAAAGACGTGGTCATTATCCGTAATCCTTTTCGTCTCAGTCCTCGGATCAGCTTTGAACCAAGGGGGATGATGAATCACGGGCAAGGTAAAGAAAAGTCCAACACAGTGCACGTTCGTCTGTCTGGTGACGAAGAGGCCGAAATTGACTTGACCGTTCTTGGGTCGAGAAGCGGCAGCCAGATTGATGTGCGCGTCTCCCAACGAATGGGTGTTCATCCCAGTTGGAGGGGAATGGATGGAGAATGGGCTTGTGGGGACACAGCCGTCTTCTCCATGACAGCATCTCGGAACCCTCACAAGTTGCCTCTTGGTCATGGCTCTTGAGACGGTAACTAATCTTGTCTAGCCCCAGGCTGAGCTGGATGACTGTCGCCGCCGTAATCTATTAGCGACAGGGCCCAGGCCGCCCCAAGACAGCCAGACAAAGCCAAAGCAAACCAAAGCAAACTGAACCAAGCCCAGCATCAACGGGTCAGGGACGACGGCGACGGCGACCTACGGCAGCGGAACTGCGGGCCCTCCGCTTGGGTCTGGGTGCAGAGAGCCCGAGCCCGAGCCCGAGCCCTGAGCTGCCAGGTGGTGGTGATTTTCACGCGCGGCCGGCGCTCACGCATCCACGTTCCTGAAGAGGTCAAGCAAGGAATCAGAGTGGAGCAAGCGACGGCATGGCTCATGGCTCATGGCTCATGTTGATGGCTCATGAGAGCAACCAAGGTCGTACCGCTTGTGTGGGAATGCGTACAGTAAGCAGGCAGGTACGTATGTTGCAGGTCACCCTCCCCAGCACACCACTCATGGTCCCGTCGGTCAAACAAGCGAGAATTGTCCAGAGAAACTGAGTTGAGTTCCTTGAGAGTTGAGCTTGTACGAGTAACGGCTAATAACGAAAGGGACAATCCGGCCGGTTTGAACGAGAAGCTTCGTGCCAACACGGAGCCATGTTTCCTGAGTGAAATCTTAATAATAGCAGTCCAATATGATCGATCCTCTTCTTACACTGTACCATTCTCCAAAGTCCAGGGGGTCGAGGTGAAGGTTTTGCTGCGTAGGGGGCCCCAGGGGCGCATTCATCCCCTTCCATCTCAGCCGCCATTCGCAAGCAGTCCGCCCTCCGCCTCCTCGCCTCTTTCCTCTCCTGGGAAAGAGCGTACCTATCCATATCCCTTGGACAAGGAGACTGACAAGGCCCCCGCCCACTGTACAGTGCCTAAGCTGCACCGGCCCAGTCTTGCCTGCGTGCTCTCTTTCGGCACAGTACATACAGGGCAACTCCCAGGGCGTCCCAGGGGCGACTTGTGAACGAATGCTCCATGGGCCGGGGGGGCTGAAAACGCAGCGGATGAGTGGTAGGTTCCAGCACCCGAAAGACCCCCGCTGTTTAGCGGGCTTGGATGGAGATTGGGGAGGAGTGGAGGGGAGGAGAGGAGAGGGTGAGGGTTCAGTATGGAGCGGCGGGCGGGTGGGGGGCGTGTGGTCAAGGTTCTTTGCAGGGCGTACAGGAAGGGAAGGGAATGGAAGGCACCTCACCTCACCTCACCTCACCCAGCTAGCACGGGCGGGCAAAGCACGTAAACCAGGGTCGTCGCTGGGTGCGGTGTCAGCTGGAGGGCGCCACGACGGCCCTGGTCTAGCACGTCTAAGCAGGTTCAGCAGACGCCCGCGACCTCTCAAAGCCCCGGTTGACCTGCTGGTGGTACCGGGTCTTTGTATGGGACAGCCAGGCAAGCTGCAGGTATTGCGATACATGTCCGGGCGGTACCTGCCTAGAGTACCTTCCTACCTTACCTCTGGGCACACGGCGCAACCTGGCCCACGGCCGGGCGGGTGTGCGTGTGCGATGCCTGAGAGAGGAAGCGACACTCGGCCAACGGAACGGCAGCCCATGGCTTCATGGAGCCAACCTACAGTACCCACGGAGTCCAATCCAGGGCATGGCATCTCATCAGTCTCCAGAAGGACCATCGACAGGCGCTACCAGGTACATACACCTCTCATCCATGGATGGATGGATGGGTGGGTGGATGGGGCTACCGGTGGGACACCCCTACTGCTTGCTGCGTGTACGGTCCATACTACGTCTGCGAGAAACTACGGACCTCCACTACCTACGTTTAGTACCTACAGAGAACGACGACACTACGAACTGAACTACACACGCAACCACCAGCCATGGACTGACTGAGCTCATTCTGTTGACTGCTTCTCTTTTCTACCTCCCCTTCCCTTTCCCTTTCCCTTTTCCTTCCCGTTTAGCTTCCCTTCCTTAATTAACTCGTCTACCCATTCACATCCTCCGTCGTTGTTCAACATCTCCTCTTCCCTCCAAACAACACCAATTGATACTCCAGTCCCGGTCACCTCCTACATCCGACGACACTCCTCCAAATACCACGACTGCCGCTCTCTTGTCCTTAAAGAACCGACCTCGCACCGACTTCCTTCGCCTCCAGCTGGTCTGCTACGTGTTGGGCGGTTTTGTTTAGATCGATAATGGCCCTGGTTTCCTTGCAGGCCTATTAAGCAAACGCGGCATCTGGCTATTGACAAACGCAACCACCTCCTGTTCCCTTCGATTCGAGATACCGCCGCACGTACGTATTCAAGCTCAGCGGGGCCCATTCGATTGTCGCCTTGCACAATAGCTATCTTGCGCCGCAACGGTCACCTTTCCAGCTTTGCCCGCACTGGGATTGTGTAGTTGAGAAGGCAACTTTGAAGCTTCACTCCATCTCGCAGGCTAGCGCTTGGCGATTGTGATCTTCTGCTTGTGCTGCACCTCCTCGCCGGGACATTCAATTCTCCATGTCGGTTGGCATCTCGATTAACTCGTCCAATTTTCCTCTCTCTCCCATCCACAGCTACGTCGGTCGGAAAGCAGGCTTCCCTCCTACGAGCATCAAGCTGCCTCCTTTGACCAACGACGTCAAGCTGCTCGGGAGCGGATTGAGGACTCCCCCATCAGACGAGATGAGCACTGTTTTCCAACCTCAGCTGGCTTCTTACGATAGCCATGCTATTCACAACTATCCTGCTGCAGTACCTCAAGCTGCCCGAGCAACCGCCGCCATAAACGAAACGAGGGGCTCTCAATACTACCGCTATCCCTCCGCCCAACCTCAGCAACCACAACAGCAGCAACCCCAGGCCCATCATGGCCACTACTCCTACCAACAGCAGCAGGCAACTCATCCGCAGCACGAACTGCATCCCGTCCCTCACGCCTCTCAGTCTCGAAACGGCTCCGTCTCGTCCGCAACACAGTCGATTTGCTCTTCTCGACAAACACTCCGACCCTCGTCACCATCTTCTACATCGACCATGACACGGGGCAAGGATGAATCTGAATCGCTGGTCTCTCACAGCCTGCAGATTCCCAAGTGCATTAGCCCCGCAGGCGGCAATCTCTCAGATTTCGCTGCTCAGGTTGGTTTCTTCCTGTCTTCGATTCACGTGCGTGGGCTAACATGCGTTAGATGACATGTTTGTTCTGGTTCGAGTCAATTGAGGAGCTCAAGCAGGCCGAGACTGTTCGCGCGAGGGGTCCCAATGCCATCATCTCCCGGCTCCCTTCACTCGCCAAGCCCTACGATCAATTCCGCAAATGGGTCTACAACGTTCTTTCAACGACCCAAGTGACGCAAAATGTCATCCTGCTCGCTCTGCTGTTTATTTACCGGCTCAAGATGTCGACGCCCCAAATCAAGGGGCGGGCAGGAAGCGAATATCGACTGCTCACAGTTGCCCTCATGCTCGGGAACAAGTGTAAGCGCAATAAGACTTTGGGTGTGAATTTTTGGAAACTGACCAGGTATAGTCTTGGACGATAACACATACACGAACAAGACCTGGGCTGAGGTCTCATGCTTCGCAGTGCAGGAAATCCATGTTATGGAGGTCGAGTTCCTGAGCAACATGCGATACAACTTGGTGGCAACCGAGGACCAATGGAAAGAGTGGTTGGACAAGCTGGCCTGCTTCCACGAGTACTACGAGCGAGCTACGCGACTGCCAGCGTCACCAATTCTCATCCCTTCGCCAACCAACAAGGCCTATCACTCGCCCATCCCCTCACCGACGGCGATGCAGCCCGCCGTGAACCTGCCTGTCACGCCGACTGTCACGACGAGCAACTTTTCACCCAGCTCGAGCCACTCGGCAAATTGGAACGCCTACCATTCGAATGCCGTCTCCCCGCTCGCTACGAAGCCTAACCTTCAGTTTCCCGTGTCACGAAAGCGCAGCCCCGAGGGCGAGGTTATGGACCACCCCGCGAAGCGAGCTGCTGCCCCTCAGCGAGTCCAGGCACCCGTCATGGCTCCTGTCAACCCGAGATCCAACGGCATCATGGAGCCGTCCAGGCTGCCTGCTCCTCATCTTACTGTGATCACCGAGCAGCCTCAGCCTACGTCGGCACCCTTCACTGGTGGCAACATGGGCCTCAATGGATATCCTCAGGCGGCACAGCAGGTCGCAGCCACTCCTTCGGTTCACGTCTCTCTCCCTCCACTGCAGACCGGTGTGCGCGCCATGTCGACAGTCTATCCGCCGGCACCCGCGGCTATGGTTCAGCAGCCCCCTCTGCCTACTACTACGGCTGTTACCTTGTCCCAAGGTGGCTTTCCTTCTCACGCTCCGGCCAACTATGGCACTCCTGCGAGACACACCAGCCCTGGACGCCTTGTCCCATTCAACTCTTCACCAGTGCCCGACCAGTACAGCCAGGCTTCGGCTGTTCACACCCCAATCGCACATACACCTATCTCGAACTCGCCGAGTGTCTACCTGCAGCAGCGACCTAGTCCGTACAAGCCTGTTCGTCACGTAAACACACTCCTGTACCCGCCTCCCTCGGCCTCACTGGAGCAGTATCACCTCTCGGTGCCAGTTCCTCCGAACCAGATGCACTATCAACCTCTGGGACGACGCAACGACCTCCGGACTGGTATTGTGCCCGAGTTCCTCGTCTACAACCGCGGTCAGCCCCAGCACCAGTCGCTTCCGCATCATGGCCTTCCTCAAGGGCACTATCTGTCTTAGGGATGGCGGGATTACCCTTAACTGGCTTTGAGTCAACTGGAGCTACTCGGCTCCAAACTTCTTTCTAAGGATTGACAGGCTTTGATGTAGGGGAATGGGGTCTAATCAAACTCTCTCAATCCTCTTTCTGTTTTGCTTTTCATCGCTAGATTTTTTTGCTGTATTTAACCGAAATTATGGATGCATGGCTCAGGCGTTTAGGAAGGAAAGGAACCAGGCCTGGAAAGGCTCAGCAGGCCATCAGAACATGGACTTCATAGGGAAAGGATCGAGGCATTAAGGATCATGGATGCATTTTTCTTGGCGTTATGTGGCTTTTGGGTGATGGACCTGGTGAAAGCCGTTCGAGGCTGAAATGAATGGCACTCAGGGGAGTGCATTTGCGATGCGTCTGGCTGTCTGGAGTAGCAGCTCTCAGACCACGCAAGATATCCATCATGGTTGGATCTCCTCTTGTAACGCCTGCGGAGGCATGGCGTTTCAATAGACGCAATGGAATGGTCAGCAATGACGGGACTTAGAATAGATGAGACATGGAAAGTCAATTGATGACCCTGCCGAGAGCGGTTGATCACCCGAAGCTTTGGAGCTCAGTCTTGATTGTGATGCGACATGTGCTGTACTTTAGTATTTGTTGGGAAAATGTGTGATGACTCGGTCATGTCATGATTATTGTGGGTTTAAGGTTCAGTATTTGTATCCATGAGATGGAAAGGCATAAGGGCATAGAACAAGGCATAGTATTAGCCGGGAGTATAACTGTCTGAAATCATTGTTTTCTGTGTTGTTTAAAAGACCAACAGGGGCAAGCAAACGTCGCTCAATGTTGAACAATGCTCCAAGTACATATCACCAAGGAAGTGGTACAATCTGGCATATGATTACTTGTGTAGTCATGACGCTGCTGAGCGTTTATAGGGAAATACATATATCCTTTACATGAACCTAGAGTCGCATCTATGTTGCAGGCTCTAGACAACCAAAGTTTCGCCTCTTTGTCTTCATGGTTTAGTTTAATTTGATGATAGTCCATCTCATTTCACTCGCGAACAATCGCAGCTGGAGTGAACAATCCAGTGGGTCATGAATGGACGACTCGAACGCCGTATCCACTTTAGCGTCAATCACCACAAGGATGGAAAAAGCTACGTACTTTCTGCGAACATGGCTCTTTTCGCTTTCCACGGCAACCACTGAAAATCAAGGAAGTCAGCCAATCACCAATCTCACCAGCCACTTCCCTGCGCCTTAGTTCCCCACCCATGCCACCTTTGACTTGCGCCTGCCCACAACGACGGCACAGCAACCAGAACCTGCCCGTCTCCTCAGTCTCTCCCAGCGCCTCGTCCATTCTCTTCCCCAGCCAAAGCCTGGCAGCGTCAGCAGAGGCATTCGACAGCTCTGCTACACATTCGCTCTTGACCATCTTCCCAGTATAACTTCCGAACATTTCTTCCGTTTTCCGACCATCACTTGCTTAGACCCGGCCCTCTCTCGTTTTTAGCCTATCCGCTGTGGTGGAAAGAAAGGGGCGGCGCGAAGCCAAGGACGAGACATTTGGCCCTGGGACGACCAACCACCGACAGACCGATACCCTTCTACGCCGTCAAGGGACGCGATTACATTCCAATCCCGAACGACGCCCCTTTTACTCCCCTTGATCCCGCCCTCGACGCCGTGACGATTGACGGTTGGTCTGGCGATTGGTTCTGCGGAGGATTTGGACGACTCGACGACAACCTTGACGACGACGACGACGACGGCCCCTTCGAGAGGGATACGGACGCCGACGATCTGTTGGGCCATACTCTCCTTACGGCGTTCGTTTTTGGACGGCACATGCCCCTCGATCCTCTCGTTATCCTTTAATAGGCGACATCCTACGATTCTCCCGACGACCTCCGGCCTGCGAGCCTGATCCGCCCATCATGTCCTCCTTCGGCGACTTTAGGTTCATCTGCGAGATTGCCCCTCTACCACTATGCGCACAAGTCGGTCCTGTCATCGAGGCCTCTGGCCGTGTGGGCATTGAGCCTGAATGCTATGCCCGCAACATCGAGCTCGCCAACACCATCATCTTTGAGGGCGCCGCCTCCGTTATGCACATCGTCGCCCTCATCATGACCGTCATCATGATTCTCCACGTGCGAAGCAAGTTCACTGCTGTCGGACGCAAGGAGATTCTCAGCTTCTTCTACCTGTATATGCTCCTGACCGCTGTGTCCCTCATTGTCGACGCCGGTGTGGCCCCTCCTGGCAGCGACCCGTACCCGTACTTTGTTAGTGTACAGAACGGATTCAGCAGCGCTGTCATCACCTGTCTACTCATCAACGGATTTGTCGGTTTCCAGCTGTACGAAGACGGCACGCCCCTGTCAGTGTGGATGTTGCGTATCTGCTCCCTGGTTGCCTTTGCCATCAGTTTCCTCGTTTCGCTGGCAACGTTTAAGAGCTGGGCCGGACTCGGGCCCAACAAGACTATCGGCCTTTTTGTTGTTCTCTACCTCCTCAACGCGATCCAGCTCTTCGTGTATGTTGCTATGCAGATTCTGCTTGTGACGAGGACGCTGCAAGATCGCTGGCCCCTTGGAGATATCGCCTTCGGTATCTTCTTCTTTGTTGCTGGACAGGTTCTCCTTTATGCATTCAGTGCCAAGATTTGTGTCGCTATTAGCCACTACATTGATGGTCTGTTCCTTGCAACTGTATGCAACTTGTTGGGCGTTATGATGGTTTACAAGGTATGTCTCGATCAAGAGGGAAGCTTTCACTATGGGACATTGCTAACATTGGATAGTACTGGGATTCGATTACCAAAGAGGATCTCGAATTCTCGGTGGGCACAAGGATGAACAACTGGGAGGTCAAGGAGCTGTTGCCCGAGGAGGAGCGTAGGGCAACCGTCTTCTCAGAGGATCCCTACGGTCACTCAAGCTCCTACGATCTGCCTTATTCGCCAAGCGCAGCACGATACTCGGCCAAGTACTAAACGCTTCGACCTTGATGCGAATTTGATGCTAGTAACGAGACTTTTTTCATACATTTTTTTTTTCGACGCCTGAAGCGCATCCATCTGACCCCGATACCGTGGAGGAATGGGTTCTGGGCACAAACTGTTTTTTGGACTTCATTTTTACATTGCGTGGCGTTTTCAATGGATCATTCATACCTGAGGTACGGTGGTCGGGCTTTGGCGGGCGACCGGCGGTAAACGAAAACTGGGGTGGATGAGATCAGCAAGCAGAAGGAGAAGGGATGAGGCAAGCGAGCAAGGCATGATAATACGTGGGCTGCATTAACAGCTGGGATGGGATGAGATGAGGGTCTTAGCGACAAGTAGTGATTAGTGACTGTTGCATACAGTATATACATATAGTTTATATAACCTATAACATAATGACCGTACCAGTAGTTACCAATGCTTCAGGTGGTTTTGGTGGCGGCTGGAATAAGGATCGTGTAAATGAGCCATGCCATGCCATCCCTGATGGGAATACGACGTTGATGGATCCATACTACTACAGTATAGTGATGAGTGGGACGGGCGACAGATAGATGGTTATGACTCGAGTGCATATCATGCATGTGCAGTAGAGGTCGTTTCGCAGCAAATAGAAACGAGACGGACTCGAGTAAGGTTTGTTTTTCCAAGGAAGGGTTCGCGAGTGAATAGCCACGAACGAATAGCGAATAGCTTGGCAAAAGGTGCGTCATCCGTTACCAATGATAGGCACCTCGAGCTGGGTTGGCTGGCATTTGTCACGGGTTGAGTGCCCACTCGGCGGCGGTCTCCGACACATTTCAGCTCAGCTAGGTAGGGGGGATACGAACGATAGTTGGTTGTCGTCGGCGATAAGAATGAGAAAAAGGACGGAATGCCAACCGCGGATTTGCTCAGCCAGTGAGCGTCAAGCAGACGTATTCCGCGCCCGTGGCGCACATGGGGATGCAGGACAGGAACCCGAGTAATATTGGCAGGATCTCTGCATGCATAGGCGTGAGGTGTACTTTACTGTACCGGGTCAGATTCAATTCAATGAGCGAACCGAGGGCGTGACGAGACTATCGCGCCAGGCTGGGACGCCACAAAGACAGGGGAGGCGTGGGGATCCATCTGTTGGTACTGTACTGCACAGTACTGGCCCGACTAGGTTGGGTTGGTGGTATAGCGGGAAGAGGAGAGGAGGAGAAAAAAAAAAGGGTGGGAACATGGTCAGCTGGGCATTGGATTGGATTGTTGGCTGCTTGTTTCCTCGGGGCGGCTCTCTTTTGGATGTGGATGCGGACGAGATGGATGGATGGTATGGGGCCTCAAGTTCAACTTTACGGTGAAATGGGTGATTGATTGGACCGAGAGTGTTTCCAAATACGACGCACTCAGTCTGGAGCGAGCTTTGTCGCCAGCTTTAGGTAGAGTTGAATCATATTGGATGGATGTCTCCATATATCCGGTTTCGCGTGTGTGCACACACGCTACATTACGCTAGGTACGTTGTCTCCGCCCCGTATCTGCAATTTTTGGCTCATTTGTACATACCTAGGCTAAACAATTGAGACTCTGTTCACATGAACGTAAATGCAAATGCAGGGCTGCTCTTCTCTGAAAAAGAGTGGACATGACACTTGGACTCTCTCCCCCCGTATCGTTGCATCTCCCTCAAATCTCGCGTCTATCCAGGGCGCCACAAAGGTGCTTTGCCCCCCCCCCCCCCCCAAATTGCCTCGCCTAGGTGAGAGTCACTCTCCTTCCTCCTTTGCGGCATCGGTTGCCTATAGTCTCCTCGCACGTGATGATACACTAGTTCCAAAGAGGACGGTGGTGACAAGCAAGGGGGGGTGGCCTGTCGGTTTTTTACGTTTCGCTTGCTGCGTTGCTGCGCTCGGTACCCGTCCGCTGGTAAAGAGGTCGCCGGGTGGGTATCCATGGCTTCCAGCTAGGGGTACCTAATGCGTCGATATCTAACACTGTACAGTTCGCCCGTTGAGGGAAGAAGCTGAGAGAGGGGAGGGAGAGAGAAGCCGAGGGCAGAGATAAAAGAGCCAAGATGAGGACCGGGGTGCATGCTTTTGCACACATGGTTGATGCATGATTGGCGTGCTTAAAATTGATGGCGAAAGATGCCATGCGACAGCGTTTTTGGCATTTCCTTCAAGACCAAAAAAAGCCCGAGGCTCTCTCAATGGCCAGCTAAAGCAAGGGTATGAGGGGGGGGGGGGGCGTCTAGCCGTGAAAAACAACCGAGAGCGAGTAAGGAAAGGGAAGGGGAATGAGCAGGAAGAAAAAAAAAAGATACATTGCCCATCCCATATGTTGAGCCAAGCAAAAGTACAGTGCCAACTAACCACGATTGTATCAGTTACGTACCTTGCTTCCTGGCTTCCATACCTGGCCTTAGTAGCCTTTTTCTATTCCGCATTCACACGCAAATCCTCTCTTCTCATTTGACCCATGGTTTCGGTTGGCCGAGAAGTTTAGTACCTAGCAGCAGGAGCAGCAGCAGCAGCAGGAGCTGGCACTGGCACTTCCTGACGCCTTCCCTCCTCCTAACCACAACCTTACTAAACTTATCTCTCTTTTTCCTTTTCGCCTTTTTTCTTTCCCTTTCTGCATCTCCTCTTTCGACGGGATCCCTCCCACACACTTTTTCCTTTTACTCTCTCTCAAGGTGCATTCGGTCAAGCTTATCCGCCTATAGGCTTTCTGTCTGGAGCCTATTTTTTCTTACTTCTTCCTTTTCCTTTAATCATCTCCCACCTTCCTTCCGACTTCGAACCCGATTTTCTCGCCTTTTCTATTCCGTCATCTCGCCCACCAAAAAAGGCCTATCGCCGCGCCGCAATCCCTATCCATCCCAGGCCTTTTCTTGACTACCTATCACCAGGCAACAAATTGCGCGCCACGGTCGTGCAACGTTCCACGCAACGCGTCCGCGTTCTTCACAATCAATTTCCACCATCGCAGCGATCGCTCTCTCTATCGCGTCCTCGGTTTCACCACCTACTTCTGGTTCGCTCGTACCCGCTTGCCTCTCTTTTTATTTCCTGATCTCTTTTCCCTCCCCAGGCTCCCTTTGTTTCCGCGCCTCTCGAGCAAGTCAGGAAACAAGGTGCGCTCCAAACCAGGGGGTGTGACCCACGGCGCAGAGTGTGGGCTCATTTGCGCGACCGGGGGTGGTGGAAGCGATTTCGAAAAAGGGTCTGACTGTTGGGTTGAGCCCGGTTTTTTCCAAGACACGCCATTGACGACGCAGGGAAGCAGTCAGGAAGAAGAAAAGAGAGAGAATCAGTCGTGACGACTATCGAGCTTTGCGTGACGATACTCAAGCCGCTTGCCTTACTTTTTCTCCTCGTCTCGCAGAACTACACTGCACTGCACTGCTCGTGGGAGACGATTGTCATCTTGCACAAACCTTGGCTACTATCGGTCAATCTGGGTCAATCGGATTGACTTGAGGATCGACGCCCTTTTCCGTCCTACGCACCATCCTGCTCCTCATTTCCAATTCCCAACCCGTCGCCTCAGCTTGTCCTTTTTAGGTGGTTCGTCCAATTCCCGCCCGCTTTGAGCACGCGCCCCACGACTCTATTTTGGCCCTCGGACCATCGGACTGGAGCCACGGCGATCTTCCAATTCCTCCGACTCGATCTGGTCTCTCGAACTTTTTTTTTCCCTGGTCTAGGTAGGTAGTGGGACGCCTCGGCCACCTGTAGATGGGTGGCTCCCTTTCATTTCATCCGCATAATCTCGGTCACGTGCATCCCGAATCTGACCTCGAATCTTCACTTAGACAAACACCATCAATACTCAATTAGATGAACTATCGACAGTTCACTCGCGCAAACTCTCGCTCTTGCTCACAAGACATTGAGTACAACTACTAATTCACACCGGCCCCATATGGCCTCAACAGAGGAAGCTGCCGCCATGGCTGCCCTCCCTCTTGAGGAGCACAAGTCTGTCTGGGACGAGACAGAACGCAATTTCTGGGCTAAAATTCGTCGCCAACGAGAATCAGAGAACAGCAAGGCCGAGCAGGACTATCAGCTATCGGTAACCGAAATGCGAATGAAGCTTAGTGAGCTTACGGGGCGACGGACCGAGCTGACCGAGTCGCAAACCCGTCTGGCTCGAGAACTGGCAAAGGTCGAGGCCGAGCTGGCTCGTGTATCTGAAGAATGCGAGGAGAAGGCAGCTCGACTTGAGTGTATCGAACAGGATCACCGAAAATCACGACAAGCGCAGGCTGAAAGGCAGCAGGAGATATGGAGGACGATGCGTCGGTTCTTCAAGGAGAAGAGAGGCGAAGAGCTGGGTTCAGAGGATTCTGAGGACCCTGACGCGGAGCAGTTTCTTCTTCCCGAAGATATGCCAGGCCTGTCCATGACGAATGGTGCTTCTACTCGACCAAACACCGCCGACGGTCTCACGGAGGCGACAAGCGTTCAACCCACAGATGGAGAGAGCATGGAAGGCGTTGAGCATCACGAGAATAACGCCGCCCGTGATACGCCCACGCCCGATGCCATCGTGGATGTTGTCGATGCTGACGGCAATGTCATTGGACCAGTGCAACGGATTGAGCCCTGGAATCAATGGGTCGAGGGAATCCAAGAACTCGAAGTCCTACGACCCGTCAAGATTCGCCGAGGCCGCCGTTTTAATGATGCGCATCTCGCCAGTATCTATGAGCGATCCGAGGCAAAAGGTGTCAAGTGGTTGGCTTGCATGATCCAAGCGACTGGAGAGATCCAAACCAAGCGATGCCATTCGTGCGATAAGAATCAAGGGGCATTTGATGATTGCATTATCGTTGGAGGGGATCTGTTCCAGAAGTGCGGTAACTGCGAGTGGAATCGCCAGGGCTGTCATGATGCTTCCGGAGAAACGATTGACATATTAGCTTCCAGAGAGAGGGCGCGACAACACAAGGAGTCCAAGGATGCACAGGCGAGAGTATCACCGGAACCCGAGGCTCAGACACAGCACGTTGAGGTTCAAGCAAGACCTGAACCTACGCCTCAACCTGAACCTCAGCCAGTTCACAGAGCCGAGGAACGTGCCAGACTTCCTTCACACCGGCCATCACCTCAGCCTATCCCTCAACAGGCTCCTGAGCGAGTATCTCAACAACCTTACGAACGATCTCCCGAGCGACTACCTCACCGAGTTCCTGAACGGGCTCCTGAACAACCGCCCGAACGAATTCCTGAGCGGCTCCCTGAGCGATTACCCGAGCGACTACCTGAACGACTGCCTGAACGGCTACCTGAGAGGCTACCTGAACGATTGCCTGAGCGGCTGCCCGAACGTCTTCCTGAGCGTCTCGTTGAACGCATCCCTGAACGAATTCCCCCGCAGGGTCCCGAGCATCCTCGCGAACCAGCTCCTCAACGAATTATCGAAAGAATTGCAGGACCAGCCTCTGTACCAGCTCTGGAACGTATTGTGGAGCCGGTTTACAGACCCGTCTACGAGCCTTCACCTGTGCCCTCCAGCCAGCCTACACCCGTGCCCAGGCCCGATCTTGCCCCTGAGCGCATGATAGACCCTGTAGTAACACCTCTACCGCCCATCCAACTCCAACCTAGATCAGATGCTCCTCGTTCTGCCCTTCCTTCGCATGCCCCCCGCTCCGTCCGCCCCGACATTCTTCAGCCTACTACCGAGTTTGATACCCCCGTGAAGGATACCAGGGCCCCCGATGGCTTCCAATCGGCACGCGAGCCAGAGCAGATGCCGACACCCCAAGAGTATCGAGTTACCCCTGGGTTCACCCCGGCCAACATGAGAAGTCGACCTCCCTCGGCCGAAAAGGAACGACCAACACCAGCATCTATGCCAATCGAACCCTCGCCTCAGCCGACTGAGTCTCCTCCTTCCGAGGAAGCTTTGGAAGAGATTTCACGCGAAAATCTGGTTCTTAGACACAACGGAGAATATTACACGTATCCCGAGTGTGTTGAAGGCGTGCCTCTGACCAAGGTGGACGAAACCCATCCCTACTGGGAGTCTAACTGGCCTAATGTGAGAACATTGATCGAGCCTCAGTTGGCTCGATGGCGCGAAAAGCATCAGGCTGCAATCGAGGCCGGCCCCAAGCAAGAGAAGGGTGGATCGTCGAAGTACCAGATTGGCAGACAGGTCAACCGTGGCATCAAGATCCTCGAGTTCCACGAGACAGGCCCCATAAGCCCATATCAGCTACTCAGCAAGAAGTACACCCAATCAGGAAAGGGCGGCATCACCTCCTACGACACACTGTTCCGTCTATCAGAAACAATGTCAGAACTGGAAAAGTTTAAACTCGACATCGAACCTGTTGAGTGGATGCGTCAGCGTCTCCACGAGTTGATCCTGGCTGAAGGGCCCAGTTTCAACCTCCCCCGGACGGTTCATGACTTCTATCATGACCCGAAGTTGACTGCACTGCGATATAAGCATGGTTTCAAGAACATTGGAAGACCCTCAGGGTTGAAAGCGCGTCAGAGCCAAGGTAGTCCCAGCAATACGCCCAAGCCCCTGAAGAAGCGCAAGAGCATGCATTCTGTTGTCAGCACGCCACGCGAGACTTCCTTTGTCGACCAGTCCCCTTTGGCTACCCAGATTCCTATGGGTCCTGAAACCCCTTTCAGCACTCATCTGAACAAAAAACCCAAATACCTGTCGCCTACTGCAGGCCCGATTCATGACGAGTTTCACTCAGACGCCTTCTCTGACACAGACTCTTGCAGTGGTGGAGAAATCACGAGGGATGACTGGCGACTGTACCAAGTCAAGAACCGATTCTTCACGAGCTCGCCTACAGTCACTCAGTACTGGACCTGGCTCCAGTCAGCAGGTTGCTTTCAGCATCAAGTCCTGAAGGACGTTAAGCCCGTTACTTGGGGACTCTTCAAAGATCATATTGATTTCCACGTTAACCTCGACGAGATTGAGGAACTGGTCTGGAATATCGAGGCGCTCCGCATTCACATTGTGATGAAGAAGGTTAACGCCAGTACGGATGGAGATAGAGGACCTCGTGGAGACGTAATGGCGTCTTTCAAGCGGGATCGAACAATGAGACGGTTCCTATTCTTTTGCCGGGAGAGGGGAGTCAAGATGCTGCGGCAGACAACGTGAGTGCAACCCTATTTCGTGTCTTGAGAAGCACAATGCTAACTAGGATGAAGCAAGGAAATTGACCATCGATGGCAAATGATGAATTCAGAGGTGCTTCAGGATGCCCGCGGCGAGCCGAGCAAGGACTTGGTGGACTAGTTTTGACCCCTGCGAGAAACGCTCGAATCACCCTGATATGCCATTGTCCGTCGAGACATGGCACCGAGGTTGTTTACTTGGTCCGGCAGTGTGCTTGCTCTATCGCAACACATCTGCATAGGGCCAGGTTTGGATCAACAACCAAGGCTTCGACTACGATCCTCTATGATACCGCTCCTTCGTTCTCTTACGATCCAGCCACGATTTTCAGCCTTGGCTTCCCCATAGCCCCTACTAGGGGTGCCTCAGAGAAGACTTTGGCTTTCAACCCAGAGGGTTCAGCGTCGTCACTATCGGGTTGGGAATCAGCACGCGATTACGGTTCCCTCTTTCATTCTCCTCTTTACACTGGCTCTTGCCAGCATACTGATCGCTGTTTGTTTTCTTTTCTTCTCTTCTCTTCACGTTATAGAGGGCACCATCCGGAAGCCCATACCAACACTGGAACTTGGACGGATTAGGTGGAATTGACTTTTGGCTCAAGGGACTCGGGAACGGGATATGATGGGCCAGACCGGTGGGGAAAAGCGTTTAGGCACTAGTCAAATGGGTCTTTGTGTATGATCTTAAAGTTTTTTTGTCTAATAGATTCTAGCATCGCCTCCCGTCACTCAGGGGGTGATGTTCTAAGTTACGCTTAAGGGACCTTTGCTACTTGTGACATCTCAACAGTTTATGAGACTTGTGGATTATTCCTGACATTATACGAGTTGTGTATATACGATTTCCAAGTTCCTTTGATCTATCGTTTTCTCATCGTTCGTCCCCCAACTACCCCAACGCTCGGAGTGGCCCTCGCTACTGGCTTGACATCACCACTCTCCCCCATCATCCGACTTATTAGAGCAGCCCTACACTCCTCGGCCTTTTCATCGCGGTACTCAAGCTGCGTCGACGGCGGCTCAACCTCCTTGGGTTCTCCCGAGTTGAAGTCGTCGCCCATCATCTCAGGGTCATGCGCAGAACGGGAGGCGACACTGCTGGCGTTGGAGGCGTTACTGATAGCACGGCCAAGGATTTGGCGCCTGCGAGGCCGCGGGGGAGGGTGCTCGGGGTCATCAGAAGTGTGGGAGAGGTTGGAGGTGAGGTTTGGAGTTGTAGTTTCGATGAGGGATGTCAGTTTCGTGGAGAGGGCACGACGCTCGGCGGCCTTAGCGCGGAGTCGAGCTTGTTCTGCGTCTTGTTGTTGTTGCTTCTGTTGCTGTTGCTTCAGTTGCTGGAGACGCTCTTGGTGTGAGTTATCATGAGATTCTGTTGTGTCTTGGTGAGTTGTGGTGTCCTGGTGTGTGGTTGTGGAGGATTTGCTGGTAGGGTCGGAGCGGGTGCGCGGCATGGGTTCTTGTTTCTTTGTAGGGGATGGAGGCTTGTCAAGGTGTTCTGAGGGGACTTCAGCTAGAGGGGTGTCGAAGCCATCGTCCTGAGGTAGGCTTGTGGGAGCGGCTTGGTGAGTGCGAGCTGTGGCAAAGTCGGCCGAGGTGGTGGAAGTTGCTTCAGGGGGTGGGCGAGTGATGTTCTTGCGGTGCGGCTTCTCGGGAGAATCGTGATCAAAGGCCGTCGTGTCGACTCCTGCGAATGCGGGAGCCTTGGGTATCGCGGGTCTGGCGTTGAAGGGTTCTGAGTGTGTGCGTTGTATGGGTTTGCCTAGTGGTCTGGATTGTGCCCCAGGGGCCTTCTTCTCAACAGACTTTGGCTTTGGCTTGAGGGTTTCTTCATATCGGTTCTTAATCTCGGGGAAGATAAAGTCGTCAATGGGAACCTTGAAGCCGGTGGATATACATTCCCACAGCCATTCACCCGACACCACAGGGACGCCCCATCGAAGTGCCATGCGTAGCTTCTCCTTGCGCATAGAAGCGAGAGAACTGCACACCAAGACATCCGTTGTCTTGCGAAAGTCCCCATCAAACTTGGCTCCGAGCTGGACGACGGCGCGAGCGACTTGGCTGAGTTCAATACCAGTGAAGGCGGCACTACATATGACGAGGTTGCTGAAAGCGGGAATGGGAAAGAAAGGAAAAGGTCTGCCGAGGACGTGTTCGGTTGGGTTGAAATAGAGCTTGTTGTGAAGACACTTTTCAATGTAATACTCTGTCACAACATGTAGGTCGTCGTAGGATTCTTGAGGGTGGGTATCTGGTTGAGAGTTTTGAGGGACGATGAGGAAGCGGCCGAGGGGCGGTCTGGGAGTTTTGCCAAGGGCAGCTTCTTGTACTGAAACACAAATAGAACCTCCCAGCGTAACTATTGTCTGTTGGAGAACTGATGTCCGCTGCGTAGTGAAGCCGTGGATATAGAAGTAGCAATTGGCGAAAATGCCCTGGTTCTCTGGAACAATGGGGGCGAGGGGTTGAACTTCGGCGGGTTGAGGTTGTTGTGGTTGATCCTGGAGCTTTTCTGCCTCTGAATTATTCTCGTGGGCAAACGAGTACTCTCTCGAGGTTGAGCGTCCAAGGATATCACCCCAGAGGTTGTTACGCTGTGAGCTGAGCTTCATGCTGGCCGTCTTCCTTAGCTTCCTAGGTCCTTCATCGGCGGCGATCACAGCTGACCTGGAGCGCTTGCTTGCTGTCCTTTTGAGTTCTCTCGTGACCCAAGCCCCTTTTCCTTGCTGCTCGGGCGGTAGTATAGGATCGAATTTGGTCTCCTCCAGGATCATGCCTCGTGTAATGGATTGGTCCAGCCAGGCGAGGGTGACGGGGTGGATGCCCCATTGCCTGGCCGCCTCGTACTTTCTGCCCTCGGGTTTGTTGACGATGAGGTGACTGCACTTCTTGGTGAGGTCTCCGGTGTATCTGCCGCCGTTCGAGGTGATTTTAAGGGCAATCTCGTCCCGCTGCTCGCCGAAGCCCGTGAGACAGATCATTAACGAGTCCCTTCCTGTCTCCCCTTCCTGCGGTTGGATCGAAGGGTCGACACCTCGCTTCTCCAATGGCTTCAGCTGATATTCGGACTCGAGTTTTCGGTAGTCGATTTCATCGTCGTTCTTCCACAGCTCGCTAAGGGCCTCGATCCAAGCAGCATCCATGGCCTTGATGTCGGGGCGTTCACGGGCAACATGTCGGTATTTGGGCGTGTCATAGTCGCCGACAATAAGGTGGGTAACGTCAGGAGTGAGGTCGTACTTGTGAACGCCGCCTAGCTCGGAGACTTTGCCAGCGATGGTTGTCTAGAAGCGAGAGAATGTTAGGAAATGCGAGCACATGAGGCATCACGAGGAGTCTTGGTTTACTAACACGATGCTCAGCGGGGATGCTCGTACAGCAGACGATGATGCCCTTGAGAGGCTCTGCCGGGTCGATATGAACATCTTCATCGTCAACAGCGTTGGAAGAGGCCATGTTGATTCCTCTGCCAGGGGCGGTTGCTGTGGTGTTGCAACCTGGGGGTTGAGGGTTGTGATAATATTTTCGAGACGCGTCGATAACCGCACCGCGTCAAGTGGTCGCCTACACCGTGACCGGATGGACGTCATGACCTGGGGCGGGGGTAGGTGCTTTTAGGCCTGTGAATCAGTTCGCACTGTGAAGAGTATCACTAACGTCCACTGAAGCGGTGAGATTTGCGAGGTGTACGGTGAGGAATTACAGTGCTAATAGAGGTCATGATCTAAATATAGAGCCCTTCCTGTTCAAGTTGGCAGATTCATCATGGATCCTCAGTCCAAACTCATTGAATGGAACATTTGTTTCAAGACTAAGAGTGCAATTAATGGAAAACATGATTACACAGAAATAACCTCGAGTTTATTGTGAAGAGAATCAAGCAGAGTATATCTAATAGAGTCAGTGAAGCACGTGCGACATGGCCGCTTCCAGGGTCTTGGAATGGAGCTCTCTGCCTGTAGGCACCTGCCTCACACACAGCACAGCACCGAGAGACGGGCACTCACTGAGCCCCGCTCACTAAAAGAAACCCCACCATCAGCTAAGATCGCAGCCTCGTCGCGAAAGCTCAGAACCCCTCCATCCACTTGCATCTCATTCCCCTCTTCCACCGCCACTCGAGCGCAACGGCGCATCTTTGGGAAGACTCCGCCGTGCCTGACACCTTCCGCTATCGTTCGGTCCACTCGCAGACCCGACCTTGGGCACCTCGATCTCGTCCCGGCCATCATTCGGTCCTGGCCTCAATCGACATCCCTCCGCCTCGTCGAGCATCGATACATACCTCCAGACCAGGGCGATCTTTGGGGCAACATCTCGACCGCATTAGCAAACACCGGGCTACTCTACCCCCAATATCAACGTATAGACGAGACAACTATAAACAAACCTGGAACACAGTCGGCTACCTTCAAGATGCCGCCGCCGTCTTCCGCCCAGCAGAAGGTGCTCATCGCCCAGTTTGTATCCTTGACTGGTGCCACAGAGCGTCAGGCTACTCGTGTACGTTTCTCTCCCAGCAGCATATGGACAGTCTATCTCAGGCAGCCCCGGGCCTGTCTTGGCGCCAGCCAGCCCCACGATACGAAAGCTCTCCGCGATTTGACTAAATCGGTCCCGGCGCAGCAGTTGGGGGTTGCAGCGGTGACGCTGTTTAGCCTGGAGAAGTCGAACGATGATCAAGCTTAGTTTGACTAACATAGGCCGTAACAGTTCCTCAAGAATGCAAGCTTCAAGATTAACGAAGCCGTCGATACGTGAGTTTTTATTTCCTTGGTCTGGCTATTCCTACCTCGACTATTCTCGTTACATCACCCTTTTGTTTCTTGTCATGATGTTGTTGCGCCAGCCTGATGTGGTCAATTCATCCGGCCATGCATTGCATCTGGAACCGCCGGGTATGGTTTGCCCCTTGTGCCTCGTCATATCGACTAGGCCCACTGGTGCTCGGCTCATTTGTTGGATGCACAGCAGAGTATGACCGACAGTGACGCCGATGGCACTGAAACACTGCTTGCTCTAAAGGGGTAATCTGAACCCTTCGATTCTGTCCTGGGGCTTTGACTTGTCTTTCGAATGCCATTGTCTCTACGGATGATCGGTGGTTGGGTCATGGAAATCTTGTCCTCCTTGGTGTTGCTGGATTCGACTTCGATTTGACACAACCACTCCCCTGTCCCGGCTTATAGACGGCTCTCAACTAGCTCGACACCACGTCTCACCAGAGTCACTCAAACATTCAACATCTTCGGGAGCCCGGGATAGTCCAAATATGAATTGGGAGGGTGTTAAGAGGCGTATCGCAACCCGCGTTATTCCCACCTTGTCCCTATCCAAAAAGTCCAGCAAAGTTGGTCTTGGGACGTCTTACAAGGGGTCACCCGCAGAGACGTCCAACAAGTCGAAAGCGCGGTACATCACCTCAACCGAGTGCGCAGCAATCTTGTCAGCCAAGTCGGCTGCATCCGAATCCTATGCCAGTGCATTACACACTTCATTGCTAGTAATTTTTAGAGTATCTGTTGTCTGACACGAACCGAATAGGTACTTTTCCTCGGACGGAAATGGCAAGGGACCATCACCAGTCGAGGCCAAGTTGGAATCCTTATTCGACCAACTGCAGGGTCAGTATCGTACAAACGCTTGCTCCGGTTCTTTGGCTCATAACCTCGTTTAGACAGTAACGATGAGAAGGACAAGTTGGAGCTTGACTCCACTATGGCTTACCTCACCGAGAAGCTCAAGATCAACATCGAGAACGCAGAACTACTTGTAGTCCTAGAACTTCTCCAGGCACCCTCGGTGGGAATGATTACCAGGAGGGGATATGTTGATGGATGGAAAAACACTGGGTCAGTAACTCATATGTGTCTGACAAGGGTTGACACCTTTTCGAAGCGCAATACTGACTAGTCATCTAGAGCTGGAGCAACACACCAGGAGCATGCTGCCCATCTTCGACGACTGATTTCATCCCTCTCCTCCGACCCCACCTTGTTCAAGAAGGTATATCGGTACGCTTTCGTTGCAGGACGAGAACCCGACCAGAAGGCCCTCGGCCTGGAGAACGCTCTCGTCTACTGGGACATCTTGTTTGCCTCTCCCGGAATGGAGTGGAAGACTGCGAACCGCGACTGGCTAGACTTGTGGAAGTCCTTCCTCAATGCAAAGTGGACCCGGTCTGTTAACAAGGATATGTGGAATATGACGCTCGAGTTTGCCGTCAAGTCTCTGTCAGACGAGTCACTATCTTTTTGGAACGAGGACGGTGCGTGGCCAAGTGTCATCGATGACTTTGTCGAATGGTGCCGCGAGAAGGGTATCGGTAAGGCTGACGGCATGGATGTTGACGACAATTGAAGAGATGGTCGGACTCGTGACCACGAAGGCGACACTGAGATGGAGTGGAGTACATAACGACGTGAACGAGGCCTCGGCCTATTCACCACATAGCATTTTCACAGACAACATATCATGTAAGGGCCAACCAGGAGCATGGGCAGCGGGCTGCGTTTCTAGATAGGGCGGCGTTAGCCAAGGGCACTCAGGCCACTGGTGTGGCTGCAATTGATGACTTTATGATAGATAGGTAGCGACACACAAACAGATCGAGGTTATCGTTGTCTTAGTTGCGAACTGAGCCAGGTCATAGACGGCTCGATAGCGTCGGCATGACGAAGCTTGAGGGGGTCGGTAGTGAAATGCAATGCAGAGATTCTGGGCTCTATAGTAGTTCATACAACCGTGACTGCCATCCCCGAGGCAGTGTGTTTTTAAATGTACACGGCATCCTCATGCCTGGACTCTTGACTCTGGACATATCCAGGTCCTCGATCCTCATACTGTTGAGTATCCTACAGCATAACCTTCCTCCTCCTCTTCTTCAGCCGCAACTTGATCGTCGTAAGGTAATTATCGTTTCAATTCCCATCCGCCCGCTCTATGCCTCGCTACCCGTCGTCTTCCACTTGGGCGGTCCGAATCTTGCCAGCGTCTCCAGCTTTCCGTCGCCAAGCTTAACGTGGGCGGCGCGGATCATACGGGGCTCGAGTCGCAGAGTGTTGCGGACGTCCTGGTGCACCTTGGAAGCGGCGTCGTATCGCATGACGAAGTAGTGGCCGTGGGTGTGCTTCATCTGATGGACCGAGATGGGCTTGGGGAGGGAGAAGACACCCCAGTTGGCGAGGCCACGGACGACACCGCCATTCTTGAGGACGAGGGAGCCGACAGTCTGGGCGATTCTGGGCGAAAACGTTAGTCAATGGACGAGGGCGATCGATGGTTCGAAGGGTTCAGTGGAGGCGTACTCTTTCACCTCGGAGAGGTTGCCCGGTCGGACCTATTTGAAGTCAGCTTGTTTAATTTGCAGGAGATTTAGGTAGAGACGCACAATTGCAATGAGTTCGTAGAGCATCTTGGCGATGACATCTACGGGAGAAATGGGAATGTCACAGAGCAATTCGAGGTGATACTATCGCTGAGCTTGAATGGATTCCTGGGTCTCGAATTTTGATGCCGAGGATCAGCCGTGGTGAAGGGTGGGCGACAACTCGGTGAAGCTTCATGACAAGTGGGGCACACCCTTCCTCTGATGCTCACGATTAAAGATTGGATGAAAAGATGGCATATGCTCAATTACATTCAATTGACGTCTATTCATGATCATATTGATACATCTTCATACCTATAGTACAATAGTATTTTGGGTTACACTCAAGGCACGCCTCGAAATACACGGTTCCTCAGAACCTAGATCCGCTCCTTGGACAAGGCCTGCCATATATTCCAAGGCAGTTTCCAACCCGCTGTCTTGACCGTAAACGGATCGAAATCAGCTTGTTCTAGCCTTTGCAGATACTGAGCTGCTGGTATAGCTTCCAGAAGCACGCCAAAGCCCTGGCGTATCTCCTTTATTGTGTCGCTTTCCTCCTCGTAGAAATGTTCACCCTCGCCGTGGTGCTCAAATTCATGGCCTGGGTCCTCGCCAGCCTTTAACCTCTTGAGCATCTCTCGCGCTGTGATCAGATGATCATTGGCCCTCGTAGCAACTTGGAAGACAGCGTCTTGAAGGCCGGGCGCATTGGGACCTTGTCGAAAGACTTCCTCCTCCTTGACCCCCGCTTCAGCCATTGCATCCAGCGGAAGAAGTAGGGCTGGTTCACGCGAGGAGGGAGCTTGGCCTGATGGTGTATTCACCGGTGAAGGTGGTGCTGCCAAGACGGGGATTCCGCGCAAGACGGCCACGATGCCGCATGCCTTTCCAATATGGCTCGCAAGGTGGTCGACATTCATCGAGCGCAATGGCAGAGACGCTAATGTCGCATACATCAAGGTCGAATATGTATTCTCGGCGTACTCCTCCAAGCTTGCCAAACTCCCAAACGGCCGATTGGACATGTGCTTCTCTCTTGTCCTTACCAGTCGTGATACCCAGAACTTGATGGACTTTTTGGTTGCGGTGCCGGCGCGCGCCTCCAGGTCTTGGAGACTCTTGTGCAGCAAGATGCAGATAGGTTCGCGGGGGGGACGGCCGGCGAAAGTGTTGTCGATGGACTCCTGCCAGAACTTCATGCGCAGGGTCCCGATCGTGGGGTTGGAGACGAGCTCGGGGAGGCGGACGAGCTCGAGGTTGAGGGTTCGGAGGGCGGCGTATGTGTCTTGGACGGGGGAGGGGACGAAGCGGCGGATGAGATGGGCGTCATAGTCGCTATTTCTAGAGAATCTTAGCTTCAATTGGTATTAGGTAGAGGATCAAGCGTACTGTAGCTGTGTATAGCAGTACCGTCTTGCAGATTCAACGTCGGCATCGGTAATGTAGGTTCGGCGACTCGTCCGGGCATGGGCGAAGCCTCGAAGGCCCTGGCCCAGAAGCCGTGGACGATACATGCAGCCTAGCTTAACCCAAGGTTGCGCGGCACGAATTGATCTCCAGCAGCGAGTTTCACCTCGAAATTGGTGGTGCTAGTCGTGATATGATGGACATGACGGTCTTGCGACTCAGACACGGCCACCCATGAACGTCGGATTTCCAATCCTTGGGAAATTTTTCATGACGTCGGAGCTACCAGCCACACTCATCAGCCACATCAATTAACGGCGGACTCGCGCAGTCATGTGATCTCTCGACACCAAGGCGCGCTTGCAACGGCTGATCGCGTCTCCCTGCGCGACGCCGAGACTGTCATCTGGGGATGAAGCTTGGGTTCGACATTTCGGCCAAACTGTGAATGGAATTTTTATATCCTCTCAATTTGGGTGAATCTCGGCAAACATGAGCTTCAACGATTCTCAAGAGCCTCCCGCAAAGAAGCGCAGGTTCTTTGTCGACCCTTCGGAGGCTTCCTCTGATCCAGCATTACCAAGCAACCTCAACTCATCCCCGCTACAGCCACGACGACGCTTTTTCAAGGACGAAGATGATGATATCAAGCTAGAACAAGATGATAGAAACGTCCTTGTCGAACGTTCCGCAAATGGAACATCACAGCAACCACAACCACCTCCATCCGACCTACAACAAGAGTCGTCCTCCGTATCCTTCGATCAGGAGACCTTTGAGGCCTTCATTGGCGACAAGGTCAGCTCCGATGTTCTCTCCGCTATCAGGGATCATTGCGGAAACAACCTCGAACGAGCCGTCAACATGTACTTTGACGGGACGTACAAGAAGTTTACCAAGAAACCGCCATTGCCAACCCCGTCGAGACCTACCGCCGCCAGCTCGAGCCGCTCCCCAAGCACCATTACAGAACGCCCAAAACCTGCGATCTCACAAAAGCGAATGCCGAATTTTCGATATATAGGGGCATTCGGCGCTGAAGGATGGGCCACTCGAAGTGGAAACAACCTCCTTAAGCATGGCGATATTGTCAAGATCGAGCGACACAAGGCCCCGCCGCCACAACCAGCAAAGGTTAAGGGGAAATTTGGTTCTGTCACACCCTCAAGAGCCAGTAATTTTGCTTCACGGCGGGTTGATATTGTTGTGCGCTTCACGACCCAGAGTGGAACAGAAATTGGACGACTCTCAAAGGACACGGCCAAGTGGGTGTCGACATTGATCGATCAGAAGGTCTGCAAGTTTGAAGGGACCTGCGTCTACATCCCTGAGAGACTTCGGACTAGCGATACCGTGTTTCTGCAACTACGATGCTTCATACTCAACTCGGCATTTTTTGATCGCTCCTTTCAACTAGCTGACGACCGGTCGGCTGTCTTCTTTGAGCAAAACGAGACAACGGATGAGAAGAATCTTCGGCTACGGCAGTTTGCTCTGGTGAAACTCTTTGAGGAAGTCAATTTGCAACCGACCGTGACGAATGCTGCTGCAAAGGATGGTCGTAAGGGCCTCCTTCAGGCTGCTGAGCAGGACGAGGAGAAGCAGAAGGACCTCAAAAAGACAACCACCAATGGAAAAGAAGTTCACTCATCAAATTCGTCGGACACGGAAGAAGGAGAGGAGCTGGAACAGGACCAACTCGATGCGCTCTACAAAAAGGCGCAATCTTTCGACTTTAGTACCCCTGAAGCGGAACCGGCAGACACTTTCGCCATGGATCTTCGACCATACCAGAAGCAAGCGCTGCACTGGATGATGGCCAAGGAGAAGGATGAAAAGAGCAACAGGGAGCCGTCGATGCATCCTCTCTGGGAGGAGTACACTTGGCCTCTCAAGGACGTTGACGACAAGGATCTACCACCAGTCGAGGGACAGCCCAACTTTTACGTCAATCCGTATTCTGGTGATCTCTCCCTCGACTTTCCTGTTCAAGAGCAGCACTGTCTTGGTGGCATTCTCGCTGATGAGATGGGACTTGGAAAGACGATTCAGATGTTGAGTTTGGTTCACACACATCGATCAGAGGTTGCTCATCAGGCTCGCCAATCCGCCGGTGGCATCTCCAGTGTGAACCAACTTACGAGACTGGGCATGAACTCCGAGTCTGTTCTTCCAGCGCCCTGCACAACGCTCGTCGTTGCACCCATGTCACTACTATCGCAGTGGCAGAGTGAGGCAGAGAAGGCCTCCAAGGAGGGGACGATGAAGATTGAACTATACTATGGCAACGAAAAGAGCAACAACCTTCAAGCGCTTTGTTGTGCATCCAATGCAGCCAGTGCGCCAGACATAGTGATCACGAGTTACGGCGTGGTGTTGTCCGAATTCAGCAGCATTGCTGCAAAGAACGGCGACAAGTCATTCCACAACGGCCTTTTCTCGCTCAAGTTTTTCCGAGTAATTCTTGATGAAGCCCATCACATCAAGAACAGATCATCCAAGACAGCCAAGGCCTGCTACGAGATCTCAGCTGACCACCGCTGGGCCTTGACCGGAACACCCATTGTCAACAAGTTGGAAGACTTGTTTAGCTTGGTCAGATTCCTAGGCGTGGAGCCTTGGAACAACTTTTCATTCTGGCGGACGTTTATCACAGTGCCCTTTGAAAGTGGAGAGTTCGTCCGGGCTTTGGATGTGGTGCAAACAGTGTTAGAGCCTCTTGTGCTTCGACGCACAAAAGATATGAAGACACCCGACGGCAAGCCTCTTGTGCTTCTACCACCCAAGCAGATTGAGATTGTCAACGTGGAACTGTCGGAGACGGAGCGAGGCGTCTATGACTACATCTTTAACAAGGCGAAGCGGACGTTCTCGCAAAACGTCGAGGCTGGCACTGTCATGAAGGCATTTACCACCATCTTTGCGCAGATTCTACGTCTTCGTCAGTCCTGTTGCCACCCTATCCTGGTCCGCAACCGTGATATCGTGGCGGACGAGGTTGAGGCTGAGGCAGCTTCCGACGCGGTTTCTGGTCTTGCCGACGATATGGATCTCGAGTCGCTCATCACCTCGTTCACGGCGGTGACGGATGAAGCGTCGAAAGATAACAACCAGGTCTTTGGCGCCCATGCGTTGGAGGAGATTCGCGACGAAGCAGAAAACGAGTGCCCGCTCTGCTTCGAAGAGCCGATGAATGACCAGACAGTCACTGGATGCTGGCACTCTGCTTGCAAAAAGTGTTTGCTAGACTACATCAAGCATGAAACTGACAGGGCAGTTACGCCTCGATGTTTCAACTGCCGGGAGCCCCTCAACCAGCGAGATCTGTTTGAGGTTGTCCGGCATGATGATGACCCTGACAAGGTCTCGAAGAAACCCAAGATCAGCCTACAGCGTGTGGGTGTCAACGACTCGTCAGCAAAGGTCGTGGCACTCATGTCAGAACTACGTGCGCTACGGAGAGAGCATCCCAAGATGAAATCCGTGGTGTTTTCACAGTTCACTTCGTTTCTCAGCCTCATCGAGCCAGCCCTGACAAAGGCAAACATTAAATATCTACGGCTTGACGGATCGATGGCCCAAAAGGCTCGAGCAGCAGTTCTCACCGAGTTTACTGAGAGGAAAGGATTCACTGTCCTGCTGCTCAGTTTGCGTGCGGGTGGTGTGGGACTCAACTTGACGAGCGCAGGGCGAGTCTTCATGATGGACCCCTGGTGGAGTTTTGCAGTCGAAGCTCAGGCTATCGATCGAGTGCACAGAATGGGACAAGAGTCGGAAGTACAAGTAAAGAGGTTTGTGGTCAAGGAAAGTGTTGAGGAGAGGATGCTCAAGGTTCAAGAGAGGAAGAAGTTCATGTGAGTTGATCAAGTTAGGGGTAACGAATCAGGCTAACATGTGACAGTGCGACCTCGCTGGGTATGATGAACGACGAAGAGAAGAAGCTACAACGCATTGAAGACATTAAGGAGTTGTTGAGTTAAGCTTGGTGCTTAGCAGCCCGGGGGGTATTCCTTTGCATTCTATGGGCGTTGGTGAACTATACGACACACAACTACGGCATAGAGTAAATATAGACAGCGCGCTATGAGAAGCTCTCGCGCAGAAATGAATAATGATGATGGGTTTTCAGGTGAGGTTGCTTCTGCTGCCTACCGTGTTATGTGCTGGGTGAGACAAGTACCAACGTCTGATCAACGAAGCCACACATGGAAACATCACGATTTTGTATGAATATCCCAAAATTTCGAAACTCAATCAGGTTGTCTGGTCATTTCATTCATTCAGAGACCGAAGCGATCATTCAGCGAATATTTCTGGTCATGGCAATGTCTCATGGCGGTCATGTTCCTGCATTGCCGCGTCCAGTCGCCTCAGACAAGACATCGCGTGACCACGAGCCTCCATCATTCAGGACAACCCATCACGAACCTGACGCGTCTCACCTGACCTGGGACTCTCATGGGTCTCAACTCGTTGTTTGGGGGCGGCATACGCATGTTATTTAAAAGGACGGGAAGCCGCCTGGTGGCAGCCTTGGTGATGCTCTGCCTTTTGGAGAGTGTAACAAGGAACAAAGTACACACACATTCATTGTAGTTGGGCGTCAGTCAGTCAATCAATCTGCCGGCCGCCGAGCTGCATTGCATATATGCAACACACCCTTTTCGCTTTCTTTTCAGGCTGCAACCTTTGTTGATTTCTTCTTCTATTTACCTTGTTTTGCGGGGTCTCTCTGCCGTCAGCTTTGCGATCTGGAGTCTCTTCAGCTTGGAGACGCTGTCGAGAGACGGAGCGACGACGACGTTGCTGCTACTCACGACTCGGTGTCTCGGATAGATCCAGAGATTAAACAAGAGGTTGACGACGACAAGGTCGACCTTGGACAACTAGAGACTCGGGTTGAAGACAAGTGTCAGACCACCAGAGCGTCTGACGTCGAAGAGGTTGGCTTTGAAGATAGGGTCAACTGCGATAACGAACAGGATCTAGACGACGGGTACGACAGTGACGACGAGGGACATCTTTGCTCTTTGTTACTCTACTTTATTTCAAAGACTGTTCTTCATCACCTGACGGAATCGTCCAAGGCAAACAACATGGACCGCTTCGCCGAGCAATTCTTTGGCCGCCCAGAGCGCGACAGCAATTCACGAGCTCGACCCCCCGAGAATACAAGCTTCATGGAGACTTTTGCAAAGAACCTTGCAAAGTCGGCTGCCAGGTCAGCTGCCAAACGTGCCATGGGCGAGTCCTCTGGTAACCGCACCCGCGACCGCACTCGTGGAGGTGTTGGTGCCGGCGGCGTTGGCGAGATCAACCTTGAGGACTTTCGAGGTCTGGGTAGCTTCGTTCTTGGGATGTTGAACGGAGGAAATGATGATGGACGAAAGGGTGAGGAGAGGAAGAAGGATAAGAAGAGAAAGAGGGATAGGGACAGGGACAGAGATGGACATAGAAGCAGGGGGTTCGAGGATGAAGGAGACAGATACGCTTCCGACAAGGAGAGACGCAAGAAGAAGCGTCACCGAGTCACCTTTGCAGAGCCTTACTACGAGTTCCAAGGCGAAACCTATCCCCCTCCCTACGAACCCGAGCCTCAATACGAACCAGACCCTCGAGAGCATCGCCGCTCCTCGCACCGTCATCACAGACGCGACTCCCGCGAGCGAGAAGAACGCGAGGAGCGCAGACGTCGTCGACGCCAGCGTCGATACCGTCGTGATCTGGACCTCAAGACACTCAAGACGGAGCTCGAGGCCATGTCCAGCACCATCATCTCGCTTAATGCCCGAGGCGCAAAACACAGAGATTGTGAGTTCTACGATCGATTCGTTAGAAAGGGTGGTAGACTTCAGGATGTCATTGGAAGCACTCTGGGGCAGATCCGTGGATTTGAGGAGGGAGGTGGCGATGATGACAGGAAGAGGAGACATAGGGAGAGGTAGCGATAAAGGGGAATAGTTTAGTTTAGCGAGGAAGCTAAATTCTTACAGGAGAATGATAAGAAGAGGAGACACGAAGAGAGGTGGCGATAAAGGGGGTTGGTTTGGTTTGGCGAGGAGGCTATATTTTCACGGGAGGATGATAGAACTGTTTCCATAGTTTGGTGTGTGTTTTTTTTTTCTTCTTCTTCTTTCCGTCACGCAACATAACTCAAGATATCCAGAATGTTTTCCCTCTTTTAATGTTTTTAACAAAATTGCAAGTTTCTTTGTCATGTTGCATCGGGCACCGTCGTGCAAGTTGTTTGACCAAACAACTCGGGGCGCTCGCCACCACCCAAACTATCTAGGAGACAAAAAAAAGCTGGTTGAGTCTTTTTTGTAAAAGAGAAACTTTCATTGTTTGTGGGTTGCAGAATAAAGGAATTGGACGCTTTCTGTGCACAACGGGACGGCTGCTAGCCGAAGACGAGCATCAAGGCTTTGTAGCGTCGGTGTCGAAACCCGTGGCTTTGTGGGTAGATGATATATAGTAAACCGCGGATTCTTTTTCTGATGTGATTAATCACTTATCAGTGACATGTTGAGATCTTCACTTTTGTGATGGCGCCCATTGGTCTTTGGTATGGCTATGGAGCAGACGACCAAGAACATCGACATCCTGGAAGCCTCAGAGAACTCCCCAGCATGGCTCCAGTCAAGAGTCCATTCATCGGTTCGATCGCATCATTGAATGATATATCGAGTACCCAGCCCATTTTCAAGGCCAATACCCTCTTCTCCAGAGGAATGCCCGTTCTGTACCGTCGAAACGCCAGCTCTGGGACTGTTGGAATAGCAGTTGGGCTGACGCTGCTGTGCATCATCATCATCAGCGGTCTATTCTACTGTGCTTGGGAGAACACCAGGGCGGAGAAGCGAAGGCAAATGAAGGAGAGGGAGAAGAGGAAACAAGGACATCGACATGAGACACACATTCGTGGGGGACGTCGTCGACACAGCAAGAAGCACCATCATGTTCATAACCATGGTGAGCATCACGACTATTTCGCCAACCTTTATATCCCAGAGCAACACCACGAAAAGCACCATCACAAATGCAAAGACCCTCACCATCGACACAGGCATTGTCGTCATAAACATGCCCACAACCGTCACGAACGAAAGCTATGGAAGAGGCATCATCGCTGTCGTCACAAACACAACAATCCTCCAAGTCCCATCATCATCGATGATTGGGCTCCTCAACGACCTGAACCAATACTTCAGTCTCCGATCGCCTTTGTGCCAAAGTACGATGGTCTACTGATGAACGAGATGGATGCTCCTCAAATGGGCAGAGACTTTCAGGTTGGAGATTGCTTTCCTCAATGTGGCAAGGGTATAGATGGATTCGTCTGTCCTCGTCACGGTGTTGTTCGGGATGATAGGAAGTAATAGAGGGGACTGAAGTCGGGAAGAATAAACAGGCGCACCAATGTACTATTAAAGGAGTATGATAAACTACCAAAGGGGAAATACAAGTCACCAAGGAAGAACAAACTTAATATCAATCAACCATGTCGCAAAAAGACCAAGCTCATGTCGCATGCAGCCAGCTTACAAGTTTACCGACAAGGAACCATATGCATCATAAATACAGTGGAAGAATCATACATGGAAGTGAAAGGTCTAGAGAATGTCAGTCAACTATGCATCCAATGATGGGAGATAACTTGCCAATGTCGTCTCATCTTATTTATCTGCCGGCTTGCCTTCTGCCGGAGTCTCGTCGGTCGCAGACTTGGGTGAAGGTGGTGCGCTTCTGTCAGAACCCCTAGACCCTCTGCTACTAACGGATTTGTGCCTGTGATGGTGATGATGATGCTTCTTCTTCTTGAAGGTCCAGCGGATAGAACCGCAGTACATCCACAGAAAGACAACGACAACAGCAAGGAAGGCGGCGAGAGTGAAGCCGACAATGAGGCCAATCTTGATGTTGTTGTTCCGAGAGGGGTTACTAGAGAACTGTCTCTTGACAAGAACATCTCGAGACTGGTCAATGCTGTGCAAACCCCTCTGGAATAACCTCAGAGCCGGGTCGAGCAGGCCATGGCTCTGGGCATCAACGGGTGTCCCAGGGCGCTGGTGCACCGCAGAGACTTGCAGATGGCGCCGGATATACATCCAATCGCAGGCCAAAAGTGGCACGATGATGATATTAAGAGAAAGAAACGGTTAAGACATGAAGGGGAGGGAGAGGGCGTGGGACGACCCCAGACGGTTGGGACATGACATGGTGAAGAAGTGGTCAGGGTCGTCCACTTGGGCAAGGTCCGGACAAGAGTGCATATTTAAGCGGGCGACGGGGGGATAATGTGTATGGCGTGCGTGGTTTTCAACGTGTGCCTCGAGAGAGTCGAGTGCATATGCCTGCTGCAGAGAGGGCGCCTCCTGCCGTGGTATCGCATGCGGGCTGAGCGTATCAGACGCAGTAAGACGAGATGCCTAGTTCCAATCAGCCGAACTGAGGCGAATGGTGATGGTTACCTGCGGGGTGAGGTTTGGTTGGCTGTCGTGGAATGGGGGGAGATATGGGATGAGGAGACAAGAGAAGAGACGATATCATGAGATGGGGGCATGAGGGATGAATGTATTCAAGTTGGGTATAGATGGAGATGTAATTAATTATGCAGGTATTAGACATAAAACATGCAAGCCAGAGGCAAGCCAGAAGCAAGCTATTAAAAGATTCAGGCCCGAGTAAAACAATAAATGCGCTGTTGGTCTTGTCTGCGGGGGAGGAGGCGATAAACTGTCCATCCAGGTGGCTTGCTTGGACAACGCATCAAATGAAGCATCCATCGACACTGTTGGAGCCAGTCGTACGACACCACGATGCAGATGATATTCAGCTCTAGGGGTGACGGAGTAATTACTGTGGGAGAGAAGAGATGATGGGGCAGCCTGATTGATAACTAAACCCTTCAGCACGGTCACGGGTTTCGGGCCTCGAACCTGCATGGCAAGAGCCCTGGAACGGTCCTGGCGCCTTCCTTCCCTCCCATTCACTTCACTTCAATCTTCCTTGCTTTTTTCTTCCCGTGAGGCTCAACCGAACCCAACTTCAACTTCCCATCGCCACTCACTACCGACCCCTGCAGAATAGACGCCATCTCCACCATTGAACCGCCTCACTTATAGGACCATGACTCGGCGAACCGGATCATCTTCAGCGCTTGACTAGGCCATCAATAACGCCTGGGGACACCTATCGGGTCATGCCCCGGACAGCTAATGGAACAAGACCCCGGGCATCAGCACAGCACGACACGAACGGAACGGACCCGCTCCCAGCACACGCCGAGCGACCCGTCCATGAGATGAGCGAGCACCAGAGATTGTAATGCCCGCCTGTTCGTGGTATGCAACTCGCAGCATGCCGACCAACGTCTGCAAACAAAACCCCAGCAACCACGAGTTTGACACGGCCACGACTGCTCAGAATCGTCAGACCAGAGAGTCATTCCCCCACCTGATCCCTTGGTAGCATCGGATTGGGGGGGGCTAGACGTGCGTCTCGTCTCGGATGATGGGCTCCCACGAGTCAAAGCGCAAATACTGAGATTGCCGAGAATTGACCTGGTCTCCCAAGGGGCCGTTAAATGGCCCTTAAAGATGCACAGTCTCCCCTTGTTCGTCCCGTCCGAGACCCTTTGACCTATCGACTACACGTGCTTGTCTTGCAATGAGCTACCACTAACCCCCACGTGTCACCCCCAGCCTCGAACCATCAGATCTAAGCCTGTATCTTCTTATAGCTCCCACTTTCCCGTCAGCAAGCAGCTCACTTCTAAGCTAAGCACACCAATTCAATGGAGACCAACAGCAACGTCAAGCTACTGGCCGTCTTGGCTGACCCCGATGATGCCGAGCAGAGCGAGTATCGCTTCCTTGTCGACGACGCCCACGTTCGATATGTGACGCTTGATGGGGGTCTCATATCTGGCGTGGATCGCACATATGCCCCCGTCCTCCTCTCGCAACTGCCACCTTTTCCGCCCGGCGATTGGAACGAGGGCCGCGTAGGAAAGGATGAGCGTACAGGGGAGCCGTGCTTCTGTGAGACGAGGCGAAGCAGTCTCCCTGGCATCGGCGACGTCTGGCACAAGACCATGATAGATCATCTGGAGCTCCACCAGCTCGACCATATTCGTCAGACCCTCTACCGCGTCACCCACCCATCTTTTGATCGTCCGGTGTTGGCCAAGTTTGCCCAATTCCCCTGGGAGATCCCCTACTTTGCTGCCGAGACCACCTCATACGAGTGGATCCACGGCCGGGGCATCGGCCCCGCGTTTCTCGGACACATCCACGAGAACGGCCGAGTCATCGGCTTTTTGATTGAGGAAGTTCCGGACGCCCGGACCGCAGAGCCCGACGACCTAGCTGCGTGCCAGCGCAGCTTACAAAAGCTGCACGAGCTGGGTATACTCCACGGAGATATCAATAAGCACAACTTTCTGATCCGAGGCGGCGACGGTGAAGCCGTTCTGATCGATTTTGAGACAGCACACAAATGTACGGACCAGGAACTGATAGACGCAGAGTACAAGCATCTGCAGGATAGTTTAGCGGACACGTCAGGACGAGGAGGTGCAGGTATGGCGAGCGATTCAAGTTCAGACTGAACGAAGAAAAGAGAGGATCACAGTACTTGGGTACAGGGCCAATTCGGCTTGAGCGTATCATTGCTTCATGCATTGACTCCTTGCAAAGCATGATGGACGCACAAACATGAGTGATCCGTTGCCAAGCGGGTACACATTGTCATTCACTGTTGAGAGACAAGGAGTGATTGGCTCACTGCTTGCAGGACTCATGTAAGTCTCATACATGATCAGTAAACACATTATTCAACAGCTAACCACATATCACAGGGATTGGACTTTTGATAACAGAATAGACGAGACTTTTCAGATTTAACCAAAATACTACATTGTGCTCGCCAAGTCGAGGAATCTCCAAGACATACATTGTACCCATCGCCTAACTAACGCCGAGCGCCATGGAAAATGCCATCCGCTCACAATTTTTATCGCACTCAAATGATCTGCTGGACGTACTGGGGTCCGAAACCAGCTTCGCCAAACTTGGAGCCGGGAAGGGAAGCGATAGGCTTCTCCTGGAGCTTGCCGTTGTTACCACGCTTGAGAGCAACAAGACCGGAGGGACCGTCCTGGTTACCGGCAAAGACATGCTGGGCGGTGGAACTGAAGCTAATCATGCGAGGCAGAAGGCCGCCCGTGGAGACACTGTCGGCAAATGTGAGGGTGCCGCACTTGGCGATGGTGAAGTGGGCGATGGAGTCGGTGTCGTAGCCCGAGAGGCGGTTAGAGATGTAGAGGTCCTTGTTGTTGGGTGCCAGAATGACCTCGCCGACAGCAGCCTTTGAGGGATCCTTGGGGGGTTGGTCCCTGCCGTAGGTGGAGATGGTCTGGGTCTCGGTGAAGGCGAGGGTGTTCTCCTCGTAGGTAACCTTGTAGACGATGGCAGTGTTGGACAGCTCACAGCCAACGATGTAGTGAGTGGCCTTGGCAGCGCCGCTGGGGTAGAAGACACCATGGCGGGGACCACAGCCAGCAGTGACCTTGTTGTTAGAGGCGACCTTCCAGGCGTCGTTCTTGGAATCAATAATGACAACAGAGTCGGTGCCCAGGTCGTTGACAGCAAAGTAGCGACCAGAGGGGTCCAGGTTAGACTGGTGAGGGTGGGAAGCAGCCTGCCGCTCCTCGTTGGGGCCAAGCTCTCCAGGAGACTTGATGGTCTTGATGAACTTGAGGCCACCCTTTTCCGTGTTCCAGACATCAATGGTACCGTTGCCGTAGGCGGCGCCAACAAGACGCGTCTTGGCCTTGTTGAACTCGAGGTGAACGACACCAATGCTGCCATCCTTGCTCTCAGTCTTCTTGGTGAGCTTGTTACCCTTGAGGTCGACCTCGAAGAGGCGGAGGTTGTCCGAGTTCTCGTCGACAGCGTACAAGAGGTTGGGGGAGGAAAAGGCCATCCACGAGTTTCCGCCCTCAATCTCTTGCTCGAGGGTGAGCTCGAACTTGCCGGAATGGGAGTAAAAGTCGGCGATGTAGATGTGGCCCGAGTTGCCGAGGAGGATGCGCGCCGAGAGCTTCTCGGCGGCGGCGTAGGCTCCGCGGGGGATGTGGGGGAGGGCCGAGACGGAGGAGGCGAGAGCGGCCGTGAGGCCAAAGATGGAGAACTTCATGACGAAGATTTGGTATGGATGTGGTGGTTTTTAGTTCAGTTGAAAGTGATCGACCAGAAAGCAAAAGAAGAAGTCGCTGAATGGGGTATCAAAGCTAGAAATGAAGAGAGTCGAATGACAAGAAGGAGAGGATCCAGTCCTTCGGGTTCTTGTAGGGATGGCTGACGAGAGATTTTTAAAAGTGGGAAATGAAAAAGGGAAAGCTGACGGATCTTGTTTCTGTTTTTGTCAGAAGGCTGTGAAGGATGAGGAAGAAAGGAGTAGGGGGGAGTAAAGCTAAAACGGTGATGATCAACGAAGGGGTAAGGAAATATATAAGCCTCAGCCCTTGGGGGTGGAAGAGCTTAGACAGTGAGAGCCTGATCCATGCACGGGAAGTGAACAATGCAGGGCTTGTAAGCCTTTGAATCACTGCGGGTGAACAATGAGTGACTATTGGATACGAAACACACTGCCGTCTCCTTGTCATGGACGGCGGCTGCTCAAAGCCTCGTTGACTGGGAATGCTTTTTGTTCGCATGAGGCGGAGGCGCAAGCAGGGGGGTGGTTGGGGGGCACAGACAGGAACGGATGGATAGGAATAGATTCTTTCAGGGGCTGTGTGACTAGGCTGGGCGAATAATGGTAGGCTATGTCTTGTTATTTCTACAGCCTGCTTTTGCGGGTGAGGCCAGGTGACTAAATGCCAAGGAGTCTTGAGTGAGAATTGTGTAAGATGAGTGCATTTTGGCCAAGATGAGGGCATTTTGGTGATAGACGTGCACATTGTGAAATGAAGAGTCTCGTAAAGAAACAAAGTTTCTGGTCCCCGATGAAACGAAACTCTCACCGAGTAAGCGGGGGCCAAGCCAATCCAATCAATTCCACTTGCCAAGCCTCAAACCTCTAGTTTCACGGGGAAGCCTCACACCAAGAATAATTGGAGGGCGGCTAAAAGAAACTTGAGACGAGCGGCTAAGGACCAATGCAGGGGTTTTTGTGTGTCGCGTTTATTGGAAGCTGAGTCTTTTTGACTTGTTTAAGCTTGATTTTCGGAGCCTGCTTTTTGGTAAGGCTCTGGATGATGGACTGGCGGTTGTGGGCGTAGCTGAGCATCCTTGTCATTTTGAGGTTTGAAACACCAATCATTTACTGCAAGGGTGTTCATCTCAAACATCAAAAGGAACTATTCTTCCATTTATTGCAAACGAACGAACCAACCATTTCCATCCTTCTTCTTCATTGGCAATTTACTTTCCTTTTCTAGTATTGGTTTTCATCGTGGTTTCTTTCACGTGAGCTTGGTACGTACCACTCGTTGGAGCAACTACCTGAGAGTTCAAGCAACTCCAGGGTAAAAAGAAAATAGCTTCACACAGCAAAAAACATACAACAGCGGGGATTCGCTGGTCGTCACCGACCCAACTACTAATCCGCCCCTCACTGGCTTATCTATGGGAGAGCGGACGGGATCCCGAGTTCTCCAGTGGGTATGGTCGTATGTGCTAGAGAGCGGGCAGAACGAGACTCAAGGAGAGAGTGCGTGGGAATGAGCACCCTTCAATGCCCCTGAAGGCTTGGTATGCAATGGCATTTGCCCAGTCATGAGAAATATCCTGTTCTATTGTGTGAATGTTTAAATGCTGCCCCAATTGGTGTCCGTTGAGACGAGGCTCACATGATATGCTGCCGGGGCATTCTGGTACGCTGGACTACAGCTTGGTCTACGATCACTGCCATGCCACTTTTGTTCAAACCTTCTTAGACGTCTGTAAGAGATAGTCTAGGGTTAAAATGCTTTCCGAGCCCATACTGACATCTTTAATGTAGTGTAATTTGACGGGTTAAACGTTTGCAAGCGTGATATCCCAAAATGGCAGTGCAAGTCCAGTGCAAAAGGGGATGATATCTCGATTCGACCATAAGCAAACGCATGTACTCGACGAATGAGCTTCTAGCTTCAACCCCCAGAACAATTGTCCTCGATACTCATAGACCTTGCAAACGGATACAGACTTGTAGATTATAGACAACCCATTGTTGAATAGCTTCAACCAACGAACATGAATAGAATGAGAGTTGCATTGCGTTTCCCTCATGGCGTCTCCATATCCTTCATCTCGAGATATGAATTTCTCTCAACTCTTGATTCCCCGTGGTTATTCATCTCGAGATACGACTTACTTTCAAGTCTCTATTCCTTGCAGGCTCTCCATCTCGGAATCCTCAGTCCCTCTCGAGACAAAGTTACATTGTGTTGCCCTTTTCATCACACATCTATCTCGAGATACTCCTCTCTCCCAAGTCTTCACTCGCAGATTCTTCGTTTCTGCCCTTTCGATACCCTCAAGATCTACTTCTTTAAACGTCAATAACTCCAAAATCGTCATCATGAGTTCTTATATCCCCTCTGTCGGCTTCCACCCCGCCAACCCAGACGAGCACACCCACACCGTCATCTTTCTCCACGGCGAAGATGAGACTGCTCGCCTCTGTGCCCAACGTTTCAGCAGACTCACTGGTTCGTGCGGTCAGACTCTCCAACAGGAGTTTCCCACCATTCGCTGGTGCTTTCCCACCGCCCCGAATGCCAACGGATGGTTCCCCGTCCGTTTTAGAAACGAGCCCACCACCGACCAACACCTCCAAGCCGAAGGTCTTCGCATTGCCGTCACGCGTCTTCGATCTGTCATTCACAGAGAGGCCGAGACCCTGGGGCGTAGATACCATCGAATTGTCATTGCGGGCTTCAGCCAGGGTGCAAGCGTTGCAGTCCTCACCCTGCTCAACTTCAAGTTCCCCTCTGACCTCCAAGACTTCCCTCGCCTTGGTGGTCTCTTTTGTGTTGCGGGACGTCTTCCCTTTGCTGGTCGTGATCTGGAGCAGATCCGAACCATCCTCGACCTCCCTGGCAAGCCCACCAACAACTTGGTCGTCTCTCACACTCCCATCCTCGTCCAGCACAGCCACGACGATAGAGAGACACCCGTCCGACACGGCTGCCAAACCTACGACGGGCTGGACCTTGTTGGCGCCAACCCAATCTGGCGCGAGTACCTCCGTGGTGGACACTGGTTCAACAGTCCCGCTGGAGCTGATGACCTTGTTGCCTTTCTCGGAACGGCTCTTGGGGTTGGTCGCTGGGGACAGAACCGGGGTGATGTGGTCTGGTCTGGTCGACTTCCGATGCCCTCGCAGTCTGACGTTGCTGCCTACTTTGGCAAGACTGTTGGTGAGGATGAGTGGTGAGGGCTTTTATGTGTTGAGGCTTCAGATGAACTGAGCCTGAGGGAGAGGATGAAACGTCGTCGGTGGAGTTGAGATGAAAAAGGCATTATACCCCGGTGGAGGTAATAGCAAGACGACTTATGACAATTATGAAAATACAGCATAAATGCGATTAATTGACAAGTGAATGCCTAAAAGTGACTGTCTATTGTCCAAACTAACACCTATACCCCAAGACGCCTATGTCTATTTGCTTTATTGACCCATTTCCCCATAAACCATCATGCCTTATCCATAATTCCACTCTTATCATTCATCTACCATGTAATTCCAACCGCCTTGCCTTCATACCTTCCCGTCTCCCCAACAATCAAGTTCTCATACATCCACCGACCAACATCCTCCCTCGAGATAGTATACCCAAACTCCTTAACCTCAACACCCTTGACGGGATCCTCAACACCCACACGGATCTTGCGGTCCGGCACGGCCCCGTCCACGAGAAGACTCGGCCGCACGGCGACCCACCGCTCGGAGCCGGCCTGCAACTTCTCCTCCATAATCCTTTTGTCCTCGTGCGGCACGTGCAGAGCCTTGTACAGAGGGAGAAAAGCGATGGGCACGTCCCGTTGGAACTTGGAGATTCCTGTTGTGCTGATTACTGCGAGGAGAGGTCTGCCGGTCTTGCCTTGCTGGCGTAGTGCGTCAAGAGCTTTGAAGAGAGCGTCCATTGCCTTTTCGCAAACATTCGGGTCCTCGGTAGTGAGCTTTGCAAAGCTGAATACACTGCCGATAGTGAAACACACAATGTCGACCAGACGAGATGGATCAGCTGGGTTTACGAGGCATGACGCCACGGCTTCTGGGTCGTGGGCGTTACCCTTGATGGCAGCGAGGTTGGCTGGCTTGGAGGGGAAGAGAGTCGAGAGCTTGTCTGGGTTTCGGCAGAGGGCGACGCAGGTATGGTTATTGGCTACGGCGAGCTTGAGGGCTGAGAGGCCGCAGCCGCCAGTGGCACCAAAGAAGGCGATGGTCTTGGACATGATTGAGTGAGTAGAGTGTGTGAGTGTAAGTGGTGGTGATGTTGTTGTGTTGTGTGTATCTTTTGAGTGTGGTTATTGAGATGAAGCTGGTGATGATATATTTTCATAAAGAGGATTCATGCCTCTATATATCATATCTATCCCAATCCTTCAATCAATGAAGTCGTCAATGCAACTCCCAAGACCAGAGCTCGCGCGAAGCTGTCTCCATACGCCGGCACCATAGCACTGCTAAAAACCCCGCCATTTACCACAGTAATTTATCACAGCACTAACAGATAGCAAGTACTGCGCCAAGGTCTGCATACACATGCTCGCGTTTCGCGTTCGTCTTTCGCTCGTCCTTCGCTTAAAGGATTTCGCATCCTAGCAAGTGCCACGCGAAGGATTACATCTGTAACTGTCGAACAGGGATTCCTGGGTCTGATCGTATTCTCTTTGCGCCTTGGATCTATCATCTTCATTCGGTTTCAGCCGACGAATCCTATGGTTTGTGCCGGTGCAATGGTTCATCCGCTTGTCAATCCGCCCAGCCCTACAATGAGCCTTGGGGGGAACATCAATGAACGTCATTCTTTCAATACAGCACAGCTATCATAGTCAACACCCCCATTAATTTCCCCTTGTAATGCTCCTTGCATCCATCAACACTTCCCTAGCATCCTCTCCAACATCCTCTCCCCCTTCTGCCACTCCTCCTCAACCCTCTCCCTCCTCCCATCCCTAACTTCAAACTCCACCGTGACATTCTCCCTCGGCTTCATCATCAACCCATCGTCAAACCCTCCCTCAACACTCAAATCCGTCCCTTCAGGAACCTTCATGTCCAGTGCCCAGACCATCTTGGCCATGATCGCCATTAACGCATGCATCGTGTACTGGTCTCCCACACATCGTCTCCGCCCGGCGCCAAAGATCCATGTGCTCTTGCTGTGCTCGTCTGTTTGCTTTTCTGGGTCTAGGTAACGTTTTGGGTCAAATACCGTTGGGTTGGGGTGCACGTCTGGGTTGTGGAGGATGGCAAAGGCGTTGACTATGATGTTCGTGCCACGGGGGATTAAGTAACCTTTGTATGTGTCGTCTGCGTCTGTGACGTGCGGGAGACCAAGTGGTGCTGAAGGACGCCATCGAAATGTCTGATACATGGTCAACATATCTGAATAGCTTCATGGTCAAAGTGCTCACCTCCATCAGACAAGCCTTGAGGTAGGGCATCTTCCCTACATCCTCGCTTGTTGGCATTCTCCCTCCACAAACTGCTTCCACCTCTTCCCTAGCCTTCTTGAGAACTTCTGCATGTCCTGCCAAAGCCACGACGAAATTTGCAACCGCCGCACTCGTCGTGTCAAACGCAGCATCAAGCAGTCCTCCTGCCAACCACTTGACCTCCCTCTCCGGCATGCCCTCTCCCAGAAGTCTCGCCATCACAGGTTCATACTCCCCAACATCTTTCTCCCCGTCCTTTCGTCTCTGCCGGTTGCTTACGGCTCCCGCTAGCATCTCCCCGTAAAAAGCATCCTGATGTTTACGCACAAAATACGCATCCCTCTTCCATTTCGCAAAAAAGGTCGGCAGCCACCGTAACGGTGCTATGAAGTCGACGGGTGGCGTCTTTCCTGGTTCAAGCAGCCCAGTGACGAGTTTTTGTCGGTAAAAGTATGTCCGAAGCAGGTCTTTGTTGATATGTGTCTGGCCGCTGAGCACAATAAGCGGCGTACTGAAGGCCCAGACTCGAAGGTGTTCGAGGAATTGAGATGGACTGTCACATAATGCCTTGATGCAGCGAGCCCCAACGGCGTCGAGGATGGGCACAATACCCTCGATACCCTGCTGACTTAGGAACCACCTCGCAGGCCGTTTCCATCGCTTCAACAGCCGGTCATTCCGCTGGAATAGATAAATCTGGCCAATGTCTGGCTCAAAGACGTGGTTCAGCGCAATGTAGTTGTAAGGTCTCCCCGCATATGTGCTACCCCTTCGGTCATAGAGCTCATGTATGTCGTCAGGATCGTGAAGCACAACCATGTTCATGGGACCAGCTTTGATCCCCAGGATTGGACCATAGCTCTGTGCCCACTTGGCAAAGGTGACACAAGGCTTTGAGAGCGGTACGTCGAGGATGTTACCAAGGAAAGGCGTTGTTGGAGGTCCTGGGGGGAAGTTCTTTGGGCGGCGGGTTGCCAAGTAGGCTTGAAGGAGCAAGGCTGATACCAGAACGAGAACAATAGCCAGCAGTACTGGTAAAGAAGAGGGGTTGGATTCAGGAAGAGGTATCGCGTGGACATGAGGGAGCTCGTCCAAGAAGGAATGTGTAGTCATGGCTGCACGTCAATGTCAACCTTACCATAACATCGAACGTCAAGGTTAGGGAATGATGGTGAGGAAACTGAATATACCGTCCTTTGATTGCTGAGAAAAGCAAGAATAAGTCAAGAACTAAGTAGCATTACGAAAACCAACATCACCACCATACCGTCTATTTAATACTCCCCAGCCCTATCACCGTCCATACAGTTCGGCTCCCGACACCTGCGCCATCCATATATAGCCCCATGCCTGCTATGATACCTCCGGCAGTTCCTCAAGATGCCGCCTTCAGCTGCTGACAGGCGCTGCTATATACAGCTCATGGATTGAAAGGGTAGTCATGATGCATGCATGCTTGAGCGTCACGTCTTGTGTAACAGCCAAGCCATGTCGATCCACTTTGAAAGAGAGAATTCCGGTACTCTGGATAGACAAGCATGCTCTTTAAACCTTCTCGTCAGAACCCTCGTGGTATATCTCTGCATTTATACGAATTGGTAGTGATTCCAAACCCGACATGTTCTGTTTATCCTATCAAGTCATCACCAAAACTCTACTGTCAGCTGCAACATAGACACGAAGGCAATACACTTTCAGGATACTAGCAGAGTGCCCAGCCCAAACAAACGAGGCGCATCACGAGGCAGTCATCACCAAACAGGCCTCACCGCACTTCGGCATGCGAACCCCAGGGTGTCAGGGCTGCCTTCGTACGATCGAATACGAAGCCTCACTGCTAGGAACCTTTGACAAAAGGCCATTCTCCGGCCAATCCCCCGTGTGGAAGGGTTTCACTGGTGTTGTGTGTGGTGCATGATATAGGACGTCATAGAAGTTTGGGTAGGCTTCTCACGTTGGTATGTATCATCTACAGTACTTCAGACCTATAGGCATCTACTTGAACTGTTGCTATTATTAGGCTGCTGTCTATCATAAAGTGCGAATGCCCTCATCCCGTCATGACTCTCATGTAGACTATTTTAAGCACAACCTCACTACCAAATGCAGAAATGTCTCGACTCATCATTGGCCAGGGACTCCTCAACACGAAACATCAGAAGCAAGTTCCTGCAGCACACTTCTTCACAGAAAAACGATACAAAGTTTCAGTGTAGGGAGTGGACGGCCGTAGCCATTACCTCCACATTATCTTGATCTCTCTCTTTTCACTCTCTACCCCGCGTGTTCGTCCTGGCCCCATCATGGGTCTTTACTGGTGTCCTCCCCCTCACCGTGAACAAAATATAATCACAAGAAAAAGAGCCATTACATCCAAGGCCCAAGGACGCGCCGGTCCGCAAAAGCCATTGTTTCATCAGAGCAGAAAACACAAATAAACACAAAGAGATGCTATATAATCAGAAAAAAGGGGACCGTCGGTGAGGAACAAGAGCAGGGCGGACATGAAGAGACGAGACAACTATCATAGCCAGTACAGAGCGCAGCCAGCAATGAGGATTGCGAAAGCGCTGGCGCCGTTCTTTGAGCCAGCATTAGAGCCCTTGCTCGAGTCGGAGCTGGAGCTTTCTGAGCTGGAGCTGGAGCTGGAGCTACTGCAATCCTGGTTGAAGCTGGTTGTGTCACAGTTAGTGGTGTCAGCAGGCGTGTCGCTGCTCGAGTCATCGCTCGAGTCGCTACCTGAGCTGCTGCCAGAACCACCAGAGCTGGAGCCAGAACCAGAGCTAGAGCCAGAGCCACTGGAGCTATCCTTGTCCTCGCTGTGATCGTTGGCAGGAGCTCCGCTGCCACCACCGGGAATGGTGGCAGGCTCGTCGTCATCTTCGTCCTTGTCCTTGTCTGTATCCTTATCCTTGTCATCATCCTTGTCCTTATCCTCATCTTTGTCCTTGTCCTCTTCCTTGGGCTTGGTCACCTTCTTCTTGCCCTTATCCATGTCGGTACCGGTAGCCTGGAGAGAAGCAATGATGTGGTCCTTGTCGCCATCGACAATGGTGTCGTTGGTACCGCGAACATTGTTGTACCAGTAACTCTTGCCCTTGTTGGTGCCAGGCGCGGTAGGAGAGTTGAAGCACTCAATCTCGACATCGGAAAAGGTAGCATAGAAGTATCCGTTGTTCTGGATATCGGCAGCCTCCCAGTCAATGGTACCACCAGCCCAGGCCCTCGTACCCTCGGCGTTCGTCTCCTTGCCGCCAGGCCAGAGGGAGAGCTGCACACGGGAAGGAGTCTGGGGGAAGTCAAAGTTCTGCGAGGTCGCGTTCCAGGTCTCCTTCTTCTCCTTGGTGCGGCCGAGCTTGCCATCGATGTACCACTCAATCTTTTCGGGAGTCCAGCGGATCTCGTACTCATGAAAGTTCTCAAAGGTGTCAGACAGGGTGATGTTCTCCGAGTTCTCGTCTATCACATGTGTTGTCAGCATTGACCGGTGTGTCGGTTGGGGGTATCACGTGAACACCCGACGCTGGGTGACGCGAGGGTGCAACGCAGTGTGACGGTGGACGACTTACAGTTGGTAATGCCCTGGAAGTAATAGTTGGTCTGGGCAGTCTCGAGGTCGACACCGACAAATTCGTAGTCGATCTCATCCTTTACGTCAGAGAACAGGATAAAGGCAGTAACGACACCACGGCCGCGACTGGTCTTGAAGCGAGCCTTAACATTGCCGTACCACATGTAGACGGTGGAGGACAGGAGAGTGCCGACACTGTCCTTGGGCATGGTGAGGAGCACATTGTCCTTGAAGACGGCGGGTTCGCCCTGGGCAACCCAGTCACTCTTGGAGGAGTCACCAAGGTACTTGCCGATGTCGGTGATGCGGTCAAGCGAGTTCATCTTCATTGTGCGGTCCTCACAGACGGGCGCGGGGACGCAAGAGTCGAGGGTGAAGGACATGGTAGGGTCGCAACCACCGAGGCAGTATGCGCCAACACCGCATTCACCATAAGCTAAAGAATCGTCAGAATGCTAAGGATTAAATGGTAGAAAAAGGAGCCATACTGGAGCAGCAAGGAGATTCCTTGGGACACTTGCTGTTGGCGGTGCACTTGACGGTTTGAGCGCTGACCGAAGCGGCGCCCAAGAGGGCAGCCACAGCAAGAGATCGCAACATTATGAATATTGTCGAGTAAAACGATGCAGTCGAATATGCTGTTGCGAAAAAGTACCTCGAGTCGGTATCAAGCGACAAGAGGTTCGCAATCAAATATTAACAGATATGGCAGGTCGAATGCGAGGTGACGACTGCCGCGAAAGAGAAAAAAAGAGGAATTATCCAAGAAGAGCAAAAGAAAAGAAAAATTAACAATCAAATCAACCCAGAAAAAACGAACGACTCTGATTGTTGTTGATTTAGGTGCAGTTGGCCGTTATTAGGGGAGAGAGCTTGGCTTGGCTGTTTTGCTTGGCCGATATCAAGCGAGCAGTTGCAAGAGAAAAACAGGCGTTGTTGGAATGCGGGCCGCGATACAGTTTGCGCGTCTCTTTTCCAAAATGTCTTCTTTTCAACGCTCCCTAGGCTGTTTGTCGATCTCGTTGAACTTTCTTCCTAGCGAGAGTAAAAACTGAAGACGTCGCGTGGTGCTGCGCTGCACTTTCGCTGTGCTTCGGATCGGGCGATCGGGGGGCGTGTGTTGGTTTGCGGGATCGGTTTTTGTGTGACGGGGTGAGCGAATGGACGGTTTGATAAGCGCCGCCGATATCTCCCTTTCCTTCAAAGGAAACAGAGAATAAAGGAGGGCAAATAAGAACAAGTATAAAAAACACCACAAAAAACGAAGGATTAAGGAAACACCAAAAGTTGGTTCCAAGAAACGACTGTCGGGTGATGAAGGAATCAAGAAAGACGGACAGTCAAGTCCCCAGGGAAGGAGTTTACCTACCTGGACTAGTTCCAGACAAGAAATGGAAGCAAGCCCAAAAAGGCAGCCCCTCAAAACCTGCATCCATGACATTGGATGGCACGGACGGAGGGCGGGCCTCTTGTGCCGGGGTTCCGCTACTCGACTCCAGACGAGAACCAAGACAATAACGCGCACACGAGATTCACAGTCCAAGCTCCCGACTCCAGCCAATCCAGTCTCCCCTTCACCCATCATCACCAGGCCTCGGTACCCCGGCCGGCCCCTGATTTGGTGGGTGACAACCCTACGTGAGTGGGTGACGGCCTCGTTTAAGGCGGAGCCAGGTCTTCAATGGCACTCTCCTGGCGCGAGAGATAATTAACCAACAAAGCCAGCCCGGCCCACCTGTTTGCCTTGCCCACTCCCTTTTGAGTCTTGACAGTCCAGTCTCGTGCCCAGTTTTTAGCCCGAGGATCATCAAACACAGGGAGGACTCTCGACAAGATCATCACCATGACTCGATCCAGGAGTTGACACTGTCGGAGAAGGGGAACCAGCCATGACAAGGGGGGGTCGTGTGTTGGTGCGCATAGCCGAAATGGCACCAAGGCACACTCGACTCATCAGCGACAATGAATGATCTCCGATGGAGTCGATGCCAATCAATGCCAATGCAACGCCGAGACTGATACGGAGCAGACACATGACCGTCTCTTGAATTGCTTCCCCCTCATTCGCTCTCGTACGGTCCAGCAAAGATATCCACAGACAATTCACAGCACAGCGTGTTAGCCCTTATCTTTATGCAAAGAACCAAAAACACTTGTTCATGATAACCCATCTCTCCTGTCTGTCTGTCACCTGACGTGACGGCCTCTCTGCCCTGCTTAGCTCTGTTCCAGCTCATCACAATGCCTTGCCTCAGCTTCAGGCTACCATACATTCATCAATCCCTGCCCATAAGCTTAAATATCATACCACCCAATCCCATCCCAATAAGCGTGCACATAATGAACACAACCAGTAGCAAACAATACCATGTCGTTGGCGTCTGACAAGTTTCCATATGCCTTCGACGCCATCATGCATCGCCGTTGTCACCGCTACCCCTCAGAGCAGTCAATCACTCTTGTCGCACAAAGCATCACGCAAGCCTCGACGCCACAATGGCACACGACAGCCCAATGCCACTCTGAGGGAGACATCCTGGTCGAGGCGTTCTACAGTGCTTCACCAAAGGTACCAAGCCAGGCCAGAGTCGTAGTCGCCTATACCAAACTAGGCCAAGAAGCTCACCATCAAGCTTCAGTCCTGCTCAAGCCAGCCGTGTAATTACATGCTCATGTCGCATTAGAAAACGACACAGGGTTCCGACGAATTTCCATCCGTCAAAACTTGACCGCCATCTCTGTTTGATCCATTCATTCCTGTCACCACAAGTTACCCCGAAACCCAAGCTTAGTGTCTCATTGTATGCACATCTCGCTCGGCGCATGCAACCAGGGTTGAGTGTGGCTGACGAGGAACACCATGGCCGAGTACCATTGTCCGTACCTTTCCATCCCTGGTCTACGTCCCCATCAAAGTCATTGTCCGACAGTAGGGACTTGTCTCCAAAGTACCTCACCCCCCAAGGGAGACACATATACAGGTCAACAACAACCCTTCAATAATGTCGCAAACTCGTCACAGCCAAGGCCAATACAGGTGCTTCAGGTGCAAGGAAACAACTCCAGGCGTTGGGGTATAAGTATAACCAATCCTAAATCGAGCAATCTCGTCCTTCCTCCGCCTAAGAGTGAAGAAAGGGGAGAAAGAAGCGAAAAAGTGAGAAAGCCATCATAACGCTCCAGGGTCCGTCTTGCAACGGTTCATCCATCCCATTCCTCCGCGTCTTGCTGCTCCATTATCTCAACTCGAGGGTCCCAAGAATCATCCGTCAAACCATGCGGCCACCAGAAGGACCGTCCCGACCCGATCCAGCAGCAATTTATTCCCCCAAATTCCGTTCCGTCTCCATGTTTCCTGTCCAGATTCCAGCAGGCATCGAGAGCCGCCAGTAGGAAGTGTTACTACAACGAGTGTTCCATTTCCCATCCCCTCACGCCGTACAACAAATCCATCAAATCCTGCTCCCCTTCCGTGTCCGATCCCAAAGGGTGTAGCAAGGCCAGTTGAAATCCGCCATATCTCGTCGTTAAACAATAAGAAAGAAAAAAGGTACGAGTAACCATTAAACAAGTTCAGTAAATCTGCAAAGCGAACGCCGCCGCTGAAGCTTTCCGTGTTTTTTGTGCTTTTCATCTTCCCCCTAGTGCCATGAGTCTTGAATCAGAAGAGCCAAGCCTGGTGGCATCTCCTGGCGGGTTGTGACAGATCACAGCCCGGCCGCGTCGGTATGAACGCTTCGTGAGGAGATTAGTCTACCACTTGCAGTGGTTGACTTATCCTATCTCCCCTTTGAATTGGCAAAGAGATCTGTCAGGGGTTAGTCTGACTTGCTTGCGCAAATGGTCGCCCCTTAGCGGCCGAGCTTCGTGACCATACCCGGGAAATGTTCCTTGGCGTACTGCTCGCAGGCCTAAATCAATGGTTAACATGGCGCATGACCTTGTCAAAGTAACTTGTTATGGGGTCCGTACCTTGGCAGGTTTGCCGACCTTCTGACCAATCACCTTCCATTTATTATTTTCGTACTCTTTAATGGCGTTCAACAACGCTTGACTCTGATGAGGGGGAGGTCAGCTTGGTTGGTCAGTGTGCAGGTGAACGGTGGTTACCTCGTCCTCAGCAAACTCGGCATAATGCATGTCCTAGACCCAGTTAGATATTTGAGCTCAGAGTGTGTGATCCTGATCGGGAGACATACCTTGTACCAGTGCTTCTTCACAGAGCCTTCTGTTCTCGTAGGGAAAGTCTACCAATTATGCTTTAGCCTGCAATTTGTACCTTTTGTTCGTACAGTCAAGACCTACCTTTGCGATCTCTGCCCAACTGTTTCCCGCATCTCGCATCTGCTTAAGCCGCAGCTCCTCTCCAGGTGTCCAGGGAGTATTGGTTCTGCTCTTCTTGGCTGGCGGAGGCGCAACTGGAGCTGAATTCGCATCGTCTACGGGTGCTTGGGGCTGAGGAGGCGCCTGAGGAGCCACCTGGGGAGCAGGAGGCGCAGGCGCAGGCGGCTGAACTTGCGAGGGGGTGACGGGCGCGGGCGGCGCATTCGTGACCGGAGGCGGAGCAGCCGTGGGCGCGGGTCGCTTTCGCTGACGACCAGGCTGAGCAGGAGTCGGAGTAGGAGTCTGCTGAGGCGGCGGGGGACCGTTGGGTGGTTGTTGAGGAACGTTCATGGGAGGTTGAACGGGAGCAGGATGATGTTGCTGCGGCGGAGGCGCCATGTTTGGCTGAGGAGCGCCATAGGCAAACTCCATGCGCTCGTTCCGGCGGGACATGTCCTGCTGGTACGACGGGTGAGGATTACTATGAAGGCACGCTGGTTAGTGGTGTTGCTTCTCCTCGGAGGAAATCGCTGTGGTCATAATTTGGCATGGCGGTGGCCAACAAAAGAACAAGCATCCCGAGCCACTCCAGGAACGAGGACAAGTAGCCAAGTTAATGCGAGCACATCGACAGCCAGGGGGGTATAAGCCAGAGAAGAGAGGCGGTGATACACAGCTTGCAGACATCCACCCAGGGCGATGCCAACATGAGAATACACCGTGGCATAGCCGAGACCGCGCCGTGTAGCAGAGGCCATGCCCGAGGTCATGCTCGGCGATGTACAGAAAACATGAAAGCCAAGGGTGTACTCACTGGATTTCATTGGGTTGATGGGTGTTGGAATTGGAGTAGACATAATCCGGCATAGGGCCAACCTGCCACTGCTGCATGTTCTAAATACGATGACAAGATCAGCATCAAGATCCACAAGAGTGTTCGATTGAAGGGGACGAAAGATGATGAACCAGGACCGGGCGACGAGAGACCGACACAACGGCAGGTACAGCTGTTGGAGTCAAGTCATGATGGTCACCAGGAGCCAGAATGACTGGTCAGTCATATGCAAGCGTGGGTCTGCAACACGCGCAACCTGTGTGGTGACGCGACCGGGGTCTTGAGGCTTGAGCTGTGCTCTCAATCCCGCGATACAGCCATGACCCGCAAGTCACTCGCAATGCGACGAGTCGTCATGAAAATGTTTCTTGCTCCTTCTGACATGAGAGGCGTTGCGCTCATCAGGAATCATGACGGGCCAGGTCTCTCTTTCACACATGACGCGACCGCGTCAAAACGCGCGAAAAGAAGCAATCAAGGAACGAACCAGACATCGCGTCATTGAACATGTGTGAAAACTGTACTTACGGGCGATTTTTTGAAATAGTCCGAGGGAAATAAAGACGGGTGCCAAGGCGTGAACTGTTTGACAACAACCGGGGCAAGTAACGCACACCGGATTGCTAGGACAAGACAGATACACGAGTAGAGGGTGTTCGCGTGTTTGAGAAGTTCTCTGCCAGATGGGAACTAGTGATGTGTGGGCGAGGGCAGGGTCGAAATCTGGTTGGTAAGAGGGACGTGGTGTGGTGGAAGGCTGCCCGGGTTTTGTGTCCGCGCAAGTGTCAACAGGTTGTTACCGCGATGGTCTTAAAAAAATGTGTGATTAATCTTCAGGGAAAGCTGCGCTTGTTTCGTTGGGGTTAGTACAGTTCAAAGATTGGTGAAAAGTGAACCTTCCACAGGTTTCGGCACAATGCATGGCTGGGAGGAAAGTGTTTGCAACGGGCGCGGTCAGATGCCGTGCTGCTTCCACGCGCCGAGGTGAAATGGGGAACTAGACCGAAGCCCCGGTTCTTTTTGGAGGTTGGGATGAGTCTGGGCTGGGGCTGATGTAATGGCCAAGTCAAGTTTGAAGCCGAATCTCAAATGTACATTATGAATGTGATGTGAAGTGCAGGTGTGTGAGGGTGTTGTGTGTACATCAAAGGCCGATGGGGTGCAAGTAAGAGTCGCGGGCGAAAGAGTAAAGGGCATATTCATGTGGTAGGGTGACCATACTAAGCCCCGGTGAAGCTCACCCGGAGCTCAACTCGGCATCAACGGAAGACACGACGCGCAAAAAAAAAACGTGTGCAAATGAGAATGGACATGTTTTGAAGACGCGGTAATAGCCAAGGGCGATGATTACAATGACAAATGTAGAATAAAGGCTTACCTGGGACACAAAAGGCCACAGGGGAATGCGACAAGCGCGCCTGTTCTGACGGCGATGGTGACGACAGAAGGTGTCGTGACCCAGAACTGGATGGAGTTTTGGTTGCAGAAGCAACAGGTGCAGCAACGAGGAGGGCAAAGATGCAGTGGATCCGCCGAGCGAGGATGAAGCTTGAGGTTTCGGGCAACGTGTAAAGGGAAGTACAATCGATACCTCGCATCCGTCGGTAGGATCGAGGATGAAGGTGGACAGGCAAAAAGAGGCCTGGGAGAGCGACGATGGACGGTACCTCGAGGCAAAGTAACTCGGGCAGGACCTGGGAAGTCGCTGGGACCTGGGGGAGGGGAAGGTGGTCGATGTTTTGGACTGGCTCGCCCTTTTTTTTGGTGGAAAGGGGAGAAATGGGGGAATGGATTTTTGGGCACAGCGCGACTGAAGGCTACTGACCCTTGGGAAAAGTGGGTCCACGGTGATTCGAGGCGGTGGGGCATACTGTCTGATAAAATATCGACACTGTGCTCTCGGGCCATTTTTGTGTGTGAGGGACAGTGCTTCTATGACTCAGCGGGTCCGCTTCCTGCACGGGCCTTGCTGCAATCCTGCGCCTGGGAAACAACTTGGACCAAGAGAAAACAAGTACTGGCAGGTACGTGCCCTTCGTACCTGCTGTACCCCGTCACGTTCTCACCTCTGTTTGGCTTACGCGCGTCGACCCCCGCCTTGCAAATTCCCAAGCCACTATGGGGTCAGGTCAAGCCTCAAAAAGGTTGTTTGCTTGTTTCGTGAGAGGGCATTTGTTTGACTGATTATCCGAGTAGTAATATAGCCAGCGTCGCTTCCAGTTTGTTCGTTTATCGTGGAATATTTGCCGGGGCAGTTATGCGAGGCCTCTCAGTTTGATGAGCCCGGCTTTTGTTGAATCAGCGGCTTCCGCCACTTCCACCGAAGCGGGATGCCCGGTTCACCGTTCGCTGACTGGCTGACAGGTGCTGCAAAATCATCATGATTCTCAGCAGATTGGCCAACCGATCAGGCGAGATTTGCCAGTCAGAGAGCAGCGAATAGTTGATACTCGGGTCCAGTGTCTAGGGTACGCGCCGGGGTTCGTGCGATTCCATTGAAACTCGTGACTCGTGATCTACTCGGTCTCTTTCTTACTGCTGGTATCTCAATGAAGAGCCGCAAAACTTGATGAAATTCTTCAGTGATTTTATCTCTTATCTCTTCAAGACACATCTCGCGTCATCCATGGCGCGAATCGTCTTGCATCACCTGCTCCAGCAGTTCGCTGATAGCCTATCGCGAGTGGCTCACACGAATTCGGTTGTCAACGAATGGCAGGTGATGGTCCCCGCTCGGTTCTCGATGAGCCTCTGCATTTTCCAGTCACATTCAATTGGCACATTTGACCATCCAGATGTCGTCCCCTTTAGCCTGTAGATGCCCGGTACGTGCCTCCAAGAGACGGACCAGGCTCAGAGCCGCATCTCGCAGGAGGATGGATCTGCCCGATTCTCCACCCAGCGTCCCAGTCGGCGAGGGAGGAGGGTACAACGGGTACCCGGCAATCTGGACGCGTCTCGAGCTAAGATCGTGACATTCAACTCGTGTACCTCTCAAGTCTCTCCCTCCTCGGGACTGGGGCCGACACTCCCAACTTCCATGCGACGTCAATGGCATTCTACATTAATTTTTAATACTTCTGAGCTTATGTTCCTACATTTGCAGCTCAATTGATTGAAAGTGGTTGATTACTCAGTCATTTATTTCCCCAAATGACCAACCCTCCCCGCACCCGCCAAATCCTCCCTTCTTCTACATTCATCCCACAGCCATGTCTTGTTCAATCTTGCTATGCTTGTCAATTTAACCTCACCAACAATATTCGCAACAATTTATTTCGCGTTCGGTCGTTACACCGTGAATAATTCATCGCAAAAACTATAACCAGTGTCATCCGACATAAATGTTGAGAGAAAATATCTTTGCCTGCCATCGTCCAGCACGTGTCTAGGGTAACTTCAGCCTCCGAGTGCCCATTGTCAGAAATCATTTTCAAAAGCAAAGCAGCTGTCAACCCTAACTCAAGATGCTTTAGGACAAGTCAACAAGGCCAACTTTGACTCCTATGGCGATCCGGCATCCAGCTCCCTCGTCTCCTCCACCTTCTCTCGCCGGAGTGCCGATCCCCGCTTCGAAACACGCTTGTCATCCACATGGCCTGATGTCCCACGTCGAAATGTGCAGAAGCACAGGGCACTCTCCATCGAAACATAACAAACCCACATGCCTTAATATATCGGGGAAATAGATTCCGAACACCAAGCATCAGGTTCACCTATACGAGGAGATTATAAGCCCGGTTCCAAGACCACGAGACCACTCTACGTCGGCCCTTATGCCACTTCCAACAAGCTGCAAGTTTCGAAACTCGTGGACCCCGTGAGTCGTGGGATGAAACCACCCTGGTCGCAGAACTGGCTGCCAATTGGGACGACTACAACCTCTTTGCTGCCATAGGGCCAAGCGATGCGACCCTGCCGGTAGTATAACGATGGGTACGGGGACTTAAGGCTGGGCTTGAAGAATCTCAAACAACTCAATGGTGTTTCATGCCACCACGGAAGCGGCTATCGTAGAGTATCCATTGGAACATCGGCCCTACGCATTGTTGACTACGGTTTCCCGAGCGAGTGAAACACAGATTGACGAACCAGGCACGGGTAGACTCGATGCCGGAGCATGCAGTATGGGTATGGATAGAGGGTTACAAGCCCTCGGCATGACAGTCAATACCACACAACGGCGAGGCCGAGACTGTCAGTTGGCCAGCCACTCCGCAGTTGTCAACAAACAACTCCTTCGCTAAGCCAACTTTTGAAAGCTGTCAGTTTCAACTGCAGGCCGTCGCGCCCAAGAGACTCCTGAAACACCACGGGCTCTACTGAGGGGTACATCACCAACTTTGTAAACACTCACGATGGCGTCTTATAGCCCTCCTCCAAGGTAGTTCATCTGAACTACGACTTGAAGCTCGAAGCGAAGTTACAGAAACATCTACATTGAAACTGTGGTGCCTCCAAACATTTCCCCAGCCTCGGCATCTCATCTACCAGTTTCAGATCTGCTCACGTTTGATCGCTGCTTCAGACCTCACACAGGAACTACAGCTATCCGGATTCACTGCGCCTCCTGTCAGGTTCGGCACAGCCGCATCCGAGTTTCGGAAATTCTACCATCCGAAGTTCGACGGTGTGTTTCTCCCCAACGTTACCGTGTAAGACCTCCGTGTCAGAAACTTGAGGGCATTCAGAGTTTTACTTGGCGCCACAGTACAGCAACTCTGAGGGCGGCCGACCCAGGGCCGATGGTTGCAGCTAGTGCATCTTAACAGGAGCTATATGCATGGGTTACAAGACGAAGATCTCTAGCAAGGGAGATCAAGCTACATCAACACCTCGTTACATGGTCCCCTTCACCGCTGTACGGTCACTGTCCATCCCTTGCCATCGTAGTGTTTTCGCCAGCCGGGGCTCTAAGAATAGACAGGACAGATGAGTGCCCGGGTTTACGAATCACGTCGCCATCGAATCAAGGAACCGTCAGGTGCCGGACAGAAGGCGTCTCGTCTCGCTTCGGCGCCAGCGTTTCCTGTTTCTCCGTCTCTCGCCTCTGGGGCCTCTGGGGGAATATGTTTCCATGGTCGATAGTACAAGCTCTTCCCCTTACCATGCACGGCACATCCTCCACTTCTCCTTGACCGTGCCGCGGACCAGCAACCCCAAAGGGGATCGAGTAGAAGCTGAGAGTGGACATGTCGATGGAGCAAGACATCGTATCCCAAGGTTTGGCGAGAAGACGTCCCCAGAGCCAAGGCTGGCTGGACTGGCCTTTTGGCTACAAGAGACGTTGGCATCCACCCAATCAGCACAGGGGCACCACGGCCTGCAAAACGGTCTTGTCTTTTGGACTGATCCCTGATACTGAGGTGAAATTACGCCAGTGCGTTAGTGGGTTTCAAGGGGGGATCCCTGACCCTGGGGGGCACAGCGGAAGCTAAGGAAGCGGCGAAAGGTTAGTTAGCAGTTGGAGTGGGCCGGGTGTTGTATGCGAAACAGACGGACAGTTGAGAGAGAGACGGGATGAAAAAGTTGTAGAGGTTGCCAATTTAGAGGGTAATGAATGGCTTGATGGGTGAGGATGGGACGAGGAAAGGGGGTGGTTGAGGGAGGACATGACAGAGAAAGCTGAGCCTCAAACTCGTGACTCTTCTCTCTCACGACATTACAGATGATAGAGGCGCAAGCAAACCGTATTGAAATTAGACGGGCGCTTCTTGTCCCGCAGCAGCTCTGAATGGAGGCATCTGGTATGTGCGCATCACAACAAGTGCGCGTGTCGTTTGGACGGCATATCTTGCGCCCACCTATCACGAAGAGCCCTGGACGACAAGGTTACCCGCCCAGCACCAACATACAAGACCCGTCTCAGCCGAGCCGAGGAAACAAGTCTACAAAGGAAGCACTGTTTCGATGGAACCACCTCAAACCAAACAGTTGGGTCCTGGTTCATGGGGAGGGGTCCCTTTCATCCCTTGATGCTACTGTGCTATGTGCTGTGTGTGCTTTTCTGACATCAACTCGCAAGCGGCTGCGACGCTGAATTCCTCACGATGGTCCATAGAAACTAGTAACCTTGGATCGCGTCTATCTCCAACGCCCGGGCCCAGATAGGCTCATGAACTACTGTAGGTACGAGCCCGTCGGGGTGGCTTAGGGGAGTCACGGTCCTCAAGAGGATCCTTGAGGCGGCGACGGCGCGATGGATGGACGGGTGCCCCGTTTCTTGCTGATGTGCCTGCCAAACCACGAGGTGCAATGAAACCCAAAAGGCTATCCGATAGCGAGCACACCCCTTGCCTGGCCAAGAGATGCAAGTTGTTGTTATTGTTATTGTTGTTGTGTTGTGTTGTGCCTTGTTGTGCGTACATACAGCAACAGCAAGGCTAAACATTATAGCACATATTACCGCGCGAGCGAGCGCGTACCTGAAGCTGAGGTGGGTGCAACACAACCACCCCCGCCCGTCAAAAGAGGGCGGCTGTCAGGCACAGGAACAGGAACAGGAACAGGAACAAGAAACCGGGGGGTGTGAGAGTCGAGTAGAGAGTTCCTAATGCAGATGACGGAAAACGGAGAAGACAGAAAACCCTGGAGAACTTCTGGCACGATGGTGCCAACGGCTGACGGTGTGGCTCGCCCCTCTCTTGTGAGATCGGATGCCAAGGAAAGGAGACAAGAAAGAGCCTCGCACAGCACAGCACAGGCCCGAGTCGATTCGAGTTGATGTGATGGTTCAGTTCTGTCTGACTCTTCTCCAGTTGTCTGCTGTACGAGGTGGTAATGGGGGACCAAGGGTGGGACGAAACTTTGATTGAGGCGGGACGCTACGAGCGGTGGTGACCGTTTTGCCGGGCAAGGGTTGTTGGAGGAACAAATCTGGGCCTCGAGAGAAGAACGATGGCGTTGGAAGAAGGGGATGGAGCTCGCTTGGGGCGTGTTTGCGGTTGCGGTGGATGGTTCGCTTCAGATTCCTGTTTGGATAGATCTCACCGGGGGGCGTGGACAAGCCATTGTCATCGGTGGCGTTTCTTGTGTGTGTCTTGAGAGACACACCGTGAGTATTAGTTTTGTTTCTCAGCGTCTCTCCCAGCGTCTACTGTTACAGAAGAGTAGCGTTAATGCCGTGCTTAGCTCGGTTGCTCTGTAGCTCCTTGGCTGAGCAGATGCCCCGGTGCGTTTTGGAAACCCAGACGGCAAGCGTTAGATGGGCGAGAAAATCTGTCACAAGTTTCCCATGACGGGGACGCACGCATGTTTTGTCTTTCTTGCAGCACAATGCAAAAATTGGGAGAGAGAGAGCCTGGCCACACCCCTGTCCCATCCTCTCACAAGATGTGACGGGGGGATGGGTACCCCCTGGCCCTGGTCCGAACCATCACCACCGTCGTGGCCGTTGCAATCTGCCCCCCCCCCCCGGGCCCCGAGGGAGACCACTTTTATTGCTGCTTTACCGTCGGGCAGTTAGTAAGACGCGTCTACTGCAGGTGAAAGTAGGTAGGTACCTGGGCTAGGCTAGGTTCTGTAGTTGATTAATTGAGGTGCAAGGGCATAACAGACAGGTACTGTAGGTACTGTATCTGGAGTACGTCTTGGTCTGTGAGGAGTGGGCAGTTGGGATTATTTTATTATTACACCACTTGCCCCTCCCCATCTATTTACTTCTTCCCTTCTCTTCCTTCTTCACCTGGGTTGTCATCCTCTCTATCCATCAACGTTTCTTTCTTTCTTCTCTTCTTGTTCTCTTTTACGAGAAACGCTGTTGCGTCTCTTCTCTTCTCCGAACTTGGCTCTTTTGGCAGCTAGTCCCATCACACTCATTATCACCAAAAATATCGGACCAACTGGTTTGGCTGCTGACACTCCTTTGACAACGGTATAACACCAACGACTAAGACCGACACTCGGTTTTTCTACTTCACCAATTTATCAACAAACCACATACCCCACGACCTGTTCCTTGACTGAACAGTTTCGATTCTTGGATTTCTTCCGGTGTCTGTTTCTTTTTTTCGAGTGGAATATTCTCGCAGGTTTTTACGCAGCACATCCGGCATACCTTCCTTCCAATATCTCGTCGAACGATTTGCGATCGCTTCGAGTATCCATCCCTCCCTCTGCGTGGTCGAACCATACAAAAACACGGCTGGCCTTCTTATATCAAGATTCATTTCAGCAACGCCTTCGATAAGCGACGACTATTTTTCATCCACTTCTATTTTTAACGATACCCCAATTGCGGATTCTTGAGGAAACAAATCCACTCATTCAGCAACGGAACCACCTTTGAGCTCAGGCATGCCTTCTCAGCAGATAGCTCAGGCCGCTGCGCCTTATATCCCCTCGCGGGATTCCATGGACCGCCATGATTACGGCGTCACAAAGAGCCGCAAGGCTTCGTCGACTGGCGGTGGACGTGCTTGGAGTGATGAGGAGGTGAGATGAAGCCAACTATAGTTGACTTATACGGCTGCTAACACAAAGATTCAGGAGGCATATCTTATCCAGACCCGTCTTCAGAAGATGCCCTACAAGTACATTGCTGCCCACCTCAAAAAGACTGAGCTGGCGTGCCGGCTTCACTATCACCAGCTCTCTCATGGCAGCAACCGACGCAACAAGCGTGCCGCCTCCGTCTCATCATCCGGAGCCTCCATCGACCACTCACCCGCAGTGCAAGTGAGCACCGCGAGCCCAGCCCGGGAGAGCATCTCCCGCTCAGCTTCCCCCCCCGGCAGCTCTCGCAGCTACAGCCCTCCTCCTTGCAACATCAGCGGTGTCCACCACGGCAACCACATTCAACTCCCCAGCATTGTCGGCCCCGGCGAGGTACCAAGGCTGCCCTCCATCCTGCCAAAGCCCACGGGCATGCCTCTCCCGCCTCCCGTTTCGACATATGCTTCCCCGTCCACCGAGGCCTCCGTGCCGATGCCTGCCCCCTTCCACCGCGCAGCCTCGCAGCACCGAACAACACCACCTCTCCGCCTCGACTGCACCGGCATCCCTCCTGCGCCTGCCCACACAGCTGCCCACGTCGACCTCTCCCGCCTTCACGCCATCTACTCTGCTCACCGCGCATCGTTCTGGACAACAATCGCCAACGAGTACGGCCCCAACGTCTCCCCTACTGTGTTGGAGCAGGCTTGGAAGACTGGCACCTGCTGCAGCCCCTCGTCCATCACACCAATCACCCCCATCTCCAGCCCGGGCAACGCTGAGAAGGAGGCGCAGAACCAGACCCAGTCCAAGGGCCAGGACAAGACACGCATCTCGTCGATCCTCGGCATCGACGCCGACCCCAGAACCGCCCGGGATCGGGATATGGTCAGGCGGCTGGAAGAAGAGCGATTTGGCATGATGCAAATAGCTCACTAATCGCTACGATCAATGATGTCTGCATGATCCTCATCTCGGGGCAGGTAATAAGAATGAGGAGGGGGTCAAGACACGTACTGTTGTCTTTTCCCCTGTGTATCATATACGCCTCTTGCTTTTCTTCGCATTTCGTTTCTCACTCATGGCATGGTTGCTCTCTCTTACTCTGAGAGTCACTCAAACGACACGGCACATCTGCCATCTATTCTACGGTCTATACGACACGTGGACTATGGGCATTCCACTTGGGCCCGCACTCATTTCACGAAACACCCAATACTTCCCTTCATTTTTATGCTCTGCCTTTTCTCTCTTATCACTTTTCTCTCTTATGAACCAAGTACTTATTGTCTAGTGTGGGTGGGATTCCAATCTCATGAGGTGGGATACAAAAAAGGAGGTTTGACACACGGCATCTGCTACACGACATGAAGAGCAGATGTCGCGGATTGGGGGGGGGAGAAAGCCTTCTTTTTTCACAGCCCTTTTCTTCCGTCCTTTGCTTGAAGTACAGAACCAGATCCCTGTGGTGGAGGAGAGGGTTCTAGGATCACCTTTGTTTTACATTGTGTTGTCTCTGCGCGTCTTTTTTTTTACCACCCGTTTTCTGGCCCTTGTTTCTCAGCAATCTTCTCCTTACATGTACAGTCCGATCTCTTGTTTCTTGTTAAGGACTGATGAAATTACGGTGATGAAAAAAAAGCCAATGCTCTAGCGCTCGGCCTCGCTATTATTTTTCTGCTGGGCGGAGGGAGGGGGTTTGTGGGGGAGCGAGATGGATGGATTTACCCTGCTCAGTGGTGAAAGCTGGGCATGATAATTTACTGATCTTGTTCTCCAACTTGAGTTCTGTATCTGCGATGTGATGTATGTGATGTGACGTGAGATGATGTGATGTAGAGCCAAGGTGAAACTAGATCGGCGCACATGAGAGTGAATGGGAGAGGATTGTTTGAGGTTGCTCGACATGGTGATAGGTCCGGGCAGGCAGTTGTGCAATGTACAGTAAGTTATGGTTTGCTCGCATCAAGAGCATGGATTTGTAGTGGAAGAGGATGATCATCTATGCCTTACTATCGATGAATGAGTTGTACATACGCGGACCGGGTCTCTGCAGGATGAGGCTGCATGAATGGAACCAGATGGCACATGTTCTATCTGACGTGACGGACCACTCTGATGGCGGACACTAGAGTGACTAGCGGATGCATCTCTGCTATCTAGAACAGCTCAATGATTTGATTTGATTGCTGCATTAATTGACAGCTCCTCCACTGTAATCTCTTTCTGAGGAGTCCATGCATGCAACACGGATAGATGCGTCGTTTCCATTTCATATACATGAGACGGCCGATCATTTACAAAACGAAACAAGAGAAAAATACGTCAGCATAAATTTCGGGTCGGGATTCCCGTGTTTGGGGGGGGGGGGGGGATTCCGAGGTTCGGGGCACGGGTCCGGGGCCGGGACATTCGGGACAGGAGGCTCCGCTGACCGGCCGGGAGACATGGGTTTTGGTAATGGGTGACTTATCTGGGACACTTGCATAAAATTTCGCTGGCGACATTTTGAGGCCCGTCCATGGGAGTGATTCCCGTCTGGACTTGTTTTTAACTACCTACTACTGCTGCCGAGAGGAGTAGAATAAAGACCCCTCTTTTCTGCCCCCTCATTCCTCGCGTTATCCCTGTCTTTTAAGAGTCAAGATGGAGAGAAAGAGGAGACAACGAGCTTTAGTTAGGTCCCCAGTTCTTTACTGCAACGGCTCGTGACCTTGCCTCTGCAGTCAGGGTAATTGCTAAGCCGACGGCTGGTATTCGATGAGGACTGGTGGCGGGTGGGGATTTGAGGATCGTGAAGAACTTTGGGGTCGGAGGCCATGGGGTTACTGGACATGAATGAATCCATTGGGTCTTTTTTTTTTTTTTTTTTCGCCTCTATCTTTTTATTGTTCCACAAGATTTGATATCTTTTGGTTTAACCTTGATGAACCGCCTCTACCCTATCTAGTGTTCCCCCAAATCGTGAGAGAAAAACATTCGACATCTAGGGCTTCCGAGAAACAAAAGGGCTTCTTGTTCTCCACAGGGTGATATCAGCACCTAACTACAAGCCCCAAGCCCAAGCCTCTCCAAAAAAAAAAAACCTTGGAAACCTGCCCGAGCCTAACCACTTGGTAAGTGAGTTTTTGCTAGCACATCCATTGGCAGCTAAAAAGTTGGGAAATGCACACGCCCGCCTTTTGAAGGTTGCTGTTCGTTTGTGCCGTTCCCTTGAACCTCCGCTTGCCGGCAGACAGAGGCACGCTCTAACGACGCACGTCAGTCCGCACACTCGCACCACATTTTTTCATTTTTTTCATTTCTTCTCCTCCCTTTCGTCATCTTATCCGGACTCTTGTCACCTTGTTGTCCGTGGCTGACGGAATCTTTTACTTGCCCAACGTTGTGTCACCTCCGACATCGCAAAAAACAAGACTCTTGCATTATTAGTACAATATCTAACCACCGACTACTTCAGCCGCACACTCCGTAAAATACCTGAACTCTTTTTTTACTCTAGTTTATTTGATTTCTTGTATTCTTTAACACATCTTCCACAATGGCGGACAAGAAAGCTACCGACGTCAGCCCCGTCCCCACTCACGATCCTAAACAGTCCACCGACTACATCCCCTTCCCTTGCTTGCCTCCCGGAGGACCTCTCAACCGCTGGTCTACAAAGGTCACTCGCGAGCATGACTACCCCGGAGCTCAGGTATGAACTTCAATTGGTGTTTCCCCTCATGCGGTGCCAGGTCTGAAGCCATCTAGGCCATGCTCTACGGAGCCGGCGTCCCCAACAAGGACAAGATGAAGAACGCGCCCCAGGTCGGCATCGCGACCGTCTGGTGGCAGGGCAACCCTTGCAAGTGAGTCTTGAACACTCTACGAGTAAAATATCTAGCCATTGGCGTTTACAGGTCGTGTTAACATTGCTTTCTCGCAGTACTCATCGTGAGTGAGATGACACAAAAAACACCAACAGCCCAAAACTTTCACCTCGGCAAGGTACACTTACACAAAAACCTAGTTCTTGACCTCGGTCAGATCGTCAAGACGGCCGTGGAGAGGGAGGGCATGCTCGGATGGCAATTCAACACCATCGGCGTGTCAGACGCCATCACCATGGGCGGTGAAGGTGAGTCTATACACTCTCACAGTGAACTAGTGTGCTTAGATGCTACTAGGCATGCGCTTCTCCCTCCAGACGCGTGAGATCATCGCCGACTCGATCGAGTCCGTCACATGCGCTCAGCATCACGATGCCAACATCTCCATTCCCGGCTGTGACAAGAACATGCCCGGAACCGTCATGGCCGCTGCCCGCCACAACCGACCCTTCATCATGATCTACGGCGGCACCATCCGCAAGGGTCACTCTAACCTCCTCGAGAAGCCCATCAACATCAGTACCTGCTACGAAGCTCAGGGTGCCTTTACCTATGGCCGTCTTCATGCAAAGACAGACCCCGGCGCTCCCGGCCGTACCAGCTCTGATGTTATGGATGATATTGAGCAGCACTCTTGTCCTGGAGCTGGTGCCTGTGGTGGTATGTACACGGCAAACACCATGGCTACCGCTATAGAGGCCATGGGTCTTACGCTACCCGGATCATCTTCGTATCCCGCAGAGTCTCCTGAGAAGCGACGTGAATGTGAGCGTGCTGCTCAGGTTATTCGAACCACCATGGAGAAGGATCTCCGACCCCGCGACATCATGACTCGAGCATCGTTTGAAAACGCCCTCGTGCTGACCATGATCCTCGGCGGTTCTACCAACGGTGTGCTTCACTTCCTCGCCATGGCCAACACTGCCGGTGTGCCCCTGACTCTCGACGATGTCCAGCGCGCTAGTGACCGCACCCCTTTCCTCGCAGACCTCGCCCCTAGCGGAAAGTACTACATGGAGGATCTTTACAACGTGGGTGGTACACCCTCCGTCATCAAGATGCTCGTCGCCCGTGGTGTCCTCGATGGAAGCATCATGACCATCACCGGCAAGACCCTCGCGGAGAACGTCGCCGACTGGCCTAGCCTGGACCCCGGCCAAGACATCATCCGTCCTCTCGAGGACCCCATCAAGGCCACTGGCCACATCCGTATCCTCCGTGGTAACTTTGCCCCCGGCGGTGCAGTCGCCAAGATCACGGGCAAGGAAGGACTCTCCTTCACCGGCAAAGCGCGTGTCTTTGATAGTGAAAAGGAGCTCTCTGCCGCTCTGGCAAACAGCGAGATCACACGTGAAGACGGAAACCTGGTAGTCATTGTGCGGTACGAGGGACCAAAGGGCGGTCCTGGTATGCCTGAGCAGCTCAAGGCTTCTGCAGCCATCATGGGCGCCGGCCTATCCAACCTTGCTCTCGTGACGGACGGACGATACAGCGGAGCCTCCCACGGCTTCATCGTGGGTCACGTTGTACCCGAAGCCATGGTCGGAGGACCTATCGCTCTCGTCAAGAACGGCGACGTCATCACCATCGACGCTGTGCGAAACCGCATCGACGTTGACATTACCGACGCCGAGATGGAGAAGCGGAGGAGCGAGTGGAAGGCACCCGAGCCGAGAGTCAGAAGAGGTGTCTTGGCCAAGTATGCCAAGTTGGTTGGAGACGCCAGTCACGGCGCTGTTACTGATCAGTGGTAAAGCTGATTACACACGACGAGAATGAAATGTTGATGTCTATATATGTAGTTATGTACTTTGGGTCATGGATTGGGCAGGATATCTGGAAAACAAAAAGACTGAATGAGAAAAATGAACATTACTTTGGCTAAACCTGCCCCCCCTGAGTCAACATGCAACTATGAATGACTGCTTGGTAATGGATATATACAATGACAGACAGACCTCGACTCTATTATTGAAAAAACGACAAACTCATCCAAGACTATTTCAAAAAACCCCAGCAAAACGAACGAAGGGTATCGCGCAGACAGACATCAACACACTTCTCCTTCTCTCGTCTCTCCCATGACAGATGCATCTCCGCCCATGCTTCGTGTGCAAAACGTCCTGAAATCATATACGCAACTCTGACCATCATCTCCACCCGACAGGTTCACCCATTACCATGCTATCTCTCTCCAATGCGATTCTGCATCTCGACTTCTAACATCCCCAAATATCTGTGAGACCCGATGGCTCTCTGACGGACTCTAGTCACCCAGCGGCATGCCCTCAAGCTCATCCAGTAACCTCCGCCAGTTGTCGGCGAGCATCTCGGCATACTTAACTCGCTCGCCCGCCCAATCCTGGTTCCATCGACTGACGTGGTACTGCGTTGACTGGAACGTGAGGAGCTCGTCGCGAAGACACTCCTTGACAAAGATGGACCGGTTATGTTGTTGAACAATAGACTCCTTGTCCTATAATCGTGTTAGTGGTGGTAGCAGAGGGACAATCACCAAACTTGCCTTGATAATGTTCTCTGCTATCCGGTCGATTTCGCCCGCCTTGACCGTACCCTCCGGCTTCGACCTCAAGTTGGTGAGTTTGGCTTCGTTGGTCTGAATTCTCCTCTCTAGGTAGGGAATGTTGTCCTTGTCCAGTCGTTCCCGTCGGTCAAACAACTCACGCACGCTCACAAGGGCGTCTCTCTGGCGCTTCAGGTCCTCCAGCACACCTTCGTCCCAGCCTCGGCTTTCGTCCTCCATCAGCGCCTGGCACGTCCGTAGATGCTTGCTCATGGCGACCAGCCCGTCATTGAGGAGAGGTACTTCGTTGGTATCAGTTGCGTACGTATCCCCTGATACCTCGGTGAGAGATGCCAGGGACAAGGCGATTCGAGCGTGGTCAGCAGCCACGCCCTCGGCCCTCTTGACGAGGCGATCCATAATGTTGCACACATTGATGTAAAGCTCCGCCGACCTCTTGACGCCAGCCCGAGTTCGCACAAACAACTCCTCTAGCGTGGGTGGCAACGAATCCTCTAGACCCGGAGGCAGTGCGCGGTCGGTAAACTCGTCCTGAACGGAGATGGTAGCTTGCTTTCGCCAGACAGACAACTCCTGATCCTTATATTAGCTTCAGCAGAAAGCTAGACACGTCAAGGCTTTGTCAACTTACTGTAGGGACCGTCAAGAACATGACGACGAGTTGCTCCTGGCTCAAGATGGGATGTCTGACCAGAGCGTTCAAGAATCTCGCTAGACCCCTTCTTCGCTTCTCAATAAAGGCGCCGTCATTTGAGAGATGACTTCCGTTTACACCCACCCGCTTGGGCGGTAGAAGAGGCAGTACCCGGAAAGGGTACCTCTTGTGTAGGCAATCCAACAACCAGACAAAGTCACTATATCGGCGAATGACCTTGCTGCCGCGTCGCAGACTAGAGACTTCGTAGTTGTGATGTTGGAACATGAATACGCCCTCCTTCTCTGGCATGAGAACAACGACGACATTCTCTTCCAAGCTGTGACCGGTCCTGCCGCTGCTCATATGATGCGGAAGGCCTGGAGGACCTTGCGTACTGGGCGTAGGATCGGGCGCGGTGCCAAAAGGATTTTGAACAGGTCCAGCTGGGGATTCACCAAAGCCGCCTACACCGGTATTGTGTCCATCGAAATATCCCCAGCCGCTAGGCGTCGCCACCGAGTTGCTGCTATTTTGTCTTCCGCCATTTGGAGGCGCGGCAGGGGGCTCAGCGATGTGCGCGATAGCCGGAGCAGTGATTTCCGCTGTCGGAGGTGTCTCGCCAAAGCCTGTATGGCCATTTGTGTTGTGGCTCTGGGCGCCGTTGGACTTGGGAGGTCCGTGATGATGGGTCTTGTGCATGTCCGGGCTGCCCCACGGGTCGTCTTCGGGGTCGTCCATAGCTGGTCGGAACTGCTTGGGTTGTTGCTGTACCTGTACAGGTGGCGTAGCCGTATGCTGAACCGGTGTATCTTTCGGAGGTGTTTGGGGAGGTTTCGCAGAAAGTTCAGCAACTGGAGGCAGGACGGGCTCTGCAGTAAGGCCGGCAAGCTTGGGTTGTGGGAGGTCTGTGATGAAATGAGTTATTAGCTGGACAGGTAGTGTCTCCACCAACCGGGGGACATGCAAGCACTGATGTGATATGACATGGTCCGGACGATAAGAGAGCGAATCGCCTAGGCCTCGGCGGCTTGTTTGTGTCTGAAAATGACATTGTGCTGCCGGAAAACAAGCATAAACATGTATAGAAGAAGTACTCACGTCGTCGTCGTTCATCAACACCATCAAGGCTGATGACCTCGCCCTCCTGTGCCAAGCCTACCAGCGCCAACAACACATTAAACTCGTTTCGATCCAGCGTCACATCCCCCCCACCGGGAGCCACGAGGGACATGATGCGAGCTTGGGCATCAGCACCGAGTCTCGCTGTGGCAAAGAGCTTTGCGATGCCTCCAGCTGTGACCCGGCCGTTGTTACCATCTTCGCGCAGCACCGTGTCAAAGGTCTCGATATAGGTGTCGGGCACATCGCTCGCGGGGAGGAGGTGACGGATCAGGTCGGCACGGCTCTGCGGCTTGCGCGGCGAGGGCATACCCCAAGGCGAACCGTGAGGGCCATCGTCGTCGGCAAAGAGGCTGTTGGAGGATGGCCTTGATGGGACGTCGTCATCGAAGAGACCGGCGCTGCCGCCACGAGTCGGGCCACTGGACGAGCCCAATGCAGGGTTGTCGTCAGTCGGCGACGTTCCAAACAAGGACATCGTGACTTTGGATGGTGTCGCCTGTGTAAGTCTTTCGTCTTTGTTCCGCGACGCGTATCAGGCTCGTCGATGTCGATCCGTACTGTAGCGATACTCGTAGAGCGTTGTAGATCCCGTCGTTCGGAAGCGAGGCGTAATCGAAGCCGCGGGTGAATGTTACAAGACGACCACGGCTCTATTGGGAGAGAATCGGCCGCAAAACAGATAAAAAGCAACTGCAGGTGATGTGGAACCACCAGTAGACTATACAGCGACTAAAATGACAAGACGGACGCGAATTGAGAGGCAACCGGGGAGGTTGGTGAAGTCATTCCAGAGTGGAGAAGACTTGGATGCTGCGACATCAACTTGAGGCAGAGCTCCTGTGGAGCATCACGGGTACGTACCTACATGCACAGGGCATCTGGACGGGAACCTGAACCCGCCGAAACAGGCAGGCACCCAACGCCACACCTGTCAACCTGTGGCTGATATCATGGATCACTCATTGCATTGGACTGCTACTAGAGATGAATTGAAAAGGTTCAATTGATTGTACATTGCTTGTTATCACATCCAAGTCATCATCATGCTTGGGTCGGTATAATACACTTCTCCGACATGCTTGTCCCCCGCACTTAGAACAGCGTCTCCTCGGTGACCTTGGCCTCCTTCTTGACCTGGCTCTTGATCTTGTGCACTCCTGGTACCCTAAAGTACAAACTGGGCGACTCGCCTGGCGCCAGCTGGTGGCTCAGGTATCCTCGGTGTGCGGGATCACGGTAGTACTCGATGTCCTCACGGCTGGTAGGGTCGGGTAACCGGTATCTGAAGGGGGATTCGCGGGCTGCGGCCACCACAGAGTCGACGTGCTCCTTGCCCTGAGGCAGAGGCTTGTCTGTGTTGACCGACTCGCCTGTTAGAAGTCGCTTCATGGCGAGCTTGGTGTAGTAACGGGTCAGGATCTTGCCACCGGCGCCCTCGATCGCGGCAATGGCACTGGCCGAGGCGCGGGAGACCATTACATCAATGGGCTGCTTGAGGCTATCTCCGCCACGAGCCAGCACCTTGATGCCATCCTTGAGGGTGCCGACAATTCCGCACTCGATCAATTCCTTGGGGGTGATCTGCTTCGTGGGGTCGAGTCGTCCCTGGTCAATCCAAGCCTGGATCTGGTCGAGGTTCACTTCGGACATCTGAGGGGCTCGGCTGCCTGCGTGTTAGCCAATTGATCTTATTTCTTCCAATTCCTTGCATCTCTCGATTGCAGATAACGTGGGCATCCTCACAAGTTGCTGAAACCCTTTCGACCGTGCTTGACGATCAGAGGTGTCTGACCACCCTGGAACCAAGGCTTGACCTTTCCATGCTGCTTCTGACCCTTGTGACCACGACCAGACGTCTTCCCGTGTCCGGAAGAGGGACCGCGACCGACTCTCTTCTTGTTGTGAATGGCGCCAGGGTTGTTGGCGAGGCTGCTGAGGATGGAAGCGTTGCGGGTCTGGAGGGAGAGGCCGGCGAGGTACGCGGTCAGCGACGACACGGGAGCATTGGCGGTTGCCCTGCAGCACAGCGATGTGCTGAGGGGAGAGATTCGAGGAGGCATCGTCGGGAGGGAAGGGCGCCGTGGCCGTAGCTTTCGAGGTTGATGCTGGCGCTCTTAAGACGTCGGCATCCAATTTTTTGGAGAGCGTTAGCGGGACATCAGTCTGGGGTTTGCGGATGCCTCAGGCCACAACGGTGTTGTGGGAGCACAATGGCACGCATATTACAGTGTTTGCTCACAACAGCGAAAGCTTGAATGAAAAAGATAACATATTTAGAGAAGAAATTGGCAACTGAATTATATGTTTTCAACTTCCTTAGTGTTGTGCTTTTCTTGGCGTTGACAGCATTGAGAACTGAAACAATCTGGATCCCAACCGCTAGATCTAGAAAAGTTGGTTGAGAATAGAGCGATCTGGTTTGGAGGCAACTCTTCCAAGAAGTAATATTTTGATATAAAATTTCCCTGTCCTTGCGCTACATGATTGACTCTTAGGTGATGCTGCTTGGAACCCATCAGAAGCGCAGTTAGTTCGTGCCCACTTACAGAAGACATTGGTTCCACGATAGTATGGATGTGAGGACATAAGGTATTTGATCATTAGCTTGGAAAGATTAAGAACATCAAGTAATGTATCGTCGATTAGGGGAAATATAAGACGAAAAAACCCAGTCGCTACCCAAATGACCCTTATCATGTAAGTCCAAACTCCATCCTGCATGATCACAACTCTACAACCCTCCCATCATCAAATCCTCTTGTGTCCTCCAACGTCGGGCCCTTATAGCCCAGAACATACCCTCTCTGGTTTGCAACGACCTTGATACCTCCCCTCTGAAACTCAGTTGTAAAATGTGTGTGCCCAAACATCCACATCGCCACCCCGCGCATAAACTCCCTAGCCTGAAGCACATCTGTCGAGAAAGCTGTCTTGTATGGAACCTTGACGTGTTCCGGCCGCGACGCGCCTCGTACGCAGGGTGCGTGATGCGTCACTACAAGAACGTTGCGCTGAGACTCTGGAGGGAGCTCGTTGAGTTCGGCGACGGTGGTTGTGAGGTACTCGAGGTCCTTGGCATGGCACTCGTTGTGCTTGGCGACCGACCAGCCAGAGATGAGCTTGTAGTCTGAAACTCGGAGTGTGATGATTTCCGCTGCTGAGGGATGGATATTTGACCAGAGTGTTGCACCGACAATAGTCAACTTCGAATCAGGGTCATCCCATCGCTTCCTATCCAGTATCACAAGCTTTCCCTCAAGAACCTCCTCCTTCTCCAACTCCTTTGCCTTTTCCACACCATCCTCATAACTCATCTCATAAAACTCATGGTTTCCGAGGACAAGAAAGACCTTTTCAAAGCGTGCGGTTTGGCGTGCGAGAAAGGGGAGAAACATGTCGTAGTCGACCAGACGGCCAATGTCACCACCAAGGACGAGCAGGGGCGCCTTGACGGGAAAGTCAAATGTCGAGTATTGCCGGTTTAGCTCGAGATGTAGATCTGACATGATCTGCACTGTTCGGCCACATGGTTCCCTGGTTGGGATTGAAGGGCCGAAGAGATACTCGGAAACACGACTCAAAGTCTCCATTGTGTATGAGAGGGATAATAGATTGTAGTATAAGATGAAAGTCTTGACGTTCAAAACAAGGGCTGAATGATTTAAACAAGTCCTCTAGAGGTGTCAGCAACTAGGACTCTTATATAGGACTCGACTTGTTAGACAACCCTCCCTCTTTGTGTGGGTCAGAACTGATCACAAGTATTGAGAGGCGGTGCTTGTTAGCTTGAGGGCCTCCAACGCCACCATCAGCCCTGGCAAATCTGCCTACACCAACGCCAATGACAAGGCTTCCTTTGTCTTCTGCTCTCAGCCGCAAGGACGGTACCGTAGTTTCGGTTCGGTAGTTCCCATGAGGCTTGGGGCTTGCAGGCATTATCGGGAATGGCCCATGCATGTCATCCCATGTTTCTTGACGTCGTGATCTATAAAATGAGGTAGCGACGAGTGAGGGAACAAGAGCCATCAACACAAGTATTAAGTAAAGCACTGCTTCCAAACGGCCGTTATTTGCAGGATTGAGTGATCGCTCAGTCCCATGTATCATTAACACCCAATGTAGTGTACTCTTTCACCTCGCTTCCGAGTACCAAAATGCAGCCCGAAATCTATCAGATCAATAACGGCACCCAACCATCATCTGTAACAAGATTCCTGCAATGCGTGTGCCGTATCCTGTAGTGCAAATTCGACCACTATCCTGAACGAGACCCGCGGTCGAAAAGACGAAAAAATAGGTCTAGGCCATCGCCGTAAAACAAAACGCCACTCCTCTTTTTATCCTGGCCCTGACCTTGTGCGATTATCGTCTTATTATGCCCAACAACCTCGCTCATGCTCTTCGGAGCGTTGGTGTCTGTTGGTATCCGGCTCCTCCACATTAATTGAGGAGGTTCTGGTGGAAGGTCTCGGCTCGCTGCTGGCATTAAACGGTTGGTTACTCAATATGGATGAGCCCAACCTCCCGCAACGTCGACCCATTCAGCCAGACAAGATCCTTCCTTGCCCTCCACGTCGACAACGTCTGTGTCGCATCTGCACCGGCAGCCAATACCACCTTCTTGTACGTCATCCCAATGCTCCCAGTAGTCGTCCTCCTCGATTCGTTTTCGCTCGGGGAATGTCGTCTTCTCCAGATAAGGTTCTCGCGCGAGCTGCTTACCCGGCGCATTCGCAGGACAGTGCTGGATTGTTGTATGTCGGTATCCAAAGTCTCGGAAGTAGTGGATATCTTGAGGACCGAGCAATGCGCCAGCGGCAAGGGAATGGATAGGAGCATCGCCCCACTGTAAAGTTATTAGTGTTGAATCTCAAATGGAAGACAGCAAGACGTACTCGTTCCATCCAGAAACCGCCACTCCGGTCCATCATTTGGAAGAAATCCTGATACTCCTTGCTGCGGAACCAGCTGAGCTTGGCAATCTCAAAATTGGACCAGAAGTGGCACATGTTGTACTTCTCCCCCTCCATTGACTCGGGATCCACGAAGGGCTCCTTCTTTTTGGTAAACGATTCCCACAAGCTCTTGTCTGCTACTGGAGTATCGCTGTCCTGAGGAGCGTCCTCATCCTCATCCGGTGGCTCAACAAACATTTCCCATAGACCCTTGGACTTAAGATTGTTCAATCGCTTGTAGGCGGAGGCATATCGGAAGATGTTGGGGACGGTCTCGCGGAGTTCCTTGACGGCAATGGTGAAGCCGTAGGTCTTGTTGTTTTCGATCATTTTGAGGAAAGGATCGCTGTTCCAAGTTAGTAATTGCAAAGTAGTAGATCGGAAAGAAGGCGACGAACTATGTGATGTCGCAAAAGTAACTGATCTCTGGCTCAACACGCCAATACCACTCGTACTTGAGCAATAGAGGGTGGTTAAAGAAGAAGCTTTATCCGTGTTAGTGAAACCCCATGACCATTCCATCTTGACATACCCAGAGTAGAATCTGCACATCTTGTGGTAGCTCTCAAGACCTCCGTACATGACGGCTGCGTCGCCTTGCTTGGCAATGCCTTCTGTCGCAACCTTGGGGTCCAGCCAGTCAGGGAACCCCCACATGTCTGGTCCGACCTTGCCGAACTCGACCTCCCCTGAAGTATAATTTCTAACGGCCTCCTTGAAATTGTCGTCAAAGTCGCCATCGTTGAGGAAAACGTATGGATAGTGATACCATCTGTTGAAGTGCCTCTCGACCGACTTGATGGATTGTACAACGCCGTCGATCTCCTTGTTTCGAGCGAGGATCACAAAGGCAGCGTTCGCTCGGGGCTGGCTGGTGTCGGGCTGAGCGCAGCCCTCGAGAAACACCTTGTCGTACTTTTCGCTGATTTTGCTGTCGTGACGACACGTCAGTTGTGGATGATTTAGAGTTTTGGGATCAGACAGACATACCGCATAGCTGGGGCAGCACCCCCTGGTATCAGGAATCTCCCGGGTGAGCTGGGATGACTGACGAAGAGAATAAAGATGAGGATTAAAACAAGCATAGGAAAGAAAATTACAACGCCCAGAGGCACAGAAATGGTAGAGTTCCCCCTTAACCGCAGCGGCCGGCGAAAAAAGGCCAAACGGGAGTCGAGGGTCTTGTGTTTAGAGCCCCTCTTCTCATCGAGGGGAAGCTGTAGCGGAGGTTTGCTGGGAGCCACCTTTGTGGCCCTTCGAATCAGGTCCATGGCGAGAATGGGCCTACCACGGCGGCAGGTTCTGAGATTGAAAGCAGTTGAGGTCGGGAGGACATGAATTGCGCCGTGTCGTGGCGCCTGCGACAGCCGGCGAAGGAGCAGGGAGACTGGAAAGTTCGGATGCGTCCAAGGGGGAGATTAAAGAAGTTCGAAGTTGTAGATATCGCAAAGAGGGTAGTAAATCGTTCGTCGTCGTCGGTCGTAGCTCTTCGTCGAAATGCGCAACAAGAAAAAATTGATTGAGACACACGGGTTCGTGGGGACCTCGTACAGGCAACGGAACGGAACCTCAACAGATGTATGCGTGATGCTGGCCGGTGATGGATGGAATGAATAAGTTAACGAGCGACAGGGACCACGTTCCCTGAACCAAGATTTCCACACCTCGACCCTGAGTAAGTCACTGACGCGGCGGTGGGGCGACCCTTGGCGACTCGCCCAAGCACAGGAGAATCGGCGATGGATGGATATGAGGACGGGACAGTCGACGACTCCGACGGACGGACCTAAGGGGGTGGTGGTCTTGGCCTACGGGAGGCAATGCGGGAGAGTCAAACGGAAGGGTGGGAAACAAGAAAAGGGATGGAGAAAAGAGTGTGGGAAGTGGGAGGAAGTTCGGAAGAGGACCCGCGATGCGCCAAGGCAATGAATGCTTGATGCTTGTTAGAGGTAGTGGTGGTGGTGATATGATGTGTGCAGAGGCCACAGCGGCAACATGATGCTAACTTTGCCATCCACTGCCAGACCCAAACCTGGAAGCCACATTACTGAGATCCCTGGAACCTGCAGGGGGGAACGGGGAGTCCGTGGGCCAATAGACCGCCTGCAGGACAGAGGCCCGGGTCCAATCAGAGGCCGCAGGTTTACCTAAAAAGGCGGAAAATTGGTATCTTCCGGTCCGGGACTCCCCTGCGTGACCCCGGCAAAGCTGGAATTGCGCTGGTCTCTGTCCCCTTGCAAGGAGAAGGAAGTTGTGATTAGGTTCTCACAGCAGGAGAATCGAATCCAATCTCCCTTTTTTTTTCTTCCTCGTTAGCCAGACGAGAAGCCTCCTTGCCTGTCTGTGGCTAGCGCTGCCCCACGTGTCTCATGCAAGCCTATCGCTGATAACAGTCTAGGGCGGAATTGGACAGACGTCCAAGTTTTTTTCTGGCCAGCAACTTGCTTGGAGCGGAGCGGATAGAAGCCGTCACATGCACGCGCGGTCGTGGATCTTGAAAGCGTGGAGCGCGCCGACTGCGGCTGCGGCTATAATCAGATCTTGGTATCACAGGAGCTGACAAAGAGCCGCCTTGCTGACAGCTGACCTCGCTCGCATCGCATCCTGTCCAACCAGCACCACAGCTTGCATCAGAAACAAAAAATCTGGGGAAATCTGACCTTGGCTGGTTGAGGCGCTTCTCGATTCGTTTTGTGTCGGCCTCTGATTTGGTCTGACCTGACAACAACAAAAATGCCTCCCAAAATAACATCCAAGAACCTCTCTTACGACAACTCGGCACCGCCATTTCTCGCTGCCCTCCGTGCTCAAGCTGCCGGCGCGACTGGCCCTGATCCTCTCCTCGCTGCGCAACGAAGGTCAGCTAAGAAGCGGTCAAGTAGCGAAGAGGCTGAAGATGTACCTCTTGTCGTGGATGAGGATGGGAACGTGGTGAATTTGGAGGTTGACAAGGACGGGATAGTCAAGGAGCCGGCGGATCACCCACTGGATCCCTCAACAGAAAAGGAACCGGCAAAGGAAACAGAGAGCAAAGCAGCCATTGGAGGCAGAAAACGCAAAGTCGGCAAGGTCATCGGTGAAGCTGCTGAAGAACCAGCTGACAAGGAGACCGATGGCAAAAAGGACAAGAAGGGAGACGCTGACAAGGAGGCTGTCAAGAACCGGAAACCCAAGAAGAAGGCCAAAAAGATCAAGCTGAGTTTTGATGAGGACGAAGGATGAGGATTTCGGACGTGGGAACCAATACGACTTTTTACATCAACACGGAGGCGCAGCCAAGGATGAACCCCAGCCGACGTTTTTTGACCCATTCGCGGCCGCCGGGGAGGCTATGCCATCACACCACCATGACCTTGAGGAAACCGACGATGAAAGGTCATCATGCCGATCAGTGTTCTGGATACGATGTGTCCATGGAACCAATACTCTCCCGAAGACTGCTGTCATCTTGACCGAGTTCACATTGAAATCTGAAAAGAGCAAACCGAGTGAGCTAGAGTCAGTTGAGGCAGCGTTCGGATGAATTGACGTGGTAGGGCTGGCATTGACTTCACCTCGGGTAGGGTCTTGGAAACATGTCATATCGTGCTAAATGACATCACCTACCTCCAAGATACGCGTTTAGAACCTCGAGCATTGCTTTTATCAAGCCATGGCTGAAACCTCACAATACACGCAGTCCAATTACTGTCAACATCAACTTCTGGAAGCTAGTAAATTGACACAGGGAATAAGCACCCTAATCTACACAAAACAACACCTCTCCCCAGGGCACTATCCACATCCATCTAGTTTTCACTGATACAACAGCCCCATTCCTTCAATGGCACTCGGCGCAATGCATTTATCGGTATCGGTACTCGGGCTTGATGTAATCGGCAAAGGTCTTGGGCTCCTCGAACTCGGGAGGGTGGTGGTGGTGGTGGTCATCCTCGGGGCCGACGTAGTCCATCTTGTAGACGCTGCCGCACTCGGGGCATCGCTCAATGGGGCGCTCGCGGGTGAGCTACCAGAGTTCCAATGTCAGCAATTCACTTCCATCCGTCCGGGATTCTGTGTCGAGACTTACGCCGAGCCAGTGAACGTTGTGAGAGTCGGCGGGGAAACCGGTGCAACCAGCGAACTGCTCCTCACCGGCGGATCGGACGACGATGGGCTCAGCCATGGTGCCGAGGCGGGTGGCATCGAGAGGGCGCATATCGAAGATATCGACACCCTCCATCTTACCGAGAATCTCCAGACGCTCCAGACCGGTGGCTTGCTCGAGATCGGTAGGGACGGTACCGGGCTGGGCACCGGGACCGAAGAGGTCGTCCTCGCCACGGACCTCTGTGGAAGGATTCTTGTTAGCGGGCGTTCCGTCACGATGGGGTGTCGACCGAGGTTATGTATGACGCGGGTTGAAGCTGTCGATGGCGGAATTGTCGAGACGTACCCTTCAGAGTCTTGTAGGCGCCGACCTTCTTGTCGGCAGAGCCGGCGAGGGCAGCGGCCTGCTCCTTGGGGGTGGCAGGCTTGGAAGCCTCACCTGTTTGGAAAACAAGAGTCAGCCATCATACGACGATCGCCATTGGCTGGACGGGGCAAGCAAATTGCGTACGGCGGACAAACGAGGTGGTGAAGGTGCGAGCGACGACGGGGGAGACGGCGGCGCGGCGGGCCGCGGCGATGGCGGAGCGTTGCAAAAACATTGTGATGGTTGAGAATTCGCCGGTCGGTCGGATGGGGTCGAAGCTTTGAGGATGATTCGGGATGGGCTGGGAAGAGGTGTTGTCGAGGGATTTGTGAGGATGGGCTGATTTGGGTCGAAGTTGGAGGACGGATCCATCCGGGCAAGCGAATTGGCCAATCAGATGAGCTGTGATTCGACGCACGTGACTTTGCACGAACCACCGGGTCAGCTCCGACTCTTCACGTTTGAGCGATTGCTAAGGCGACCATCGGAAGCTCCAAGAGCTCTAGAAGCTCATGCTTTACTAGTATTGAGCTATAAAAAGGTATGTGTTATGTGTGAGAGACATTCGACTCAATTGACTTGAAAAATAGTCTTATCAAAGTCATTTGCCATTTTTTCCGCCTGCTATCTCTCCTCGCACTCAAGGCTTAGTCAGACCCCTGATCCGGTTTGTTCCTCATTCTCAGCCCACCGAGGCTCCTCAACCTCATCCTTGCTTTCATAGCTCACACTCAGCGTTTGGAGCATCCCTTCATGACAAAACTTCAGATAAGCCTGTTCGGGTCAAACATAGCTGCTGAATACGCGTCTTTTTTCCTTTTCATTCTTCACCTCACTCCTGCAATGTTCTTAATCCTCGACTCAGCGAGTTGCTATTAGCAATTGATAGGTTGGCGCATCTCCTCACCTCAAGTACGTATGTAAAAGCCCACCATTGGACTCAATTGGATTTCTGCTATGAACCCCTTAGAAGCATATCTATGCTGAGGTAACTAGGCGTTCATCTTTCAAGAACTCGCCTTCTTAAAACCATTAAAAAAAGGTTCGATTCGAAGGGGGGACAGCGCTTCAAGACTACGGTTCGTAGTTAAGCGTATTAGTCGAAATTCAAGCTACAGTAGGTAGCTAGCTATTAAGCACGGATATGTACACCTCGAATACGGCCCGACGCCCACCCCTTATCCGGGCTCCTTATCCCCTGATTCATTCCCTGCAATGCCTGCTTTTCGCTTGAAGTGTGCAAGCCAGTAAGGATTATCCGCCACTGTCTGATTGAGAGGATCGCCGCTACAAAGTGTCAGCTAGAAGCTCGCGAATATTGGAACCTTGACTCACTCATTGTAAGCTATCCACCGAGCATAATGTTGAATCTCTTCATCTGTCGGGACATGCTGAGCTGGATTGTGAGGAGACATGGTTGCAATCGCCCAACGGTGAAGCTCCTCAGCAATCCAACGATAAAAGTTTGGGCCACCTAAGAAGAAGCCGTTTGTTTTCATCATGATGGAGCGGGCGTCAAGGAGGGACTGCTGATCACTGCTCCTTTGCATTACTTCACTGTTGCTCACGCCGCTTGCCTTGCCATCTGAAGCCGTAGGGTTAGGGTGTAATGCTGCGGTTGTTTGTACTGGGGCGTGCTTCGTGGGTTCTGGGAAGGAGTGGAAGGCAGATAACCAGAAGTCGGCTTCGGTTTGTGAGCGCGCCTTGCAAGGCATCCCGAGAGTGGGAGGAGATAGGCCCCCCATCTCCTTGTCTAGATCCTGACTGCTCCTGGTCTGGGTGTCCCTTGTCAAGTCGAGTTGAGCATAGTCGTGAGATGCACTGGAGAATTTCGTATCGACTTCGCTAATTTGGGGAATAGTCATCCGTTGACGGAAATGGTATAACCAGTCAGTAGAGGAGTGTATGAGCCGAGCCAGCCAAGTTGCAATAAAATCAGAGGGCGTGAGCGATATCTTCTCTATGTTCACGACAACGCGACATGCCTCCTGTTGAAGCTCGTGATCGGTGATTGGAGTTTCAGAGGTTCGAGCACGCACGAAATCCTGGAGCTGGGATTCAAAAGCACATCCCTCAAACATGTCAATCTTCCCGTTGATTTTCATGGAAGACAGCCTGCTCTCTCTCGGGGACCGGATAGAACCTAGACGTGCCTTCTGGAGGAGATCTTGATTTGACAAGATGAGATCCTCCAGCCATGATGCCTGACTTTTTTCTTCTCGTTCTGCGCCAGTCTTTGAAGCTAGAATGATGCGGCAAGCTTCAAGTTGCATAGTTTCAATTGTTGGCATGTTTCCGTTGTTGTCAAAGTACTTTTGCATGAAATAGGCCAGTTCAAGCTTGATAAGCTCGTATGCACTTCTTGGTGTTTCAACGGGTGCTCTGCTCCCTTGAAACGGAAACGGGGTATGGCGTTCGGTTTCGATGATGTCTTTTGTAGCGTTAGCGGGAATCTGCAAAGTTGAAGTGTTGATATTCTTACACGGAGGGATAGCATTCTCGATAATCTGAAGAATGGGGAGATCGAAACCCCAGTCTCCATCCCAATCAGCCATCGTTTTGCCTAGTTTGAAATGGTTTGCCAGGTGGTCAGCCCGTTCTTCCCAACTAGTCATAGTCCGATGACAGAAGCCACACCGTGAGCGGATATTTGGCGTTGGAACTCTCCATTGCTGCATAGACCATTCTGAATAACTGACATTATGAAATAGCCGCAGATGCTGCCTCAGATGATCCTTTCGGTTAAAGGTTCTCTCTTCAGGAGCTCGATCCTGACACTCGGAATAGTGGTGACTCTCGATGTGTTGATCGCTTGGGTTGGCCAGTCCACAGAACACACAACTTTCCAAGTTGTCATTGGTTGGGTTCGGGCAGCAAGGGCCAGCAGGTGCACATATCCATCTTTCCAGAGGTAGATGTAACGAGTTTTCATGCCGCTGCCAGTCATATTTCCTCCCGAAAGTTTCTGTGCAGAACGTGCACTGAAATGTCTTGCCAGCTGCGCTCAAGGGAGTTCTGGGACCGCTGCGTTTGAAGGCTCGCTTTCTGCGGCGGGAGCGAGCATGCCGAAAGGGTTCAAATGTTTTTAGTGATGACTGACTCCCGTATGAATTTGCAGAGGAGAAAGATCCGCCACTGGATCTTGAAGTGTCGACACTTCCAGCTGAGGGAGTTCTATGAGGGTAACCCGATGGGTCGAAGCTGGGTGAACCGGCTGATTCTATTAAAGTCAGGATAGTCCAATATGGTATAGATAAACTAATGGCTTACCCTCATTGAATGAAGAGTTGGAAGCAACAGCCCTTGCAATATCAAAAGCCGAAGCTGGCTCATGTTCTGGTGGAGACTCGACCCATCGCTCGAGGGGATTCAACGAGGAACCATCCCGAAAGGCTGGGGTGGGTGGTCGAGGGATTGAGATAGGTCTTGGCTGCTCGAATTGTTCAGAAGAAGCAGTTCGCAAACCCAAACTCTTATTACGACGGCGGGCGTTGGCCAGCCAGTTCATAAGTTGTGTCCTGTTGAGCCCTGTCCTCTCTTGAAGACGTCTCTTCTGAGCTTCATCGGGATAGGGCGAGTCTTTGTGGGCCGCGAGCCAGCTTTTCAGTATGCGGATAGACTCTCTGGTGAACCTGGTGCCGATCTTGGGAGGGGTAACCACATCGTCCACATCTGGGCTGGTCGTGGGGTGAGTGGTCTGGCATGCTTCTGGTGAAGATAAGACAGGATTCTGCTCAAGCCGATGAGGGTGGGCAAACGATGAGGACGACGCATCGTTTGTCAGGTTTAAAAGGGAAGTGAAATCGTTTAGATGCTGCCCGTTTTCGCCAAGACTAACTGGTTCTTGGAATCCGATATCCAACTCAGCTGGAAGAGGGGCCCACCACGCATCCTCGCTAACGTCTGCTGGGGATGCCTGTAATGGGTCAAGGCTGGCATTATCGGCTGCATTATGTCTTGCAGGCAAGGTAAATTCATCGTTGAGGAGATCAAAGGACCAGAGGCCTCGGTCTAGATCATGGCTTGATGTCTCGTGGGAAGCCATAAAGAAGTGGTCAGGGTTCTAAACACGCATATGCATGTACAGTGGGTCTCAAAAAGTAACGACACATTTTCCCGTACCCCGCTTTTACTTCTACCTCCACCAAAATCATCACCAACTTCAATCGTTCATCACGCAGTCAATTTACGTCCAAATGGCCCCAAAAAGACATCATTCTCCTCATACGCGAACGAGGATTGTTTGGAGATACAATTCGGGCGTGTCGGCCGCCCAGATCGCGCGGGAAGAGGGCGTCTCTCGACATGCAATTTACGGTGTGGTACGAAGATATCGCGACCAAGAGAGTGCCGCGGACCAACCCAAGTCCGGCCGGCCGCGCATCATTGGAGAGAGGGAAAGAAGGAGAATTTTGAGGGTTATTGCCCAAGATCCTCATCTTCAGATACGTGAATTGATTGAGGAAGCTGGGTTAAGCTGCTGTAGGGCGACTTTAATCTCATACCTACGAAAAGAAGGAATCATGCATTATAAGTCTCTTCTTCGACCTTTCCTTAGTGAAGCCAACGCCAGAAAGCGTCTACGCTTTGCACGGCGGTATGTTCATATGGCTGAGGACTTTTGGGAGAAATGGACCTTCTCTGATGAGGTTATCATCGCTCGAGGAGAGGGCCAGAGGCGTACGTGGGTCTTCTGTAAACCGGTATATGTTCTTCTCATAACTGCGACTTTTCTGACTATTTCTAGCACGAGAGACTCTTCAGACGGAATGTTCAGACACGCGTACGACCGACAAGGCACTCACAGATATTCTTCAGCGCTTTCAATCATCGCAGGCGCCTCCCGATGGTCCCCCTGGCCGGCGATCCAGAAAGCCCTCGCGGCGGAGTAACTGCGCAGATTATCCTCGCATGCTTACAGCGATACCTTCCCCGGATTGTGACAAGGAATAGTTACTTCCAACATGACAACGCCAGCACATTTACAGCCCACATCGTACGAGACTGGATCTATGAGTGGTGTGAGAGTCGAAGGGCCGAGGTGGTAGACTGGCCGCCTTGTAGCCCGGATCTCAACCCCATAGAAAACCTATGGGCAATCCTCAAAGAGAGGATTTGCAAGCGATATCCAGAGCTCACATATATGCCCAAGACCGACGAAGCAAAGCAGGCTCTTATTGCAGCTGCGATCGAGCTGTGGGAAGAGATTGAGCCGGAAGTCATTGATAACCTAGTCAACTCAATGAAGCGAAGAATGCAGGCTGTTGTGCGCGCCCACGGCTGGTATACTAAGTATTAGATACACCAAAAGATGCAGCTCTCAATTATCTATAGATTGATATAGAATACGATGCAACTGGCCCTCATTTGGCTGCGCAATAAGGCGCTGAAGATGTAGTCTCATTTGGTGGTGGTACTGATACAGCGGGGAAACCCGGAATGTGTCGTTACTTTTTGAGACCCACTGTAGTCAACGGCGCCACACTGTGTTTGCTGTACGTAGGTCCAAAACTTGACCTATGGCTTTTGCTGGTTTTCATGGACTTGTTACCCCAAAGAAGAAGGTTCATCAAGAAGAATGAGCATGCTTCTTTGCAAGACCGACAGACTGGCTATGGATGACTGGGAGTCCAGGCCGAAGCTAGGAGGGTAGGCGTCAACGATGATTGACTTATCAACGCCCCGCTCCGGATGAACATGTCGTTGCGCCCTGTTGACGGGGCCCATGGTGAATTGTCAGCGTCCGCCCTCGGACTTGAGGGAGTTAAAGGAGTTTGGCGATTATTAACGTGAAGACCTATTTTGGCTGGTTGTTTGCTAAAACGAGTCAAAAAATATGGTAGTGAGTTGTGATAAGGGCTCTACTGAGAGATCTTGACTTCCATGTCAGGAATCCCGGCGACCTGAAAACCGACTTAGATGGACACCCCATTGGTGCACCTGGGATGATTTCTCTTTATTTTAGTCAGTGAAGCTCGGCTCAATAAAATCTATGAATGAGAGGCTTCTGATTTAAAAAATTAATAAACGCCATGTCCGTTGGTCTGTCGAGGCTGCAGGATACTCCCATTGACAGGGCGCTGATAGCATCACCCACATGATTCCACAATGTAAGCTGGCCACTACATATGCTGGGAACTCCCGGAGAATAATATCATTTCCCAAGCCGTGTGATTTGCGTTTGCGTCCCAATTTCTTCTTTCTGTCTTTATCTTGTGTTGGGTTATTTGTTTGCTGCCATCGGCCTGGCCTAGGCTCACAGCATGACTAAAACCACACCAAAGCAGGATGTCCTTCTTGTATTCATACCAGTTGATCCAGATCTGCAATGGATAGACCGAATACGCCGAAAGTTGCCATATATCGAGGTACGCTGGGTGAAGGCTTTGTCAGACGGACGCCTTCTGACACCAACTGACATCTCTCCCGATAAATGGGATGGCGTCACGATGGTCTGCACTTATTTCCCGCCGTCACCATCACTCGCACCTAAACTGCGCTTTGTACAAGTCTCGTCGGCCGGATTTGACCTTTGGGTCAATCATCCTTCCTTTCAGGATCCGGATGTTGTCTTTTGCTCTGCCAACGGTGCCCACCCGTGAGTGCCCATCCAATCTTTCCAACTGAAAATAGTGCATTAAGCTGCAAAAACTAACCAAATCCTACTCCTAGGCCACAGATTGCCGAATGGGTTATTGGTACCTGGATTATGAACCAGAGACAATTCCTTGAACACGCCCGCAATATGGAAGCTCAGCGGTGGAAAGCCTGCTTCGAACACAAAGCCACAGACTCGGCTGGCTCACGAATGCAAGTTATTCCAGGGCTTTAGGTGCCATGAACTAACTCATCCTTGTGTAGGGGAATTCTGGGTTATGGCTGCATCGGCCGCCAGTGTGCACGCGTTGCCAGCGCCATGGGCATGGAGGTCTACGCATTCACGCGGACAGAACGCCCTACTCCAGAGTCTCGCAAGGATTCAAGCTATTGTGTGCCTGGAACCGGAGACCCTAATGGCTTGATCCCTGCCAAGTGGTTTCATGGCTCGAGTAGGGCGGATATTGATAACTTCTTGGACCAGAAACTCGACATTCTGGTTGTTTGCCTGCCACTGACTCAAGAAACGAGCGGCATCATTTCTTCCTCTCAGTTCAAGATTCTAAGCAAGAATAAGACCTTTCTGTCTAATGTCGGGCGTGGGAAGCATGTGGATACTGAGGCTCTGACTGAGGCTCTGAAGACTGGCCAGATTCGAGGGGCAGCACTTGATGTTACCGACCCCGAGCCGCTGCCTTCGGATCACTCCCTCTGGGAGGCTCCAAACGTGTTTATAACACCTCACAATAGTTGGCACTCTACGATGTACTGGCCAAGGGTTTTGGAAATACTCGGAACAAATCTTGAGCGGTTAGACACGGGGAGACCGTTGGTCAATGCTGTGAAGAAATCCAGTCACTCGGGGTGATTTTCAGTCATCGATAAGAAATCAAAAGTCGCCTGGGGTTTGGAATTGTCAAACGCATTGATCTGCTGGCTCTGCCCCTAGCCTTGGTGATGTCTGTGTTTAGCTATTCCAGCACCAGCGGGAATGTAGATTGCGTCCGTGTTCCGTGTCTTCCGGTTCTTCTTTCTGTATTCCATCCTGTCTTTTGATTTCTAGAGCGGTTGTTGATGGTGTCGCGTGGTCTGCTTGGCGTTCAGGGGTACCGCAGAAAACTTCATGGACGTCATCTGGGAGGTCGGATCATACTAGACTACTACATGTATTAGATGAGGATTATTAGTAAGATAATACAGGTGTTAGACTATTACCAGTAATACTTTATGGTAATTTAGTATAATACTAGGATTAATTTATATAAAGCTTTATATAGCGCTTGGCGTGCCGGCCAAAAACATGCTTGCAGGCCGAGCATGAGACATAGCTATCCATCACTGAATACTGAGATTAGTATTTGAAAGAGTTTCGTTGAATGGATAAAGAAGAAGAGAAGAAGGGAGGGCTGGCAGAAAGGATGAGATGCCCCAGCACGTCCAATCTAGGAAACTCCAGATGGTTACCGAAAACCCTTGATCATCAAAAGAGCCTCCAAGCTTGGGCTGAATACGAGTTACGGCAGCCTCCCATATAATCCGGAGACTAAACTTAAGCACACGAAAGTGAACTTCTATTTATAGAGTCGAGTTCTTGCCTTTGGGCTAAGCTGCCGTTGAGCGAGCGCTGAGATCTTCAGAACTTGAGCCTAGGCGGGCTGAGTGAGTCCCATCCTACAACACGGCAATAGGCGATCACAACTGCAAGCGTAGTATCAGCTGTCATTCTAGACTTAATTGACTTCCGTGATTGTCTCATGGTGTGGCCATGCCTATGTCTTCGTGGCACTTGTGGCGAGCTGAACCAACCAATACATCCAAGACATGGAACGTTCTAGCCAGACACGTCTTCATGCATGTATTAACCTCACCTGCTCGCCAGACTCATTGACAAGGAACAGAAAACTATTGATCATGTGGCTGGCTGGAACTGAACTCTTTTTTAGCTGGGCTGTTCTGGACCGGTCTTCTCTGTAGAAAACAGACCGCGCTGGAATGCCCCAAGGCAAGTATAAATAAACTCGTTCTCTTGGCTCTTGTAATCAGTCTCTATCAGCACATCTCCTCCGCAACACATCATTAAGCTCATGAAAGTGTAAAAATACCCTGGTTCTCATATTGAAAAAATGGCGAACCGGTGTTACTTTATAGTCACTCCTGACCCTAACTGGTCGCATGGTATTGCCAGGGTATGTTCTATGATCCCTGTGACTTGCTTTGTTGCTTGTTGCTATTACAATGAGCTTTCTTGTGGGTTAGGCTAACTGGGGGCGATGAGGATGATGCGAACGGCAACCCGGAGCTCTATTTCCATATCAAGTTCGGCGACGGCGAGTCTTCATACACGACGCTCAACCCAAACTTCAAGTACAAAACACGCGTTTGGCCTGACGACAATCTACAGCCGTTGATTACTAACCGATTCCCTCTAGGAAGGTCGAGAACGTGCTCTCCCCTAACCCGACTCGCACTCTGCAGATTCCTGGCCCCAACGGGCTTTACTACGTGACGCGCAAGATTGGCAAGAGTCTCGAGTTGGATTACATGATCAAACTCACGCTACAGACTGGTAAGTCCTCGAACTATTCCATCATATTCCCGTTTCTCTTTAGCTGAAAGAAGGCTGATCACACCCCTGTTCTCGCGTCTAGATTCCACCGAGTGGAGGAGAGTAACTCTCAAAGCCGGGGCAAACTTTGCCGGCCTTAGACAGGTCCTAATTGACATGCTCACCAGGTTTCCGAACTACGACTGGCAAACTGGAGCAGGCTCAACAAGAATGGCGTTTGAGCAGAATTGCACGAGTTGGTTGGCTGCCAACTGCAACATCGAGTAAACCCCGAGGAAGCATCTGTAAATGCGAGACTTGTCAAAGGCTCGCTGACTTAGCATAGTGAATTTTGAACATTTTGGAGTTGATCTTGTTCCGTGTAGTGACTGTTTTCAACAAGAAAGGTACAATGTTCAACGCCAGAGCAACACACTTAATTATCTTTGTAACTTGAGAATATTCACAAAACTGTTTGGCATCCCGCCGGCAGTCAATGCTGCGCCAAGTATCCCGCACCCGTTACACACTGGAACTCCAAGGGCTAATACCCAACCTAATGCACCACACCCGAACACTCATAATCATCAACCCACTTGCTACTCTCACGTACTATGAATGAACGAATGTTCCTGGGTTTCAGCTCCCTTCCCATCTGTGTGGACAAAGATCCCCTTCTCGTGGTCCCTCCAAGACATGACCTTCCAAATGGCAGGGTACGTCTCAGCCCTCCTGTTACAGTCAATGCAAATGCACCCAAGGCAGTAATTCTTCTCCATCTGCCTTGCCTTCTCAATCGCCCCAGCAAGTTGTCTCCAACGCGCGGAACCCATCATCTTTTCCTCGAGGTCGTCCCAGCTGAGGGTGTAGTACTCCCTCGGCCCATACCAGAAGCTATCCGGGGCTGCAGCAACGAGACTCTCGGCTCCCGGGCGCTTTGGAAAAGGCGTTTCGAGAACCTTGCGCCTATCCTTGACCGTCTTCCGTGCTTCATCCGTGTCCACAGGATTGTGATCGTCGTCAAACTCATCAGGGTTGATGAGGACATACAGCACCTCTGCGCGGAGGCGAAGAAACGAAGTGGCCAGTGACAATTCGCTGTTGAGGGACTCATGGAAGCGGGTCGTGTAGGAGAGAGCGAGATATGGAACTCGCGGGACAGGAACTTGCCAATCCGTCTTGGTGAAAATGGTGAGTTTCTGAAACTCTTTCCCGACGCCTATCCACTCCGGTCCCAAGATGATGAGGTCTCGAGAGTTGTCCAGGTGGCGAGATGGAAGATCAAAGAGTCGTGGGGGCAGGAACTTGAAGTGATAGATTCCGCGGCTGGTGTCCACTTGAGGGGGTATGCGTTTGAAATCTCTTGCAAAATCCCACGTGTTTACACGGTTCTTGTCACGAGGGTCGTAGAGCTGAAGCGTGCCCTCAGGACCCCATGACTTTTGATGTCGGGTAGCGATACGGCGTGATTGCTTGCACGTCTGAAGCAGGATGTCGAGGTGCGTCTCACGGCGAGGACACAGCTCCACGAGCTCAGGAGGTGGCTTACACCACGTGAGCTCCTCAATCATGGTCATGGTCCAAAAGGACCCTACCTCTCCATTGGGCTCTCGACTTTTGAGTTTCTGTGATCCGAGCTGGGCAAAGTGAGCAGCCCCGGGGCGGTCCTTGAGAGACCATTCCCAGACGAGGTCTTGAAGCTCATTGGCCAGGTGAGGGAACTTTGGGAATGAAACGAGTTTGGATTGAGACATGACTGATGTGTTTCTGAGTTGAAAAGAGACAAGTGAGGAGTTGATGGGAGATGGGAATGTAATGAAGGAGTTGTTTGTGAGAGGGTCGGTGTTGATAGTTATGAGGTGAAGAGAGCTGAGAAAGAAGAGAGTATAAGAGGACAGCGAGAAGAGAAAAGAGGGAAGAGGAAAAGCCCTGTCCTACACGTAAGCAGAAAGATTGATTGAAATGATTGGTCTAACTAATGCACGTCGGTGAACCTCATCACCGTCGTACAAGGCTCTGTAGAGATTGGACGTCATTAATTCTCTACAGTGGAAACAGAAGCAAACAAAGCGAGCAAACAACGCTTTGTCTTGGATGAAAAATCTTTACCGTTTGATTCTCCTTAACGCAGGCCTTGATAAACACTGTATACACCCGAGTTGCAATCTACAAGTTCCTGCATGCATAAACCCCATCTTTTTGCTACCGCCCTGTGGTACAGATACATTCACACAGCTTCCTCTGCAACCCTCCTCACGATGTCTCTAGTCTCACACTGTATCCGCTGAACGAGGAGCCCGGCGTCTTCAACCTCATGCACGAGACCGACCGCGGCGCCTGCATAAGTCGCCAACCGCCCCTCGGGCCCCCAACCCTTCTCGCCGGTCTTGGCAGCCTCGTCGTGGCGGAGTTTCAGCTCGTCAAACGCGACGCCCGCCTGCTGGTCGTGCCAGCTCTGATTGACGATCCCGCGGGGGCTGTACTGCTCTGGCCAACCCATCGTGCCGCGGAGGTGGTTGTACAGCATCGTCCGAGTGGTGCACTGTGCTCCGTCGGAAGCCCGCACGACTTCCCGTTGGTAGCCCTTGTTGATACGGGTTTCGGTGGCTGCTAGGAAGCGGGTTCCCATTGCTGCGCCTGCAGCTCCTAGAGCGAGGGCAGCTGCAACTCCCCTGCCGTCGGCGATGCCTCCAGCCGCGATCAGCGTGATGCCCGAGTCCTTGAGTTTGTCTGCAATCTCGGGGAACAGCGCCATGATTCCTAGGCCGTCGTTTGCTCTGCCGTGGCCACCCGCCTCTGCTCCTTGGATGACTAGGACATCTGGGCGATTGTCACTCTTGGCGGCTTCAATACTCTCCTTGACAGTGCCAATTTGAGTCCAGATCTGAATCCCGGGGGAAGCTTCGCGCAATCGAGTGGCCCACTCATCCAACTCCTCCTGACCCCGACGAGGAGCAAACAACCAAGCCACGCAGGGCCGATGCTGCTGAACAGCCTGGACCGCGGAATCGAGGTCTCCATTCCAAAGTTGGAACCCCACACCAACAGGAAGGACACCTTGAGATGGAAACGACTGCGGCAATGTGTTTGGAGGCGCATTCTTCAACAGCTCCCTGACTGTGATCAAGTCGTTTGCCGTGTCTTCGGGCTTCGCGCCGGGTCCGATGAAGCCCAGCCCTCCAGCTTTGGAGATGGCGAGGGCCAGGTCTGGACCTGACATGACACGCATGGGCGCGCCGACGATGAAGGGTGACGTGACCCATGGGAACAGATGAGTTAGCCGGGCTCGACTTGTTGTCAAGGCTGCTCGTGTTACACTCATGATGAACTGCTATTTGTTAGGCGTAGTTGATAGGTTGTTCACATACAGAAATACCTTGGTTTATTGCGGGTTGCCCCGATCTGCCCTCTGGGTATGCAATGCGGTTGAATTGCTTTAATTGTTGTGGGTGTTAGATCGTCTTGGCAACTTTGTGGATGATCGACTGGGCATACTCATCCAAATACAGAGGCTTCTACCATAATACAATAGCCCCTCTTATATCATTCGATCTTTCCCTTGCTTAGAAACAAAACCTCAAAGTTACAGCCATCTGACCGTCTCGGGGAAAGACCGAGACTCTTCATGACGTGTGGCTCCTCTCTTGATCCCGCAATACCCGATGTACCCGTTGCAACCGATTGACCATGCATCGCCACGACCTCGGCTATAATTCTACATTGCTAGAGAAGGGGAAAAGGGAAGATGGGGAGTCGCGGATTGCGCTAATATTACAGCGAGTTTTGTGCTCATTGTAGGGTGTGGTGGTTGAGCTTAGTGAGTACTAAGACTTTGTTATATGTTGGTCGAAGTCAGCAACTCTTCAGTCGAAACCACGACGATTATTGACATGAGGTTTTGCTGATCAGTCAAAAAGTATTTTGAAGCCACCTCGAATTTCAACTTGAGTTACAAAGAGCAGGGCTGATCCAGGTATTGGGCTGGCTTGATATGGCCGCACGGGGGCAAGGAAATAAACAAAACGCCAGAGGACAAAGAGAGTTACCTAATAATGCTTCATAAGTGTAATAAATCAATTTCAAAGAATATCATAAAATGATAAAATAATCTAGAAGATTTTGTGCATTTTAATCATATTTTATTGATTATCCTTAGGAGAGAATAAACTAATATGTTTCTTTTCGTGTCTAGTATGTGGCATATGGATCTGGACAATAGTTAGCAGTGGACAATAAGGGAGGACAGTGAATAAGACTAACCTTTGAGCTCTTGCAGAAACGAAACATTGGTCGTATCTACTTCTCAGACTCCTTGTTGGAGTCCTGGTTGGACTCCTTGTTCTTCTCAGCCTCTTGGCGTCTCTTCTGCTCTCTCCAAGCGTTGATGCCCATGTACGCGCTAGGTTGAGGGCGGTGCTTGTCAACTCGAGGAGGAGGCAGAGTAGGTCGCGAGGACGTGTTGGAAGCAGCATTGGAAAAGCTCCCAGTCCGAGGTCGCGAAGAGGTGTTGGAGACAACGCTTGAGAAGCTCCCAGTTCGAGGTCGGCCACCAGAAGCAACACGGGAGCGAGGCTGAGCGCTTCCAGAACTGCCCGCCTTGATCTTGTCACCCTTTGTGGTGAAGCTCGCGATTCTGTTCTGGTAATTCGCAGATCGAAGGATGGCGGCACGCAGGAGGACGTCCTCGTACTGCTTCATGTTGGGGGAAGATCCGCAGTCCTCACAGATCTTGTACACAATGGTTCGAATGTTGTCTCGTGCAGAACTTCCAGGGAAGGGGATGAAGGAGAGAATCTTCTTGGAGATTCTCCAGCGCATAAAGTCCCATGGGTCCATGGCCAGCTCGTTCTTCTCGTGGAGCACGCGGAGGTCCGAGATCTTGCAGGCTAGACGGTACATGATCTCCTTCTGGCAGAGGCCATCATCGGGGAGGTGGTGCTTGGCCACGAGCTGGTTGGGGTGGTATCGAGTGTTAGGACCAAAGATGTCACGAATGCGGCGGTGCTTGCTGACGTTGTCCTGGTGAAGCTTGTGAGCGGCGGCGACGGACTTGTTGGAAGGGTCAAGCTTGAGACGTGCGCCAGTCTCCTTCTTGAGGCGCTCCTCCTCTTCTTCCTGGGCCAGGTACTCATCCAGAGAGTGCCAGGTGCTTCTCCAGTAGGGGCTGTTCTCGGTCAGCTTGGCGACGGGGGTGTCTCTCAGGCACTGGGGGCGAATGTAGGTGTTTCCGTCCTGGCTGAGGGTGTAGACCTCATCTCTAGGGGTTCGGAGCATCGCGAGAATGCTCTCAGTCGAAGGGCCATCCTGGGCCAGGTGAGAGGCAGGAGTTTGTCGAGAAGACATGCTGGGCCTCGTTGGATGAAGAGACTTGAGGACGTCAGGTCTGCTTGACATGAGTGTCAGCGCGGTTCGGCTCAAGCAAGAGAGTTCATCTCACCGAAACAAGGACTAGATGCTCGTGGCGATGATGGTTTATTTCTTTGTTAGTAGAGAGACGATGCTTCGAGCGCCTTGGTCGATCGTCAGCACAACAGATCTTCACTTCAGAAGGTCGGGGATGTTTACCAGGTGCGCATTAGAGTGGAGCACAGCTCCGAGAGAAGGGAAAGATTCAAAGTAAGAGAGACGCCGGCGTGAAGCGACTCGAAGCTCGCGAAGCGTGTAATGTCGCGATGATACCGTGCAGAACGAACGAAGCAGATGTGAAACGCTTCTCAGATAGAGGCGAGAAGAGGGAGAGTAGTCGAGAATATTTTTGAGAAAAGACGACAAGGTAAAAGAGAGAAAATATGACCTCTTCCGGTCATGAAAGGAGTGATTAGAGAAAAGAAGCGTCGTGATTCACCTTGCAAACGCCGAATGCTGGGTGTTGAGAAGTTGAGGTGCAAGGAGGGGGTCACGCGCGCGACGCGGATAGTTTTGGCTAGGAACGCGGTGCCTGCAACGTCACTGGCAAGTCAGCAGTAAAAGGACGTGATTACTGGTACATCAATGCGTGTTTTATTTGCCTTTGCTAGCTTATTTTTGCCTTTTATATAAAAGATCACGGGCCAGTCACTTTCCATACTTCCAATTTTCAAGTGTCTGGATGGTCCATCGGGTCATAGTTTCTTGTACTACCACTGTGTTTGCTTCTAGATATTGTGCCACTCTTTCAGGTAGTCAACAGTGAGTATTGTGCATCTTGTAGCCCTCTTTGAGCCCTAATCAAAACGCAAGCTCAAAGTCCCAGACCTGCAACTTCCTATCAGGAAAACCCCCAGCCTGGCGCACAAACACACTCAAGATGCCCTTATCACGGAGGCGAGTGTTATCAAACAAGGGCTCGGTGGAGGTGTTGGGAATATCAGCCAAAAACTTCCAGTCCTTGAACCCTCCCGTTGCCGTGGATGCGTAGATTCCAGTCTTCAATGCCGTTGCATCTGGGAGGAGTGCGATGAGGTGCTCGCCAGACTTGTCTCCTGCAAACTTTCCACGTGGGTCGAAGAGATCGGGACCGTTGATGCCGCTCACCTTGATGGCATTCTTTGTCCACTTGCCTACAGTACATGTCAGCTGTGCAGTCACACGAACGGTTCTGGCTTTGTCTTACCGTTTGTATCCCTGAGATAGTGTTGGTAGAGGTGTTCTCCACTGAGGTTATCCCGCATGAGAACATGAACCCTGCCCTTGGCATCCACAAACTGGCCCTCTTGGTTCACCATGCGGCTGTTCTGAGGAATATCCCAGATCAGTGTGCTATCCAGGGATGTTGAAATGGGCTTTGGAAGCTTGGTGCCGTTGGTGTTGAACCAGGTTCGTCCGTCATCATCGGAGTAGGCAAAGAAGACGTCGTGGTTGGTGTTTGCATCTGGTGTTTCACGAACAGTCCATGAGGTGTACAACTTTCCGTTGACGGAGTTGAGACCGTTGATGTAGGCGTTGTTGTCATCTCCTTCAATGTATTTTCCGTAAGCTTGCCACTTTCCAGTGGAAGAGCTGTATCGGTGGATGTAGCTATCACCAGCGCCAGATCTTTTGAAAATCAGCAGGGCATCCCACACAGTAAATGTGTCACTCACTGTCCAATGCGGAATTCCATCAGCATGTCACCGTTGCTCAATGATTCAAACCTGGGATAAGTCAAGGGCGTGTAAGGACCCGTAGATCCCGCAAGCTCGTGAACAACAGGCCCAAACAGGTCCGCAGTCCACGATGACGGGACATCTTTTGCAATGGACGTCTTGGACACGCGGTAGTTCAATGGCACGTCCTACAAACGGTCAGTGAATCATCTCCACCCATTTGGCTCGTGCACTGACATGGTGATCAAAGCTGAGATGAATCTTGCCGTCGCCAGAAATACCCATGGAAATCATATTATGTCCGTCCATGGTCTTTTGGACGTAATCGGTAAGAGTCAAGTATTCCCAGTCGCCAACCGACGGGCTGACACGACGACGGCCAATCTTGACATAGTGGTTATTGTATCCAGCCGGGGTCGTCTCGTAAAAGGTGACATATTGATGGTCGCCAAAGGTGATCAGAGCATCTTCCTGGTAGCTCACTCCGTTGAGTCGCTCGGGACCTTGGAGATCAGTGCCGATTGTCCATGACTTTGTTGATTTCACCGTTAGTGCTGATGCACCAACGAGCATGCAGCAAACTGCCGCGATACCAGTCCTGAGATGCATTGTTTCTGGTTGCAGATGAGTTGTTTCAAAAGACCTAGTCACTTTATTTATATTGCTGGTCTTGAACTGGTTCCTGCGGAGGATTATCCTTGTCCCAATATGACAGGTGGTTAAGCTCAACCCCAGCCTCGGCCCTTTACAGAAGGTTTCCTTGAAGATCGTTGCAATTAACCTATGAACCACACCATCATGGTCCTATACCCCACAAATAAGCTTCCGTGATCTGCTCCCCGGACTTTGGGGGTTCGTAGGATTCTCCTCTTCCCCGCCCCCAACCTGCATCGGCTTGACTCTCAGTTATATATATGCCGATGCATCTCGTCCCTTTTTAACTCGAGCACGGGTCAAAATCAACACTCTGTTCAAATAGTTTACCTTCTAGAGCACCCCTAATCGAGTAATGACTCCGCGCCAAGGGGTCGCATAGCAAACGTCAATGCAACGACCACCGAATGTAACTATAAACGGCAAAGACCCCGTTGTTCTTTCTCAGCCGAAACTAGGTGTAGTGTGGATCTTTGTTAACCGGCCCATTCATAGCAAAGCTGGGCGGACAGTCCGTGTCATTCAGTCGACATAAAGGGGGACGAAGAACAGGGTGTCTTCGGTGTATTCCTCTGCCGAAGCTATGGGTTGCTGCACAAATGGTAGTCACGCGCCTACGTAGTATCTCCTTGCTTGCGCGAGGACTACCATTGGGTTCTGAGGAGGGATCTAGACCAGTTATCATGAGTCTCTTGCTATACTCACCAAAATTCAGATAAGAGATTAGCCTGCTCTTATATTATTTTCATAGAGTCTTAGTTAGTGCTTTAATGGTGAGGATGAGTACACTCTGGCAGTCTCCGCGCAAGCAAGCAGATACGTAGTCTCATAACTAGCTGTATTGACTTGACAGTTGACATGTCTACAGTCTACACAAGCATCTATGTCAGACGGATACCGAGGTGCTTTGTGGCATCCAGTGATTTCACCTCCAGCAGACAAAAGCTGAAGAGATGGCAATGTCTATGATATCCAAATATAAGATTGTATGCCATGGTTCCGTGGCTTTCCAAACACAAAATGCACGGCGCTTTATCTTGATCTAGATCTTGATCAAGCTGCATCTACTGCTCCTCTTCTCGTTGTTTGGTGCCTCTTTGAACTCGGGCCCAAACAGAATCAGGAAACTTAACCAAGCACGGCTAGACCAGCTCACAGTGGATTTTTCTTAGCAGTCAAAATAGTGCATTTTCTTGTGATGGCTTCCAAAAACATGCATCGGCCTCAGGCTTCAACCTCCATAATCAGATGACAAACAGCAGAAGCATCTATGGTAAGTAACATAATATCTTTATCGTGAATCATAAAACATGCTAAATGCATCCCAGACTCCAAAATTTACATATAACGATGCACCATCCGCGGCATGGCCGGTGCCTCTCCCATAGCGACAGGCGGGGGGTTGTTTGCAGGATCAAAAGGACTATTCTTCTGAAGCCGGTTTCCGACTCTTCTCCTCCTCTTCCGCACGCACGAGGCGATGAAGCAGCCTAGAATGAGGGCGACAATGACACCTCCAACAGAGGCGGCGACGGCAATCACCACGGTTCTGTTCTCGTCGAACCAGCTTCTTCCGCTTCCTCCTCCGCTACCACCGCCTCCGGAACCGCCTCCGTTGCCGTTGTCGTCGCCGCAAGAGTCATCTCGCTCGTCTTCGGGACATCGGCTCGATTCTCCATCGCACGTCTCCTCGGGGTCACAAGAACCTGTGCTCTCTCGGCAGACTTGGCCACTGGACGCGACCTGGCATTGGTCTGTACAGCAGGCGTCTGTCGCTGGATCGCACGCAGCGCCGCTCTGAAGCTGGCATGTTGAAGGGTTACAGCATGAGCTCTCTGGGCATCCTTCTTCACCACCGCAGTCGCACGCCTCTCCTGGTTCAACAATGCCGTTTCCACACTGACTCTCGTTGATATCAGGAGCATCGTCTTCATCGACAAGACAGCTCGTGTCGATCAAGTCATCTCCAATCGCCGTGCAGATGGTTCCAATAGTACAAGGTGAGAATTCATCTAGCTCCCGTCCACTCCGTGGGTTCATGATGTACTGACCACTAGCATCACAGGTAGATCTGCTAAGGGGACAGCAGCCCTCGACAGGAGAATCCCCACTGCAAGTCTCGGACGTGCAATCGTGAGAAGCTCCAAAGTTGTGCGCCAACTCGTGAGCAAAGACCTGCCACTCGGCAGCCGTACGAATAACGACGTTGGCAGACGCGACAGAGCTTCCGCCTCGCCACGATCTCCCTCCACGACTGCAGATGTTGCCGATCCAGGCCATGCCGACTGTTGAGCCGCTCTCGCAGGCACTCATCAGGGACCATGCGGCGTTCTCATCGCTGAATTGGCTTCTCCACTCTGAAAACAGGCTGAGTCGTCTAGAAATGTCGGCATTTGATGAACAGGGGAGGTTCCAGGCTGTTGTGGTGGAACTTGACGATGGACAGGAGGAGTCGCTGATGGTCAAGTTGCGGATGGCCAGGGAGATGTTGAAGGCGTCCTCGTATACCTGCGAGGCGATGTTGATTTGTGAGATGATGTTCTCCCGAGCATCTTCGAGTGAGTCAAACTCGGCCGTGTACGAGCAATCCGTGGCGACTCCTATCATGGCTACTCGTCTTGTCGA